AGATGGTTCTTGCTGTGCGGCTGCCCTGTCTGTCCCCCGGCCCTGCAGACTGAGCTGTTTCTTTCTCCTTGTGAGATCACAGACTGCGTGCTGACCCTGTAGGGTCAGACGTGTCCAGGGGACCCGGGGGACGCGCAGCCCGGAAGGGGGAGAGGAGGTGGATTGTTGTAACAGGTGGCCTCTTTGCCATTGGTGTGAGATCCACAGTTAATGGCAGTGACTAAGATGAACAATCTGTATTCAGACCGTTCATGCTGTGTAAGAAAAAGTCACCAACGTCAGACATTTGTTAAAGGGAAGCCAGCGCATAAGAGAAAGCCCAGTGCTTGCTTGACGCAAAGGAAAACATCCCTGGGTTTACTCAGGGATGACTTAACTCTTCCCGTAAATCATAAAGATGTCATTACTTATAAATGGAGGCTGGAGCTGCCCAAGCGCCAGGGACATGCAGTCATCCTTTGGCCTCAGTTTTCATCCCTCTTGGCCAGAAAGACTCAGAGCCAGTCCTGGTGCCGCAGGGCTCCCCGGCCAGGGCGGGGCATCCGGGCTCCAGGGCACACGCTCTCCTGTTCCGGGGCCACTCCCCCGAGTGAGTGCACTGGGCGCTGAGGAGCCTGTCCGTGCAGAGGGCAGACAGGTGACTAATGCCCAGGGGCGTGGAAGCCTTACTGATCAGTCCGTTGGTGGGGCTTCCGTGTACATTTGTGACAATTCCTTTTTTAAAAAACAGCATTGTTGAGCTATATTACATGTCTTAAAACTTGCCCACTTCAAGGGTGCCAGTCAGTAGTTTCTAGTAATTTTACCAAGTGGCGCGGCCTCATCGTAAATTAGTTTGGGGACATTTCTTCCCTCCAGGAAGGCCCCTCATGTCTTCCCATATTTAATCCCTCCTGTTGCTGCCCTCAGGCCTGGATAACCACACATCTCTGTTCTGTCTCTTTTGTAATAACTTAGCTAATTATTTGCTGATTAGAGAAGTAATAGTTTCCTATTTTAGATTATTTGAGGGACCCCCAAAAAGGAAAGTAGCCTGGAATGAAGGCCAGCACTCCCCCAGCTGGTCTGGTAGCCAGAGCTCTCTGTCCTCCGCTCCGCTGGCCGACGTGTCCCCACACCTGTGCCTGTCCACACGGCCCCTTTTTTGCCCGGAAGGAGCTCCCTCCACCCCATCTTGCGAGACAGAACTCTCCCTGTCTCTTCAAGGCCTTTCTCACATAACCGCTGACCAGACAAGATTTCCCTGGTGTCCAGACCAAGAGTAATTTTCTCTTCTGGGGAATGGGGAATTCCACGGGGATTTACTGACGGCTCCTGGCGTCTGCATGAGGCAGCTCCCTGAAATGTGTGCTTTGTCTCCCCTGCTGAGCCCTGAGTCCCCGAAGACGGGGGCCCTCGTTCATCCTTGTGCCCTGACCCCTCTGTCCTCCTGCAGCCTCATCTCCCGAAGGGCCCAAGTGCCTTCCGAGGACCATTCATCACAGTTGGAACAACTGTTCAATGTGTCACCGCGGGGCCAGGGCCTGTCACCGGTGCCGGGAATGAACGTGAGCTGGCAAGTGTGGGTGGATGGCCGTAGACCCTCCGTCTTGTCCGTGGTAATGTTTCAGTCCAGGCATCAAAGTGGAGCGTGACCCTTCTTGCCCCGACACCCGGCATCAGCACCTTAGTTCTTACCTGAATTAAACAACAGGGTCTTAAAGTAGATGGGGAGCCATATCGTGACTGGCGATTTTTGCCGTGGAGATTCTTGTTTTTCTCACTCGTTCACACATGCGCTGCTGCTCACTCACACGCCTCACTATGATCTTTTTAAATCCTCCCCCAAGGATGTATTTATTGATTTTAGAGAGAGAGAGATTGGGAGGGGAGGGAGACAGGCATCGACGTGAGAGAGAAACATTGGGTGCCTCCCACAAGTGCCCTGACAGGGAGAGGGTCGAACCTGCAACCTAGGAAAGTGCCCTGACTGGGCACAGATCTACAGCCCTTTGGTGCATAAGGATGCTCTGACCGACCAAGCTACCCAGCCGGGGCCTGGAACAACCAGTTTTCATCTGCAGGCATCTGTCTCTTTTTCCCTGCCGACCCACCCTGAACTGAGTGGTTCTGAGCCTTGAGCTGAGGCTCCCACCCTGAGTAGCTCAAACCCCCCTTCAGCTGTTTGCACGCGTTGCCCGTGGCTTGTCCAAGATGGCACGGCATCGGCTCCCCTCCGGGACACGTTCACGACCCAGTCTGCCTGCACCCCTGCCTCTGGCCATGGCCGCCTTCCTCCCCACGCCCAGGTCAGCCCACCTCACTGCTCAAAGCCAGAGTCGTTGTTCCTTTCTCCAAGGAGCCACTGGTGTCTGTGCGGAGTGGGAGGTGCCGCATGTGATCCTACTAGACCTTTTGTTCGGTTCTTGGCGTGTCTGTGTTTACTCTTCCTCTGAGGTGACAAGCGTCCATCTTGGTTGTCATTGTAGCCATTTGTCACTGTCTCCAAAACAGGCGCTCAGCAGGCGTGCAATGAGTGACCTAACAAGACAACACGTGTGTTTGCTGTGATATAGGGTTTAAAGGTGCTTGTATACTCCAGGCCTCTCTAGCTTGTCTCCCTGTGGTAGGTGCTCAGAACAATATTTAAGTGTATTGCTTTGCTCAGCCAGTGCTTGTTCCGTGTCTGCCCCAGGCCCAGCCCCGTGCTCCGTGCTCTTCGTGGAGCTCACGCCCCCTCTGGGGTGTGTGGTGGGGGGCTGGTAACAAGAACGCCAGGTAGAACCCATCACAGGCCTTAAAAGGTTTTTTAAAAAGAAAGCACCGGAGGACTGGGGGAGGGAGGGGTTGCTTCCTGCCTTGAGGTCAGGATGTTAATGGACAAGGTGGTGTCTGAGTTGGTCCTGATGGATGGGAGGTTCTGAACGGTGGGGGCTGGGGGAGACTGCGGCGGGAACGACTCGCACACAAGCGTGGACTTGGGAGCGGAGAACAGCAGAGATCCGCCCGACCGGATGTGCAGACCGAACGTGGCAAACGAGGCTGGGTGGCGAGCCCCTCCCGGGCAGGATGAGTTTCATCTTTGTTGGGGACACGACGCCGGGCCAAGCTGGCAGTGCTGCAAAGGAGGACTTGGGGCTGGCGGAGACCAGGATGCAGTGGCCAGGAGCAGAGAGGTGTGGCCTCAGTGCAGAACAGGAGCTGTGAGGGCCAGCCGGGGAACTGGCGGTGACGGTGGCACAGAGGGAGCGAGTGTGGGGACAGGCAGAGGAAAGGTGACTCCCAGTGAGGGCAGAGGAGGCAGGGCGGGTGGGGCACGGCACGGCCGGCTGGGGGTGCACACAGCCCCAGCAGGCGTCATGCAGGCCGAGGGAACTGGGACGAGATGGGGGCAGAGCTGCGCCCCGCACGTGTGTTTATGGCCACCCTGGTTTAAGGTGGGGACCCGCATGGGCTTGTCACCTGAGATTACGCACCAGTATGGCCGCTTCTTCGTCACCGTTAGTCGTCCACACAACCTCGCCTTCAACTTTTTGGAATTTAAAAATTTAACCCTCAGGAGGGTGCTGGCTGATGACCTGGCCCCTTGGAGCAATACCCGGTGTGTGACTGACGGTGAGCTGTTCGAGCAGAACAAAAGCGATCCCCAAAACGGCATTTCTGAAATGAGTCGTAAGCTGACCACGCATCTGGCAGGGCTGGTGGCTGGCTCAGGCGTTAGCAGGTCCACCTTACTGACGTTTTCCAAGCAGATATCTTCCTCCCTTTGACATTTAAGACACTGAATAGTGACCATTCAGCTCCCACGGCGCCTTAGAAACCACACCTATGTTTAGCCTGCCTATTCCAGGTAACTATCCTAAAATAAATTTTTCCGTGCTGACTGTAAGAACGGATGCCTGAGGTTCCAGAGTTCCCGGTCCTCCTCCTCTCAGAGGCCTGCGACCTGGGTGCGTGTGACCCCCAGGGACACACAGGCCACAGGCAGGCGGTTGTGTTGACTTGCGGGGCTGGTCCCACCTGGGGACACGAGAAAGTAGATCCCAGCTCATTTTCTCTTTGGGGAGGGATCCTCCGGACCGAAGCTTGTGTCTTTCGGGTGACTCAGATTTGCCGGTGGGGTGGCCCTGGGCTCTCTGGGTGTCCTCAGAGAGTGTGTCGGGAGGGGTGGATGCCGCTCCATTTAAACCACGGTGACGGCTTGTGAAGCCACCAGTCTCTTGCCTTCTTGCTTCGAGGAGGAGAACGGGGGCCTCAAGACCCCTTGCCCCTCCTTTCCCTGTGTGTCTCCTTTCCCCAGAAACACACACCTGCACGCTCACATGCTCACACCTGCACACACAGGTTTGTGCATGCACACGCACTCACACATACTCACAGGAGACAGAAGCCCCTCAGTTCTGTTTTCCTTTCAGTTTCCTGGACTGGCAACTTGGGGCCGGGGGGCCGAGAGCTGAGCCAAGCGCTGGGCCCGGGAGTGAGGCAGGAAGTCGAGATTCCTCTTCTTCCGGTGCCTGCGGCGGTTCTCATGTTGATTGTTGGGAAATTTTTTCTTTTTTTTTTTAAGGTTTTATTTATTATTTCTTTCAGACAGAAAGGAAGTGAAGGGGAAGGAGGGAGAGAAGCATAAATGTGTGGTTGCCTCTTGTGCGCCCTCTACTGGGGACCTGGCCCACAACTCAGTCATATGCCCTGACTGGGCATCGAACCAGTGACCCTCCGGTTCACAGGCCAGTGCTCAGTCCATGAGCCACACCAACCAGGGTGGGAAATGTTTGTTCTCCGTTGTGATGGCCATCGTTTCACCCCTGAGAGCTCACTGATAGAAGGTCGGCGTGGGGACCGGTGTGGAAACCGACCCTGGTGGTGTGTCCATCTGCGAGAGTGGCCACCAGGGCCCTGTCCTGCTCTGCGGTCGGGTCTGCAGTGGGGGCCGCTCTCTCTGGGGGCCTCTCCGTTCCTACTGTGCTATCGTAGGTGACGGGGAAATTGAGATTAATCCTCTCTGGTTTGTTTTGCAGATCCAGAACATGAACAACATCATCTCCTTCCCTCTGGACAGTCTGCTGAAGGGGGACCTGAAAGGAGTCAAAGGGGTACGGCAGGGCCCCTCTGCCCGGGGTGGGGGGACCGAGTTTTCAGACGCACAGTCACAGGGCTGTGGGGACAACGGCCAAGAGGTCCTGTGCCGCCCTCGCTGGGGGGACTCTCGGCGTCTCTGGGCGTCACATGGGTGCTTCGAACATGCGAGGGGGCGGAGGACCTGCAGGGAGGGAATCTGCTCTTCGGGAAACTGCAAATGGTGCCGGGGCTCCATCTGGTTTTCCAGCTGGTGTGTCACTGACTGAGCCCTGGGGACAGGACACTCTGCGCTAGGGAGGCTCAAGCTGTCCTCCCGAGGATGTCCACTGTGGAGGGGCGGCCGAGCATCAACACAGAGCTGCCTCGTGGGTGGGAGTGAGGAGCAGGCGGGCCCCAGTGGCGTGTGGGCACCAGCAGCCGAGCACCGAGTTGCTTCTGCACAAACAGACCTGCCCCGGCTCCTAGCAGGCCGAGTGCTTTGCTGGGATCTCCCAGGGCTCCCGGGGCACGTCTGGGCCCCTCGGGCCCAGCGGGAAGCCCAGCGGGGCTGATCTCAGGGTCACCTCTGCCCACGGAGCCGGGAGAGCTGCTGGGCAGGGAGGCAGGCCCGCCGAGCAGTTCAGAGACCAGGAGTCTTCCCGCTGCCCTCTGGGGGCCCAGGAACGAGTTAGCCTGGAGAACGGGAAGGACAGGCACACCGGACAGAGGGAGCGTCCAGACACACGGACGTGGAGCTTCAGTGTTGCTCTGGGCCAGAGTCTGTGGGGGGTGAGGGGTAAGGCCTCTGGGGTGGGCAGGGCCAGCTCATGGAGGACCTCAGAGGCCAGGCTGCAGAGCTGTGTCCTTGTCCTAAGGCCAACGAAGAGCCAAAAAAAGGGCCCTGCCCCATCACAAGGGTTCTGTCTTCCCAACGAACGGTGGCTGTGAGACAGAATTGCTGGTAGCTCAGGACGTTTTCCAGCCAGACTTGCTCAGACAGTGTGAGTCCCCAGTTCCAAGCACGAGAGTGGAATCGGGAGACGTTGGCAGGTGAACGGCTTTTATGTTGTCGGGGGCCCCGTCGGGCTTCCATGTGTTGGGGGGATCCCTGGGTCGATAGGAAAGGTCAGAGAGACAGCAGCAGCGTGCAGATTCAGTGTGGTGTCTCCGGGGTTGGCCGCAGAATGAATGACCCTCGGCAGAGGGTAGGGTGCGGGGGACACAAGGTGAGTCACTACTTTCTACGTCTTGCGTGACGGGTGCCTTCAACAGTTCTCTCTCCCCTTTCCCTGCGTGCATTTGGTACTCAAAAATAAAATTTTTTAAAAGAAAGAAAGAAGGGAACGCCACCACTAGGCACATTCAAAGCCTGTGCTCCAAGTTCTTTATTTTTCATAGGATCACAGACGTCATTTGTGACAGAAATTGATGCCCCTCTCGGGACTAGTCCAAGGATAAGTGCCTCTTGGCTGGAACAGTTAATTAGTGACCGGCCTGTTTAATTTATGCCTCTCCCTCCACAGGATCTGAAGAAGCCTTTTGATAAAGCTTGGAAGGACTATGAAACCAAAATGTGAGTGTTTTCATTTTAAAAAGTAAACACAGGTCATTCGAGACTTCATTTGAAATCCAGCTTTTATTGCTTCCAGGTATTTGTCTGTAAAGAAACCCTAACCCGGGAAAGAATTCACCTAAAACTGGGTGGCCGTGGTTACAAAGCGAGGTGCTCTCGTGTCTGGTATCTAAATCGCATGATGTTAACCTCTTTAAACGAGTTTTTTCCTTGTCCCTTTTAATTATGTCAAAATGGTCACAGAATGTCATTTTCAGGGAAGTTCACTGAAGGGAGCAGAGCACTTGTTCTGGGTATTTCGTTCCCTCCCCGCGCCCAGTTTCCCTGTTGGCAAGAGCAGCACACTTTTTTGGACCCCCCTGTCCCTCCTGGTGGGTTGTGAAAGGGCCACTCTCAGAACACGGTGTCCCCCCTTCTCTGCAGCAGGGGCGCCCTTGGTTTTAGAAAGGTAGAGGACAGCAATGGCCGGAGCACCTCCCCTTCAGCCTGACTTGATTGCTTCATCGGCCAGGCGTGTCCAGGAAATGTAGGTCAGCAGAGTGCGTTGCTTTAGGGTGGCTTCAGGCAGTTGTCACTATGCTGAGCAGTTTCTCGGTCCTCCGGCGGAGAGGGCTCAGCTGGCCCGAACTGGGCTGGAGATGGTGGGGAAGGGCTTCAGTCATTCCGAACACCGATGGAGGGACAGGGAACATTTTTAAATGCCTTCGTTTGCTTTGTGATTGCTGTGCATCAGCAGTAGCGCCTTCAATGTGAAGCCCTCGGGTAAAGTGGGAATGGGAAGAAAAAAGACATGCCAGGTGCAACTACAAGTATTGAGTCGGTTTTATTTTGTTGTTTTACCAGCCTTGGGTATCTGTACAGTGGTGAAGGATTGCAAAGCTTGAGCCAAGGCACATCAAGCCCTAGATACTCGTCCATCTGCAAAAATCCCTAACCTCCGCCCCCCGAGCTGTTTGGGTCCCCGGGGTCTGGTTTCAGGCCTGCCATGCACGTATCTAGAAGCACAGAGAGGGAGCTGACCGGAGCCCCCGTGGCCTCTCAGCATCCTTCCCGCACACCCCACTCCAGTGCGGTGACCGGGGAAAGGACCGCCATTCCTGCTTTCAGACGGGAAACCGAGACTCGGCGGGCACAGCTCGTGCCTGAGCCGGGGCAGGAAGGGGCTTCTGAAGAGGGTCCCTGAGAGTCTCCTGTTCCAAAAGGGGGGTGAGATCAAATTCTGTAACATCTGCGCGCACCTATAGGGTGAGACAGGATGACCTGGGAAACCCCAGAATTGGAGATTGGGGGACCAGCACCCTTTAGAACCAGAAGGAATCCCAGGATAAATAAAGGCTGTAACTCTTCACCCACGTACACCCGAGGTTGAGTTATCCCAAGAACCCTTGGGAAGAGTAGCTAGCAGAGTTAAGACATCTCTGAAATTCCTGGGCACTAGCTCCGTACCCAATTCTTCCAGAAATGACTGGCCTCCAGATGGTGTCCCCAATCCCTTGGGGGTGCTGATGAGGAGCCTTGCCGAGGTGTCACTGTAGTTCCAGGGACTCACGGCCCTCCAGTCCCATCCCCGGCCCTGGTGCGAGAGTCCCTGTAACAGCACCCCGGCATATGTTATCTATAGTCTTGTTCATTCATTTGCTGAGCACCTACTGTGTGCCCCACACTGGGCTTCAGTGCAAAAAAACCGAGAATTAGAAACAGTATTTCTTGCTTCATTTTGAAACCCCCTCCACAGTGAAGGGGAGCCCTAGAACCCAACAGTTTCATGTTGGACACCTTTCTAAGAGATGCCACTTACCACTTCCTGTGCCTCCCACGGGGTTCGCCAGAGTATGTCCTCTCTTCTTCTTTCCTGCACAGCCTTGCCATGGTTTCGTTTTGCTTTGTTTTTGTTTTTTTAGCGCTTCCTGTGGTTTTTGTGTCATCTCCTCTCTAGACTAGAGGGTCAGTTACTCTTTCGAGCACTTCCTCGCTGCGGTGGTCTCGGAGCCGCTTCGCACCCTGGCCGGTTGTCTTTGCGTGTCCGGCGGTGGGTTGGTGTGGGGTTGCCGGTGTTGCACGGGCAGGAGTCAGATGAGCTGCGGAGGTAGCGTTCCTTCCCCAGCACTGACCCTGTCCCAGGCAGGGCCTCGCCGAGTGGGGCGCGCAGGGGACAAAGAGGGGAGCAGGGACAAGTGCAGGCGGTGGGGAAGGGCCACTGCCCCCACAGTGCCCGTGGGCTGCTCACTAGGCGCCGGACAGGACGCGATGGCTGGAGGAACCTCAGGCAGGGCCTGGTCTGCCTCCGTGGAGCCTGGTGTGGCACAGAGTGGGCGCTCCAGAAGGTTGTGCGGAGTAAACCCTCCACGAAAGGCCGAGTTTGACACTGAACATGCACTTTCGGTTAAGTTAAGGGGCTGCCCCGTCCGTGAGAGGCTCAGGGAGCGTCCGTGCCCAGCGAGGCCGTCCGGTCTGGACCACGTGCCGAGAGGCGTCCAGGCCATCCTCGCGTTTCCTCCCCGCAGAACCAAAATAGAGAAGGAGAAGAAGGAGCACGCCAGGCTGCACGGCATGATCCGCACCGAGGTCAGCGGGGCCGAGATCGCCGAGGAGATGGAGAAGGAGCGGCGCTTCTTCCAGCTGCAGATGTGCGAGGTGAGGTGGGGGCGGCGCTGGGGCTTCCTGGCACGTGTCCCCCCCGAGTGTCCCTGAGAGCGGTGGGGCCTGACCTCCACCGGGGGCCTCAGAGAGCCCCAAGTGCATTATGGGATTGCCTTGGTCTGGTTTCTCGAAGAGGGGAGGGGTGCTGCCGTCTGGGGTGAGCACTTTTCCTCATTGGAGTCTAAGGGAGCAGGTCAAGCAGGTCAGGGGTAAACAGTTTATTTTATCGGAAATGCACTGTCTGGCTGCTGCCTCTGCACCAGGGTGGACGGGCTGGCAGGCCCAGTCTGTGCCCACCCCAGCCCCCGCCCCACGGAGTCGGCAGGCAGTGGAGCGAGGCCCTGCCTGTGTGGTGTGCAAAAGCAGGTGGGCCCCACGGGCTGTGGACTGGGGGCTTACAAAGAAGGACACGTGTGACGACGGCAGACGCTGGCCAAGTCAGCGGGCTGGGGGGGACTTCCCCTGGGGAAGGAAGGGCTCGTGAGGAGCAGTTCCCCGAGAAGCCAGCTGCTGGGCCGAACAGAGGACTGCAGATAAAACTCTCCCGCCGTGGCCCCAGGCCGACGGTCGCAGGCCTTGTACGTGCTGGGCCTTGGGTAGGTGTTCTGCCTCTCTGGCTGCCCAGGACCTAACTGGGAGAACGGCTCTCACCTTGTGTTTCAAAGCCACGGAACCTTTCTCCTGCAGAGGGAATTTTACCAAGATGTTTAGTGAGTGTGCCATGTTGGGCCTCTGTCAGCAGGAAAGGTGTGAGAGATGCTGTTCTGCTTTCTTCTTCTTATAAAAATAATACACACTTTCAATATTGGTCAATATACATATATGTGTGTGTGTATCATATCAACATTAAAATCACCCCAGATTTTGCTTCCCGGAGATGACCACTCTGGCATTTAACTAAGCATGTTTCCCTGTCCCCGTGCGGGCCTGTCCACCTGCCTAGACACCAGTGGAAATCGGCCATCCTCTGCCGACGCTCTGTAACTCGATGATCGTCACTGGGTGTGGATGGGCACCTGTCCACATGGCAGGCTCTGCTTTGGTGGCTCAGTGGCCACGTGGCATTTCTTGGTGCAGATGCGCCGCACGTTCATCCCCTGTTTTATGTGCTTGGCGTGTTGCTGTTTCCACTCCTATAAACTAATCTGCAGTGAAGCTTCTTCCCCATTCATGTTGGTAAACTTTCCTGGTCACCCTCTTAGCACGAGTTCCTGTCGGCAGAGTTTGTAGGTCAAGGGGCACACGCATTTTAAAGTTCGACGCGTTGCCCAGGATCTTTTGAACACGTGGCCGTTCTGATGCACTGCCAAGCAGCTTATTCAAATGGCAGTGAATGCACATCAGAATGAAGGAGAGAGGAGAGGCCATACAGACAAGAGGGAAGCCTGCAGCCGGACAAGAGTGGCCGCCCGTCTGCCCTGGTGGGGGCAGTTCTGGGGGAGCACTTGACCACGAGTCTCCCAGGGCACAGCTGAGAAGCCCGTGTGGTCAGCGGGGCCCAGCAGGCTTTTTGGGTCATCCAGTCTCAGGGGTGACCTGTTCTTGGGGTCCTTTCTGCCACATCCCGACAGCGCAGGGAGAGCGAATTTATGGAGTTTTTGTTCCAGGAACCTTTAGCAAAGAGCAGATCTTTCCAGGGGCTGGTTTTGTGGATCCCGGGGACTTCCTTCCTGGTGTCGTGGTGTTTGTTGGTGAATGCTCCAAGTTAACAATGGCTTTCATGCATTTCAGTTGAAGGCCTGGCTTTAGAGCAGTCACGTTTTGGGGACGTTTTGGGGAAGTGCCTTAGGGACAGATTAGCAGTGAGCATCCCAGAGAATGAGCTCCCTGAAGAAGGGACCTGGGACAGGGACGCACGCAGGCCGAGTGGTCACGACGGCAGCGTCCCATTCATTCTAGTCCTTGTTCTTCCGTGGAGCGAGAGCAGAAATTGCTCCCACACTGTCTGGTTACTGGGGGCTCTTGGCACTTCAAGTGAAGCATTTAATTACTTAACTTGAAGTAATTATCTGTCCATGACTTGCCCGTGTCAGATCATTCACGGGGCACCGAGCTAAAAGGCGCATTTAGTCTCGGCCTTCGGGGAAACACGAAGCCTGCCCACCACGGAGCGTGTCCTGGGGGGGCCCACGGGAAGCTCCTATTTGCTTCTGTCTGTGACTTGCCTTTTTTGTCGTTTGTTTTTGTTTTTCTAACAGTATCTGCTGAAGGTCAATGAAATTAAGATAAAAAAGGGAGTGGATTTACTTCAGAATCTGATCAAATATTTTCACGCCCAATGCAAGTAAGTTCTTTTTGTCTTTGTCGTGATGCTGTTTCCACTGCTCCCGTCTTGCTGGCCCATTCCCGCCCGTGGGCAGCGCGGTGGGGAGGGCGGAGGGGCGGACACAGGTGACAGCCCCGGCTTGAAAACGCATTAAGGGCAGGAAGCCGGACAAGAGTCCCCGGGCTGTGGGCTTCCATCTGTGTGAAAGTTCAGGGACAGGCCAAGCTGCTGTGGGGGCGGCGGTGGTGGGATGGGCTTTTGGGGAGTGATGACGATGCCCTGAAATCAGAGGTTGCAGATGGTCCTGCCGATGGTCGCAGAACCAAGTGAATATTACTAAAACCCTCTGAACTGTTCACTCCGAAGGCTGAGTTTTACGGTCCGAGGGGTGTGTCCCAATGAACAAACACTATAGAAATCCACTGAAGTTATCTCATAGGTTTGTTTCTGCCCTTTTGGCAGAGGGGTAGTCTCGTGTGATCAGAGGCTTTTGTTAAAGGAGAAGCCGGGAAGTGTCGATGCAGGGCAGGCATTGAGAGCCCGTGTCAGGAATTACGTGTCTTGTAAAGCAGGTGACAGCAGCGAGCACCGCATGCAGAAGACACAGGGATGTGTCCTCTTCGAGGGCGGCCCCGGCGCTGCGCTTGGCTGCCCGCGTGAGCCTATCACACTCAGCCATCCGGTCTTGGCCTCGCTGTCTTTCCTGCCCCTCATCTTGCTTGTACACCCCGACCCCCGGCTGCTAATATAAACAGGCCTGGGTTCATTCACTGTTATTATGAAGTGTGTGCCGCGTGTTCAGCACTGTCCTCAAGGCTGGAGATAAACTAACGTCCACCCAGGCCTGGTTCCTGCTCGAGTCGAGGAGGAGGTGGGGCCAGAACGGACTTATAATTGGACATTTAAATATGTTCCAGATCTGGCTGGTGTGGCTCAGTGGGTTGAGTGCCGGCCTGCAAACCGGAAGTTCGCTGGTTCGATTCCCAATCGGGGCACGTGCCTGGGGTGCAGGCAGGTCCTCATTTGGGGCCCTACAAGAGCCAGCCGATGTGTCTCTCCCTCCCTTCCCCTCTCTCTAAAAATAAATAGATAAACTCTTTAATAAAACGTGTTCCCAAGTGCTGGACTCTCGAGAGCAAGAAGGAAGGGCTACATTGAGATGAGGGTGGAGGGCGGGGCTTCTCTTCTGTTCCCCCTCCCCGCTCCGTGCTGGACGGCCTGTCCCCGGAGGTGGAGCGCAGCACCGGGCACATCAGGGGGCCGGTGCTGCCAGCGTGAGCTGCAGGCCTCTCTGGGGAGTCACGCTCGACGGTCTAGAGGGTGAGCGGGAGCTAGCGGAGAAGGAGCAGAGGACGAAGGGGTCCCATTGTCCCCTTGTCCCAGAAGGTTGTTCTGTTCCCTCTGCTCCTTTCCCCAGCGTCTGTCCCTCCCTAAGACCTGGCTCAGGTGTAGCTGCTGCTTCCGAGTCATTCCACGCGTTCCCTGATGCAACTGCGTCTCCTCCTGTGTGTCCGTGGTGACATCTTCCCTAGCGTGTGGCGTCCCCCCTGCACTGTAGAAGGAAAGAAAAGTGGACTTTTCGTTTCTGCCATGCATGGCTCGTTTCCCTGGCACACAGTCGTCACGGTGACTCACACCGGTCAGTCAGAGCGGACCCCGCCGTGGAATGGCGAATCCTGCCTCGGCGACGTGGCTGTTCTGAGGCAGCCAAGGTCACTCGGCAGAGGAGGAGGTGCTGTGCGGTTTATCCTGGGTCGAAAAGAGAGCCCCACCAGGGAAGCCGGCTTGTGCGGGGACGGCAGTGAGCCACTCATCGGCGGGCTCTCCGGGACGAGTTATTGCACAGGGACTCCGGACCCTGAGTTTGCAATTAACACGTAAATGCCTTTTCTGGCTCTTATCCTTGTGACCTTATGTGAGCGGTTTAGGAAGTGGGTCGCTTCCTCCCTGATATTTTATTTTCAAGAAGCTATTCTTGGATTTCCTTTTTCTTCTTTATTTTGCCCAAACTGACCAGTTGGGTAGCAACAGGCCCCTTGTGGAAGAGTGAAGTAGTTGGCCTTTTATGGACACGAGTGCAGCAACCTTTAAAACCGATGCCTCACGCAGAGCTTCCTTGGAGGATGCGTGTGCAGGGATGTGCACACGGGTGCATGTGTGTGGACACACCACACACTCTTCAGATCATCCCAAGAGGTTTGACTGTTTCAGTTCGTACTTGGGGGGACAGAACGTGGAGCCCGGTGACCTAGCCATCGGGCACACGAGCCCGTGGGTGTGCCCTGCATATCCACCTGGGGTTCCTTGGTGTTGCCCACCTGTCACCCCCAGAGCGCGGTGCCCGTGGGCAGAGGTGGGGCCACTGGCCTGTGCAGCTGCGGCGAGGCCTTCTGGGGGCGCCCGGCGCTGGGAGCCGTGGTCGACAGTCACCCTTAGAACTACGAGGGAGGCATCATTTGGCTTTTGACTTAAAACATTCTTGTAGACCATTCTTCATGGTCTTTGTCTCTTATTTCACTTACGGAAAGAATTCGCATCTCCCCCTAGTTCCTGGGTCCTCTTCTCTAGTGGGATCTAGAAATGAAGCCGTCTTTAAAACAGCAACAATGCAATCCACCCGGACAGCCATGTTCTGACAGGTGGTCGGACTGTCGAAGTGACCTGTTCCTTGGCAAGTCCCTGCTGGGCGCCGCTGCCCGCTGCTGCCGGGGGAACTAGGGAGGCGGACATGATGGATGGCATGCAGGGAGCTGGTACCGGGGGCAGGGGGCGCGGGGCACAGAACGCAGACAGGTCACCGGCCCCCAGTGCAGTGTGCTGTCATCGGGCCACCCTGCGTGGAGGGACCTTAAAGACGGAATCTAAGTGAGTATATGCCAAGGCACAGGTGGCAAACACAAGGCCCACAGGCCGAACCCAGCCCTTCACCTTGTTTCATCCGGCCAAGCACCACCCGGCAGCAGCACCGAGCTCTCGCCTAACTGTTAAGGAGTTCTTACATTTACAGGGTCCTAACATTACATTCGGCCCTCTGAAGGCAGCCACGAGACTGATGTGGCCCCCGGTGGCTTGACATCCCTGTTCTAAAGGCTTGAGATTCAGTCAGCTGGGCTAGAAAATGTCTAATAGAAAACAAATGTGATACTTGGCACTATGGGCGGTGAACACTGTCTGATGGAAGAGCTTGTGCAGGTGGGAACAGGTGCAGCCCAAGATGTGCCGGGGACCCGTGCTTGGGCTGTCACCTCAGTGGCAGCCCAGGGCGCCCCCTTCGGTGCTTGCCCTGCAGCCAGGGCCGAGTCACCTTGCAGGTGTATAGAGGCACTGCCATGTGTCCCAGCGCCAGGGTTTGGGGGGCAGGGCTTGCAGGAAGCTGCAGATTCAACACTCAGGTGGAGGGGCTTTTCCAGGTGGACAGTCAGGCCAGGCTAGGTGACGACGGAGATGAAATCCTGGTCTCACACCCAGGTTTGTGGTGTTGCCTCAAGCACACTGTCCGCTGTCCCAGTGGACGCAACGTCTGTGAGGAGACAGACATACCTCTCTGGGCTCTGGACTCCAGAGCGGGGCTCTCTCACCATGGGGACAGTTGCCAGCGCAGACACACTTGGAGCTGGGCACCTGCCCCCATGCCCAGGAGCAGGGCCCTTCCTCGCTGTCTCCTGTGGCGCTTTTCCTGCCCTCTGCCCCTGGGTCTGCTGCTCTCTCTCTGGCTCTACCCCTCGCTCCCTCCTTCCTTCCCTCTCCACCCCCCACCCCCACCATCTCACAAGAAGTTAGAGCGAAGAAGGAAATATTTAAAAATAAACATACAGGGTCTGGTACAAATAGCACCCCTTTTTAATTACAAAATCACAAGCATGTCATTCTGTAACGACACCATCACACTCAAGCATGCCATATGACATGCTAGGTGAAATGTTGGAATTAAAACCGTAAATTATCGCACCCATGGTATTGCCCTACCAGCCACATCGCTGTGTCGGGGTACCCTTGGTACGGAGCGAGAATGTAAAGTAATTTATGGGTCCGTCTAAAATTGGAGGCTCGGAAATCCAAACAGCCCAGCTGCTGTGGCCCCCGATCGCCAGCTGGCGACGGTTCAGAACCCACAGCCAGTGGGTGCGTTTCCCCTCCCTCCCCCCAGGAATTACGTATAAGGGTTGCGTCACTTTTTCTCAGGCCCCTCCTGTGTGTCAGGGACTTGATGTGGGAAAGTCCTGCAGCACAGTCGCTGAGTGTAGGTGGTAAGCCCCTCCTCACAGCAGCTCACTGGAACCCCAGTCACTGTTTGAGGACACAGCCTCTTTGTCTCGGTCAAGTGGCAGAGCTGGAATCCCCTCCCTTCCCCAGTAACTTGCTTCCTCATCCCACAAACACTGGGTGCCTGACAGGCCAGGCTTTGTGGACACTGGTCCTCTCCCCCCTCAAACGTCGGGCCTAATTTTTGGGGGGTTCTCTTTTAAATTATCACACTAGTGGATGCGTAAGGGTAGTCATGGTAGATGCTTTGAAGCAAAAACCAGTAAGCCGTGAGGGACTGTGGCCGGGAGACCTCTCTGAAAGTGGGGGCCCCGGGAGCCTCACCAGTGAGGTGGTATTGAGCTCAGAGCTTGAAGAAGAGGCGGGACTCTGCCCACTGAGCCGGATGATGTGCTGTGGGGAGGACTCGTGAGACGGCAGAAACAGCACGTGCAAAGGGCCTGTGGCTGGAAGGGTTCAGTGGCCGTAGAGGGAAAGCCCAGTGCGTGTGGAATTTATCGAGTGAGGGGTGAGCGGTGGAGACTGACACTCGCGGCCAAGGCCCACAGGGATGCTGGCTGCTGGACTCCGCCCCATCTCCCCGTAAAGCGTCTTCCTCACTTCTCTCAAGAGGAGGCGTGTTACACACCACGCACTTCAGATGGGCCTGCTGTGCGCACCACCAGCCCACGTCGCTGCGGAAAAGCCTGTCTAGCGTCTGCTGTATTTCGGGAATCACTGAATTATAAGGAACTTCATGAGCCTTGAGTTCTGAGTTAAAGAAAAAGAAAGAAACAGGTCCCTTTCGATGTCCAGTCTCAAGTTCTCAGCCACGTTCCCAGACCCCACAGATGGGGCTTCGGGCGCATCAGACTTGCTCGGTTTTTTTCTGCATTCTTTCTCTTTTCCACTCCGCTGTCACCTGTCAAGGGAGGTTTTTTATGTCTCATTCTTGTCTGCACCCCCTGCTTTGGGGGCCTTGGAGTCTCCCAGTCCTGAACCAAGGCCTCTGCTGCCCTCGTCAGTGAAATCCTCTTTGCTGTTATAAACGGAGAACTCGGGGCTCGTGATGGGCGGGGGAAAATCGCCGATCTTTCGGCTCATTGCTGTTCCCTCCCACTCGTGTCTCATAGTTTTGAGTGTCGTGCGACTCTAGTGATAGTTTCGGGTTCGGTTCATCCCGTCTTTCCCCCCAGGAATGACATAATGATTTCAGTCCCTATCCCTCAAAGACGTGTCTCTCCATCTCTCATAACGAAACCATTGTCTCTGATATGTGTGTTGCGGCTCTTTTCCTCCTAGTTTCTTCCAGGACGGGCTGAAAGCCGTCGAAAACCTCAAGCCTTCCATCGAAACACTTTCGACAGATCTCCACACAGTGAGTAGCCCCCTGCCACGTCAGTGTAGGAACAGGTCTGTCGTCATCATTATTCATGTATCTGTCACCATTTATCTCCCCCACATGAAACAGTTTTTATGCCACAAACTCTTTCACGTCCTTGTTGCTTCTGTATAATCTTGTGATTATACCCTCTGGGTGGCCCGTACACTGACAGCATGGCAGGGCCCCACGGAGTCCGGGGTCCATGCTCCTGTCCTGTGTCTCAAGCTGGGGGGGCGGGGTTTGTCTATCGAGGGACGGGTGTCCTGTCGATGTGGGAATGGCCTGTGACCTCATGCCTGCCTCTCTGTCTTCCTTTTGTTTTGAAAGATCAAACAGGCCCAGGATGAAGAGAGAAGGCAGCTGATCCAGCTCCGCGATATTCTGAAGTCAGCGTTGCAGGTCGAACAGAAGGAGGTGAGTGGATTTAATTGTGAAGCGGGCTGTTTGACCCTTTGTCCGGGGGCTTTGGGACTGAGGAAGGCGACCTCCCTGCCCGTCAGGGGGAGGGGGCATTCACTGTGGGCCCGGCCTCCACGGCCGTGAGTCACCCTTCCCGCCCCACCGGTCCCTGGATGAGGAGCTCTCAGCATCTCCATCAGACAGACGCCCTATAGTTGTGCCACTGCTTTTTCCCCCTGAACTTTGGTTACCCCACCTGGTAGATGTGGACGCTGCCCACCTGGGCATCAGCAGGTAAGGGGGGGCCCTGAGCCTTCCACCCCTGGGCTCGTGTTCAGTTGAACGTGAGGAGCTAGATTCTCTCACCACCTGTTCTCTTGGGCAGAAAACCTGGTTCTCTGGCCATGCCTTCCAGAGAATCGCCCCTCTGTGTGCTTTCGCATTTATAGTGATACTTCGTGCTTTAAGAAGTAAATGTCTCCTGTAATGTTAGGATACGTTTGCTGCAATGCGGACATGATAATGTGGAAATTCAACAGAAGTCCACTTCCTTATCAATAAAGCGATGTGTCTAAATGTATCACTTGTGGACTTTAGATAAATAACCCTATTAAGCTGCTTAGCAGAGCATCAGCTTGGCTGTTGGTAATTGGTCTGCTCTGGTTTGTCTGAAGTTCCTGTACTATAACTGAATATTGTTGTTTCTCTCCCAAATGCATTTACCTTTTGTGACCGAAGTCTAGGAGAGTAAGTAGTTCAGTATTTTAATAAATTGGAGAATTTTTGCATGCTTTCTTCCATGTGTCTATTAACTAGAGCATATTTTATGTAATCCCTTTCCTCTCGATAACAGTGGGTTCCATTAGAGGCTAAAGCATTTGAATGCACAGATGCTAGTGCAATGGAAATGTTCCACATTTACTGTTGGCCCGTTTGCTGCTGTTCTTTGTGAAGATGAAGCAGGCCCCGCCCCCGCCCTGACCCACCCAGCCGTGGACTCCAGTCCACCTTGAGCTGGTCTCCGCGTGCTGTCTCCGCTCAGCCCACCCCCGTGGTCTCAGTTCCTAGGGCACGTTCTGTCCCAATGGCTTGGCTGTGTCCTCCAGCACACAGACCCCGTTTCTCCAGTGACACCTGGAGCAGGGGGAGGGTGCCTTCAGCCATTGGGGGTGGGGCCGGGTGGCTCACTGAGCAGGCTCTCGGTGAACAGGGGTCAGGGTTCAGGGGTCAGCTGAGCCAGAGATCGGCGGGCTGAGGTTCTGTGTTAGTGCCGGCCATGACCCACACAGTCTGTTGACTTCCTCCTGGCCCAGAGAATGTACATCCTGATGCTTTGATGTTCCCAGACTCAGAGGCAAAGCAGAAGAAGAAATAGAAAAGAACTTGGAGTACGGGGAGAATAGTGGCTTAACTGTCACTGGAAGACAGGGTGCCAGGTGTGGGAGCTGGCCCCGTCAAGGCGGCCGTCATCCAGTGTGTCACTGGGATGGTACGCAGCGCTTCTGTCTCAGAGAAAGGGCCGTGCCCGGGAAGCAGCGCTCTGGATTGTAACAGGGGAGAGCGGGTGCTGGGCCCGGGGAGCACTGGGTGCTGTGTGTGGGCCGTGTGTGGTCTGGCTGCAGAATAGGGGGGTTTGGGAAGCGCTTGGTCAGAAAGCCAGGTTTCCGGCTTCTCTGCAAAGAAGGGAAACAAGTTCTCCAGTACAGACCTGAAGTCATTATGGTTTGTACGCTGTGTGTTTTGTGGGCCGGGCCTCCGCCCAGACGGACTACAGGGGTCAAGTGCAGCCTCTTTCCTGCCCCCGCTTTCGCTTGTACTCACAGACCGAACTCCCCAGTCTCCTGGTTGGAAATGTGTAAAAACAAAATTATTCTCCAAAACACAGCATATCTTGTTCATCTCACTCTGCATTGAAGATGACAGTCCAGGAACTGGACAGTCTGTGGACACAGTTGCAGGTAGTCACCAAATGCGTATAAGTTAAATCTTATACATTTTAAAATAATTTTTGTGGTTGGGATTTCATCGTGTGCCCCTCCAGTGGCACTGAAAATTGACATTCGGGGCGCCGTTGTGTAGGCTTTCATGTCCCCCCTTTTTGGATTCTCTTCTATGACCCAGAAAACTGAGGTGTTGGTGGTTTTATTTGGTGTTATAAAAATTCTAACCACATAATTACAGTTCATAAAACTTAGAGAACGTGTCCCGAGGAGGTTGCGTGCACGGTTGGTAGGGGTCACTCTCCCCACTCCTGCCCGGAAATCTCCAGGGAGCAGTCATCTGGCCAGAGAGAGGCCGTGGCTGTCACCTCATTGTCACCCGAGGCTGTGCTCAGGGAAGGAGACTCTGTCCCTGCGGGTCCCGGTGCCCCTTGAGCCTCGGAGTCACACACGTTCGTGTTTTGTTTTTGATGCTGCTGCTGGCTGTAGAGACGATGCCGCAGTTTGACTTTTCCATTATTTTACTAGGAAAATTCTCAGAGAGGAGTGAACTTCCCATACACGCGCCATAGTTATAACATTAGGGAAAGGTCCCTTTTTCGGAGTCGAAACCCTTCCACACTGCTGATTGTGCTGTTCATTGTCCTCATCTGCCTGGCCTTCCGCCGCCGTCCCCACCTCTCGGGCACCCAGCGCAGTGGCCTTCTGCGCCAGCACCTCCCACTGCAGCGCCGGCGAGTCCCTGCCTGAACCCCGCGGTTGGCGGCGGCTGTCTGCTCTCGGACGCCGAGAGCCCACCCTGTGCCTCGGGGGCAGGTTCGGACCTGGAGACGGCCTGGCAGGTCTCCACGAGATGACTTTCCACTTCAAAGTGTTCAGGGGCGGGGCCTCCCTTTCTCTCAGCCTCACTTCCCCGCGTAAACTGTGCTTGTCTGGCAGGGTGTGGCTGGGTAGCCGTGCTGTCCGGGTAGCCGAGGTCCGTGCAATGACGGCCCTGAACTCTCCTCGGACCCTGGTTCCTCCGGCAGGGCTTGCACAGGTCACCTGATGCCCGGCTCTGGCCTCCATCAGCCCCCTCTGGCCAGGTGTCCGCCTCCCTACCTCTTCGGCCATGCTCCTGGGTGGCCCGGCACAGCCTTCACTTCCGCCTTGGCGGGAACATGCTCACTGACCCACACACCCAGCTAACTGTGTGCTTAGCGGTGACTGAGCCAGGCAGCGCACACAGCTCCCACCTCTGCAGGGCCCCTGCCCCCGGGGTGGGGCCAGGAAAGTCACAAGGTGCAGTGTGATGAGAACTGTCATGCAGTCAGCTCCCGGGGCGGAGTGGCTGACAGTTTGGGGGTGATTCGGGTGTACCTCTGCACCTGCCCCCTCCCTCTCTGCCAGGGGTGCGCTCTGTTGTCCTGGCGCTTCCTTCCCGCCTCGCTCTCGGGCTTTTCCGGCCACCCACCAGCGTGACTGACCAGTGACCCGCACGAGGCCTCGCAGCACAGGTGGTGTTGCCCCTCGGCCCCAACCTGAGTCTGAGAGAGAGAAGGCAAATGCTCTTGAACCCTGGCCTGGCCCCTGCCAGTCTGTTAACTTTCCATCATACTCTGTGACTTCACCATCTAGTGTTGGGCAGACTCTTGAGGAATGTTACCCAGAAACATGGAGGACAGGTGGTAATGAGACTTGAAAACTCAGATCTCGGACTGTGGCTTGGTGTGTCCAGCAAAGCATCCAGCAGCTGGCCGGGTCGGGGTGCACGTCCCTGTCACACCCCCCTGGGAGGAGGGGAGTGAGGTGGCCCTCTCGGTCCTCCCTGGGCGGAGGAGCTTCATGATCCGTTCTCCACAAGATTCATGTAAACACGGGCTTTCTGAGAGGTGAACGGATAAGGTGTAAAACTTCTTCCATGCAGTTCCAGAGTCTTAGGGAGCTCGGAGGCACTTCTGACACTATGAGAAACCTGCATGCGTGTAGCGTACGCCACGTCACCCCTGTTCCTACCAGGCATTCGGCGCACCCGGGCGGCTCTGGCCTGGCAGGATTCGGTGGCGAGCACTTCCTAAGACCACACAAGAGCCTGGACAGGGCCTGGGGGACGAGGACTTGTCTGGACGTCACAGGCAGGGGCTGTGTGGGTTCTCTTAGGAGAACCTTCCTGGAGACACAGTGGACGCCCTCTGAGCCCGCGTCCTTCCCAGGCGCAGGCGGCCTCCACCCTCCAGGCTCACGCGCTCCAGTCTGAGGTCGGCCTGGGCTCTCCGGGGACACAGGAGTGTGCCGGGGAGTCCGAGAATCCAGGCAGCATGGCCTCCCTCCCCGCTTCCCTCCCGGCCAGCTGCCTGTCTGTGTGAGAGCTGCTTAGGGCTCTTTCCCCTTGGGCTACACTCCATTAGACCCAGGTCTCGGTGGTGTGAAAGGGGGAAGGGCCAGCTCCCTTTGCCACCCTTCATTGGATCGGGCGCTGCTCAAGATACCGGTATAAACAGGTGAAGAAAGGCTATTTTCATCAGGTGACCTAGAAGTCACCTTGACGATGCTTAAATAATTAGTTCTAAAGCAGGTTGAACTTTATGCTAAATCATATTACTCTCATGTATAAGCTTAAAATTTTACAGCTTCAGATTGGCCTGCATTTCTCATTGATTCAAGCAACGCTGAATCAATGGTCTGAGGAGTAAAACAGTCATTTCTTCCTGAGCTTCCGGCCGAGGGTCTGACTCAGCCGGCACAGGGTGTCCTTCACACCCTCTCTGTGGGGCCTGGGAAGAGCTCTGATCCCTGTGCCCGACAGACCTGGAGCCCTTACGGGTGCAGGGCTCCTTCCCTGCCCAGGCGGCAGACAGGGTGCCTGGCGGTGCGGTTCGGTCTTCGACAGGCATATTTTTAGTCCTTCACGGGGTCAAATAGGTGGGCAGAGTTTCTCCATTTCCCTTCCACCATCTTCATTCCCCTGACGTTTGAAGCTGGGTTTGCTCCACTTTTCCAGTGCGAATCTCCCGCCCTTCTGAGAGGAGGGGACACGGGGGCCTCCGATGCATTTGGTGTCTGCCTCGGTTGTCTGGAGGCATAAGCGCTGTGTGAACTCCCCACGGAAAATGAGGACCCTTCTCCTGTTTGGGGGTCTGTTCAGGCTTCGTTGTCAGTTCAGTGATGGGACGCCTGAGCACACTATTGATTTCTCGGATGAAGATTTTTTTGTTTGTTTCTTTTTGCAGTTATCCTGTATATATATCTCAGAGTTTTTTAAAAAGTCAGCTCTAGACAGCCTGTGTTTCTGGAAGACGGTATTGTGAAGATGTCAGTGTTCTTCCAGTCGGTCTGCAGGCTGAAGGCAGATCCCATCAGGATCCCAGCTGCCTTTGCAGAAACCGACAGGCTGGTTTTAAAGTCCAAGTGCAGATGCAGGGGGCCCAGAGTAGCCAGAACAGCCCTGACAACGAGGAACATGGGTGGAGGGCCGCTCACGCTCTCTGACTTCAGAGCAGTGTTGACGATACTAGCTCAGAGCTCCGGTCAGCTGGGCGGTGTGGGGCTGGCCCAGGACGGACACCGGGCAGTGGAGCAGCATTGAGAGTCCAGAAAGAAACCCTCACGTCCATGGTCAACTGATTTGCAACAAAGGAGCCAACACAGTTCAGTGAGGAAAGAACAGTGTTTCCTTCCTTCCTTCCTTCCTTCCTTCCTTCCTTCCTCCCTCCCTCCCTCCCTCCCTCCCTCCTTCCCTCCCTCCCTCCCTCCTTCCCTCCCTCCCTCCCTTCCTCCCTTCCTTTTTTAAAGATTTTATTTATTGTTAGAGAGTGGGGAAGGGAGGGAGAAAGAGAGGGAGAGAAACATCAATGTGCAAGAGATACATCAGTCGGTTGCCTCTTGCACACCCTCAGCTGGGGGCCCAGCCCGCAACCCAGGCCTGTGCTCTGACTGGGAATTGAACCAGCGACCCTTTGGTCCGCAGGCCAGCGCTCACTCCACTGAGCCACTCCAGCCAGGGAAAGAACAGTGTTTTCAACAAAGGATGCTGTGACAGGTGGACAGCCACAGCAAAAGAGTGAATCTGGACCCCTAGCCCACACCATTGTCAAACGCCAAAGTAGGCCAAAGAGCCACACCTAAGAGCTAAAACTATAAAACACTTAGAGGACAGCGTACGTCTAAATCTCTATGACCTTGGATGGAGCAGCGCTTTCTCACATGTGACATATAAACCGCAGAGAGAGACTGTAAGTAAGTTGGGCTTCATCAAAATTAACAACTTTTATGCTCCAAACACCTTTTTGAAAACTGCCCAGGATCCAGGTGGCCGTGACCCTGACTGGAGCCTCTCTGTCTTTTGTACCAGTGGCCACTTTATCCAAGCTGCACAGATTAGCTGTGTCCTCGATTCCCTGGGGGCGGCCACAGCTGCCACTTCCTCTCCAAGCCCCCGCGCACGTCCCCCTGCTGTGAGTGCTGTACCCTCATTCTCTGCCACCCTTGCTTTCATTGTGAAAGCCCCCCGCCCACTCCACCACCCCCGCAGGCTTCCCCATGGGTGCCTCATGCCTGCTCAGCTCCGATTGTCCGATGTCCCCCAAGGGCAGTCACGGGCTTGGTGATGGAGGTGAGACCGGCCCTCGACTCTTGGGGTGCCTCTCCACGCTCTGCTCCGCCTCCGACAGACTCCGTATCACAAGCAGTTCGCTGGTTTTCCTAGTGTTTCTGTTCGTTCCATGACCAAGTGAACTGGATGGGGGGGGCATTTCCCAACGACAGGTAGAGGCAGACTCGCGCCCGCCTGGTTCACCTGTGAACTCACATCCGTGTTGTGCCCCCGCCTGTCTCCTTCACGTCTGCAGAACTCCCAGCGCCCTCTCCGCTCAGGACTCGCGCCGCCATCTGTTAAGTGCAGTTGAGCTCCCACTGGGCGCCCGGGTTTCACTGGTGGGCTTTGCCCTCGAGGGGCCAGAGGCCAGAGTTCCCAGCTGTCCGAGTGGGCGGCACACCCTGAGCCCCAGGCGGTTCGGTTCAGGGTCATGGCCCTTCTCCTGGGATGGACGGGGTCAGGAAGGGACTGTGGTCAGTACCTGCCCTGGACCAGGTGTTCACACCTGTTCCATCACTCAAACCTCACCCCATTTCCCTTCCTTACTGGGTATTTTCCAAGGGGGAGACTGAGGCAGGGAGCTAAAGTGTTTTCCTAAAGTGAGAGGCGGAATGTTGGCCTTTTTGTTTTCGTTTTGTTTTGTTTTGTTTGTTTGCTCTGCCGGGAGCTTCTTGCTGTCATCAGGGACCTGAGGCTCATAACTACGTCAAACCTTGTAACTTCCAGTGCCTCGCTCTGGGCCAGTGTGGGGACACCGGTCTTTGCCATTTCCTTCCCCAGCCCGGTGGGTGGCATGTGGGAGTCCTTGGATATGAAATTCGTGCCCCTTTTTTGGTGGTGAGAAGGGGAAGTTTCTCTGATTTAAAAAGACTGTTTTCAGGGAATCCATTTCCTCTGTATGTGCACTGCTCTCGGACTGAGGGGGTTCTGCACGGAGCCGAACCCCACACTCCCTGGCCGTTTTCTAGGATTCGCAGCTCCGCCAGAGCGCGGCCTACAGCTTACACCAGCCTCAGGGCAACAAGGAGCACGGCACGGAGCGCAGCGGCAGCCTCTACAAGAAAAGCGACGGGTACGTGGCGGCGTGGCCGGCGTTGACGTGTGTGTCCACCTGTGTCTGCGTCCAGAATTTCTAAACTCTTGTTTTTTTCCACCATTGATCTCTAAGGATCCGGAAAGTGTGGCAGAAAAGGAAATGTTCGGTTAAAAATGGTTTCCTGACCATCTCGCACGGAACCGTAAGTACCACCCCTGCAACTCCCGCCTCCGCCGGGGCCGAGGCGAGGGACCAGCTCGGTGGGACCAGCGTGGATCGTGGGGAGCCAGGGATGCGCTTTAAAGACGCTCCCTGCTTGTTCGGGTTCCTGCCGTTTTGGGTGCTCCTGCACCGGTTCCTGCGTTTCCAGCAGGGCAGGGTCCTGCTCACCTCCACGCCCAGCAGTCAGGAAGAGCCCGCGGGCCGCACGCTCTTTGTTCGGAGCCTGCGACTTCCATAAACTCCCAGGAAGCCAGCCCGCTGCTCACCAGCTCTCATGGTTGGGAAATGGACCGTGGCACTTGGGACGGCGTCTCCTCCGCTCAGGGAAAGGCAGACAGGGTCAGGACGCTGGGAATCAGAGCCCCAGGGGAGAGCCGTCCAGGCTTCTGTCACAGACACCGGAGGCCCGGCCCTCACCCAGTCCTTTGTTGTCCTGCGTGCGGGGAAACCGAGCCCCAGGTGTTCGCCTTGTAAAAACCCGACCGAATAAAACGGCAACTGATCTCACTCTGGGAGACCAGGGGTCGTGACCACAGTCACAGCACAGGCGTTCCCTGCAGTGGCATTGGGCACACTGTCACCTTCCCTGGTGTGGCGGGGCCAGGTGTCCGAAGGTGAGATTGGCTGCTGTTTTGTTGCTGATGAGAATGCTGGCGATGGTGGCACTTCAGGTCCCCAGGCAGGAGGCCGGGTGCTGCAGGATGGTGGTGGGGACACGCCTGGGCCCACCCCTCCTCCCTTCTCCCTTCCCCTCCCCCTACCCCCCCCCCCACTCCCGCATTCCCCAGGTCCCCCAGAGAAAGGCTGCGCTGGGCTGAATGCAGTACAGGCTTTGCAGGCTTTCCAGAGGGCTCGTGGCTCGGAGCCCTTCCAGCACTTAGGAACTTGAAGGGTGACCCTGCGGCGGGGCTCGTGTTCCCTGGGGGACCCTTCATTTTCAGCAAGTCCGCTTTGGGGAGAAACACAGTGGAACGAGCATCTGTCAGCTGTCATCTTCAGAGAACTCTTGGCCTAGCGGATTAACCAGGTCTCTCCCTCATTTCTCTTTTCCAAAGTCCTGCCTCACCGGCCTCACTGACGTCCCCAAGTCCCCCCGGGCCACACAGTGTGGACCCTAGTGGAGCGCGTTTCCGTGGAGACGTAGGTCTGAGTGTGTCGACCACGGGAAGCCCGTTCTTTTAGTCACAGCTCTCTGTGGACGGGGTGACGGCTGGGTCCCTTCCCGCTCTGAACACCCAGGACTCCACTCTGTGGAGACGGCTTTCTAGAAGAAGACCCAGTTTCACTTCAGGCCTGTTCACAGCTCTGAAGTCCTTCACTCGGTGGCTTTGCTTCATGAAAGTGTCTTGCGAGACCCAGGGCTCCGTGGAAACTGAGGAGAAATGAAAGCCGGGGGTCCCCTGCTGATGGCAGAAACTGCTTGGAGTCCTTCCGCTGCCCCAGCGGCCATTCAGAAAACATGGGGCCTCAGTTTTGCCCCAGGGTTGATGGGCTGCCACAGTAGGGGGCTTCCCTAGCTGCAGACAGCTCAGCGGGTCACAGGCCTTGCACACTTCATAAGTGCTCTGTTTGGGGGGGACCCTGCTCAGGGAATCACCCCTGTCTACTGCCACATCCTGCCTCCCAACTGGGGCTGGGAGCAGCTGGTGAATGGGGGGGAAGTACCCTGCCTGGTGCCCCTCCCTCCCGCATGTGCAGTGCTCGCCCCGGCAGGCAGAGGGTCCTGGCACCCGTGTGTGGCTGCAGCACAGGGCTTTGCGTGCGGCGACGTGCCTTAACCGCAGCTGAGAGCAGGAGGGAGGGGTGTGCTTTTGCTCGGTTTGTGTAGATTTGGCCGTATAACTCGCCAACTGAGACAGCAGCTCCTGGACTTTGCTGATTTACCATTGGGGGTGGGGGGGAGGGGTAATTTCTCAGAGACCGGACTGCGTAACCAGGGGTGCGGGCGCAGGGTCTGGCACTGAGCTGTGAGTTGGGGCTGGGAGTCCAGGAAACACAGGCGTGTCTGCGCCGTCAGGAAAACCAGCTTCTTCCCAGGAAGCTGGCAGCCTTTGGGAAGTGAAGTCTTCGTGTCCCGGCAAGATCGGCGATGATGCCCCAAAGGAACTCAGCAACATGCTGCGCTGCCGTTCCTGGTTGGCCCAGGCTACCTGTGCTCCTCGTCCCTGGGAAGGAGGGGTCTCCTTAGGTGTGGCCTTTGCCAGGGTCACAGCGTTGAATCCACACAGGCAGACTGGGGACTGTGTTAAACTGGAAGAAACGTCTCCCAGTTCGTACACGATCCAAAAATATTTAAAGCGATCATTAGTCATGCAGAAAGAAGACGGCAGACTCTCAAAGGCCTGGAGGTGGGGGAAACACAAATGGACGAAAACGGGACTCCATTCCCCATCTGGGGCGTGCGGCACCTGGGCTCGCTCCTCTGGAGATTCTCCCTAAGCTGGGCGTCTCCGACCGGCCCCTGGGGACGCTGGTCTCTGATGCGTCACTCACCCCTGTTCTGCAGCCGACATCGATGACGGCACCGTTTTCCTGTGATTACCGAAGGGCACCAACCTCCCGTACTGCCCCGGGACTGAGACTCAGTGGACTCCCACAGTTTGCAAGTAGGCCCAGCAGGTCCCCTGAACACACACATGCAGTTGTGTGGTCGCGGGAGGTCACAGTGAGACGCAGGCTTCATGCAGGCCCAGCACCTGTGTCAGGGTGTTGGTGATGTAGGCTCCTTAGAGCTGTGGAAATCCAGGGTGGGCAGAAGCAGGTTTGTAGTCGTTCGTATGGAAAAGAAGACAACAACCAGCAACAGGAGAATAAACTGCTCCACCTACTCAGAGCTGCAACCCACTGTTGCCCACCCGTCTATCAGATCTCCAAGTCTCGAAGGGGTGACAGCGATCGGAGGCCAAGGCATTTTATGTGGTCTTTCCGTTAACGGCCTGGTAGGTGGGGAGGGTGAGCCCGGCCACATTTGGAGATTTCTCAGGCATTTCCGAGAGACACTTTGCCATTCAGAAGTTTTCTTTGAAATTATCTTCTCACCCTCCACCTCTTCCTCTTTGGGCGACATAGGATGGATTTTGAAATTATAGCCGTTTTGACACATTCCAGGCGAACATACATTGTGACCTCTTGCTACCCTTGTGTGTCTAGGGGTGACCTGGGGTTGTCCCAGGTGAGTGAGGTTGGTTTTGTTGAAATATAGGTGACAGATTGTTGGCATTTAAGGTTGTGAATCTGTTATCTGTCTTCACTTCAGGAAATAGGAAAGGTTATTTGTCATTTTTGTGCTTCTCCTGGATGTGAGTGTTTACGCCCCGAAAAGTACTCAGAAGACCACCGGACCTGGAGCTGGGGACCCAGGTCACCACGCCAGCCGCCTGCACAGCAGCGGGGATCGGGACCGAAGGTCTCGGGCGTTAGCCCTGGAGCACTTGAGTCTCAGGGAGGCCACCACCATTGACCTCAAAGCCAGCATCGCTTGTCCCCTGTCTGGCCACAAGCATGTGGGCCATGCTGTGTCCCTTACAGAGAGGGCACTTGTCCTCTGTGGAGCGGAGCTTCCAGAACATTCCGTGATGCGCCCATTGTGGGTTTCTGCAGGCACTCGGCCGTCGGAAAGCTGTCTTTGCCAACCCGGGCACCCTGTCCTCACCGCCTGTTAGTGAGGAAGGACATGTTCTGGTTTCCATTCCTTCCCACCGTCTCCATTTGCTCGGTTTTGTTTTCAAACAGGCGAACCGACCTCCGGCGAAGCTCAACCTGCTAACCTGCCAAGTGAAGACCAACCCCGAGGAGAAGAAGTGTTTCGACCTCATTTCACGTAAGTTTATTCTCCGACGCTGTGTCACAGAGAAGTCACCCTGGACTGTCCTCCAGGGCAGCAGTCCCCTTTCACAGGGTGCGTTTGAAAGAAGTGGCTCTGGAAGAACAAGGCCTGTGTTGCCGGGAGGCCTGTGCTTTCCCTCTCCCTCCGGAATTGCCGGGCCAGGCCTTGGCTTTGAGGCCGGCTCCGCGTGCTTTGTGGCTCTGTGAGCCGAGGGACATCCTCTCGGCTCCCAGCCCCAGTCGCCCTATTTGTAAACAGGGAGATCATTCTAGATCAGCCCATGGGCCAAAAACCCCTCACTTCTTTGTAAAAGGGGACCGTCCTGTTGTCCGGGCTTCTGTGAGCTGCGTGATGTTGGAAACATGCGAAGCAGGAGAATCCGGTCTCCCGCGGAGCCCTCGAGGCTTTCGGTTTTGAAGTCACTTCATCTTCCTGGGCACGGGGTTTGTCTCTCTGCTTCTATTTGTGTCTCTGTTGGGCGCACAAGCACAAGAGGCACTACAGAGACTTCTGGGGCCACCGGCCACCCAGCATCCCCGACGGAGGACACACGAGGACAGTGGGAAGCCATCGAACGATAGGCCTGGTGTTGGTGCCAGTTTTATGTGGCAGGGTCACCGTTTGGGGGAAGGAAGGGACCCGCTCCTCTTCCGAAGGGCAGTTGCTGGGGATGTGAGCACAGAGCGGCGTTTATGGAGAAAAAAGTCTTGACCGCTGGTTAGGGAAAAGGGTGCTGGCTCGTGTCCCCAAGTCTCTGTGTCCCCGAGTACCCATCGGCATCTTTGAAGACGGCCAGGGACTTATTTACCGTATTTTGTCATGTATGATGTTCACTCTTTTGCCCACATTTTTGAGAGGAAAATCAGGATGCACATTGTACACGGGCATAATAATCCCGCGTGTGATGCGCCCGAAGATGGGGGTGCGCATTATACACAGTGAAATACGGTACTATATAATTTGGAGCTCAGGGCACCCTCACCGAGCTGTTGTAGGTCAGGAGACCCAGGCCCCGGTGGTTAACTCTCGATACCCCACTTCCCTGGCCCCATAGGCTTTGTACTAAGTGCCAGGAGACCCCCCCTAAGCCAGGTGATCTGGGAAAGGGTTTGGGTGTCATTAGTTCCATTCTTCAGATTCTAGACTGACGTGTACAGTAAAAATTGACTTTGTCCTGCTTCAAACCCTATGTCCTGACTCCGCCCAGCAAGGCCCTCCAGTTCACATCCCTTCTCCTGGACGCTGGGTCAGGCCATTTGCTCATGCAAGACGGTGAGAGTGTGCAGGGTTGGCTGCAGTTTGAAGCGGGTTCGTGCCGGGTGTGCCCGCCTCTGTGTTCACGTCTGAATTCTGGCTAAATAAGGGGAGACCTGGGTGCTGTGTAGTCTGCTGTCTCCCAGTGGCTGTGGGGCCCAGGAAGGCTCTAGGTTGGCCTGTCCGTGTTCCTAATAAGCAGAGCATTGCCCTCCTGTCGCTGATCGGCACGGAGCTGGCCAGAGCTGTGTCGCATGGGGAGGGGGCACCACGCGTCCTTCCAGCGCCCTGGTGGCAGCCCCAGTCCAAGGCCCTGTGGTATCAGAGTATGAACAACCCCACAGGAAGCTGTCCCCAACCTGCACGCCGGACGCTGGGAGGGCGGGGGATGTGTGTGTGCCTCACCCCTGCCCAACGTGAGCAGCTGCCTCATGCAGACGTGCGAGCCGGTCCTGGGCGAGTCTGGCCACGCGTGAATGCTCTGGCAAGCTGACGCGGGCCGGGACTCCTTGCGCACCTTCGCTCCAGTGCCTGACCCAGGACAGGTGTCTTCAGGCAGAGGTTCCCAGCCTCCGGTCCCAGCAGGGCCTGCCCCCTCCGGCTGGGGCCACTGTTCACAGCTGGCCAGTCCAGTGTTACCTTCGCAAAAAGCCCTCATCTCTGTCCTGTCCTCCATGGGTGCGGTGTGTCCGCATATAGACATTTCTCATCCTTGGCTCATTTTCAAAAGATGATCCTCCCCCCCGTAGGGTTGCAGTGAGAACACTTTGTCACTTCTCAAGGAGGACATCCCTGTGGCAGGCCAGCCCTTCCAGGGTCTTGTTCAGCTGCTTACCCCCAGACTGACCTCACCATCTGCCAGTTCGAGTCCCGGGCTGCGTCTCACCATCTGCCTTGGTGGGAGGGAGGGTGCAGGAGAAGATTGATTGAGGCCCGTCCCCTGCGTGGATGGGCCCACAGTGAGTTGGTGGCTTTCTCTACCTTTTGGAGCCAGAGGTTCGGGCAGAGAGGTGGCCTGCCCTGGCCACTCTTCCATTAGGGTTCTGACCGGCTCTTCCGTCTCCTTGTGGTTGTCTCCTCCCTCTCGTTAAAGCTGCTGGAAAAGGGTCTTGGTCCCTGGCACCTGGAGAGAGTGTCTGAGGGTTCTCTTCTTCCTTGTTCCTTTTTAAACTCGATGCTCCTTTTTGCCTCGCTTTGGGCTGACCGCAGCCCGAGAATGTCTGCCTGCCCCTGATCAGGCCCCTCACGCTACCGTCTCAGTGCAGTCGTCCAGCACGTGCACGGCCATCAGCCCCAGGACGCTGGTGCCCGCGCGCTGCTGCTGTGACCAGGAGTCTCACTCAGGCTCGGCCGTGCTCCCACGGGCCCCTCCCTGGTCCAGGATTCTCTCCAGGGTCCCACGGGGCGGCCGTTCTTTCTTCTCAGTCTCTGAAGTTGGTAGCTGTTCTATAGTCTGTCCTTGCCCTTCACAGCCTCAGCACCTTCTCTGAAGAGTATTGATGAGTTTTCTTGTCACATATTCCTCAGCTCAGGTCTCTGATGCTTTCCCAGGAGGGGACCAAGGTTCTGCATTTGGGGCGTGACTAGCACGTTAGGCACCCCGCCCCCTCTCCTGCAAACGAGCAGAACCCTCGGTGGTGTGGCCGAGGCCCCCCGTGCACACGTGTGAGATTTTCTACCGAGCAGCCCTTCTGTGTATGTGATATTGCACTCCCATAGCTTTTGTAGTCACACTTTCCCATAATCATCTTTTTCTCCTTTGTAATTTATTTTACAATATTATTTATTTATTGTTAGAGGGGGAAGGGAGGGAGAAAGAGGGAGAGAAGAAGCATCAATGTGTGGTTGCCTCTTGTGCATCCCCTGCTGGGGTCTTGGCCTGCAACCCAGGCATGTGCCTTGAGTGGGACTTGACCCAGCAACCCTTTGGTTTGCAGGCCGGCACTCAATCCACTGAGCCACACCAGCCAGGGCACCATAATAATCTTTTTAAAGAATGCCAGACAATGCCTGAGACACTCGCTTTAGGAAAAGCTTTAACTTTTCAAAGAGCCTCGGCCATTACTTTGGGAACTAAGTCTGTAGCAAGTTAAAGGAAACGAGAGCTTTTGAAAGGCTATGATGGTTTTGACCGAATAGCCTCTGATTTTAGAAGCTGCGTCGCTTCGACTCGAGTGGAGGGCCAGGAGGTTTGTCCCTTTGGCTTGAAGAGCCACAGTGACCGGCCACAGGCGGGCGGGGGCGGGGGGTGCTGAACGGTGCCCTTGTGGCACGGAGTCTGGGGACCTCCGTGGGGAGCTGCGCGGGTCCGGTCTGAGCTCACACTCACGGAACTCCTCTTGCTGCACAGATGACCGGACGTACCACTTCCAAGCCGAAGACGAGCAGGAGTGTCACGTGTAAGTGCTGCAGAGGTGGGTTTGCCTGGCCACCTGCCCGCCCGCCCCCTGCCGGGCGGCTCACAGCCTCTCTGTCGCCCCCGCAGGTGGATGTCTGTACTGCAGAACAGCAAGGAGGAGGCGCTGAACAACGCCTTCAAGGGGGACGACAGCACCGGGGAGAACAACATCGTCCAGGAGCTGACCAAGGAGATCATCTCCGAAGTCCAGCGGATGACGGGCAACGACGTGTGCTGCGACTGCGGGGCACCAGGTGACCCGGGCCCCCTCATTCTGCATCAGCAAACCCGGGCTCCGGTCCTCCCTCTCTTCCGACAGAAGGCCCGGGCAGCTGGGCCCTGCTCCCTGAGCTGTGTGCCGGCAGTGGGGCTGGGTGCGGGGTGCTTGCCTCTCGTGTGGAAGGGGGCCTGGTGGGGCCAGAAGGATTTCAATGCCCTCTGAGGAAAGAAAACGGAAGCAGGGGGTGGGTGAGGTCCAGGTCATGCAGCTGGTGCTCTGGCTGCAGGGGCTCTTCGGGGATTGACCCCGGCCGTCCTCACTGGGACGTCTGCGGTGACCAAGCCGCTGTCTCGTCTGGGACCTTGCAAGAGCCACCACGGGGTGAGATTCCAGCGTTGCTCTCCGGAAAAGGAGGGAACCATCCGGACGGTCTGCGGGTCCGTCCCGCTGTCCGCAGTCTGTAACGTGAGGTGTTGGTTTATGGGTTTGGTAGAGCCCGTGAGGGGCTGCGTCTCCAGTGGACAGAGCATACGTTGTAGACTTTAGCCGCTAGTGTTCTAGAAGTGTGCAGAGTGGATGTATTCCTCTACTGCGTGGAGCTCGCCGCAGCCTTTCTGAATCTCCAGAGTGGGAAAGACCGTGGCGTGGCCAGCTGCCTTTTTCATTCCGATTCTATGACGACGTTTATAAACAACCGACAGCCTAAACAGAGTGGCGAGTTAAGAAATGCCGGGAGGTTCCTCTTCCCCTGAGGCTGGGTTTGGGGATAATTTGAGGAATGACCTCATGGGGTGTTGGACCCGTTTAAAAATATCTTCTGGAAGGATCTGTTAAGATCTCCTTGGATCTTATCTTTAAAGGGGCGGTTAGTGGTGATGGTGCTTTTTCTTAAGATAAGGCTGGTGCTTTGACTTCAAAGCCCTTTCCCAGAGAAGTCACAGCTGTGGGCACTTTTGTTTTAAAAAGCTGAGACGGCTCGATGATGTCCAAGCCTGGTAGAAAGCTGTCTCGCGTGCGGGAGAGCGTCCTGTCCCCTGCCCCCAGCTTGCCGCAAACCCCAAGCTCTCCGTTCTCTCGGCAGACCCCACGTGGCTCTCCACCAACCTGGGCATCCTGACCTGCATCGAATGTTCCGGAATCCACCGGGAGCTGGGGGTCCATTACTCCAGGATGCAGTCCCTCACCTTGGACGTGCTGGGGACGTCGGAGCTGCTGGTAATGTTGGCATTCTCAACTTGGGGGTGGAAGTAACCTGAGCCAAAAGCTAACTTTTTGTTTTGGGTTGGCTGTGCGAATCCACTTGGGTCTCTTGAAACGCCCCTGGGCCGGCGGCTGTGGGTGTTTGCCACGTGGGTTTGAGCTACCAGAACTTTATTTTTAAATGAATGAAGTGAAGGGGAACTCAAACAGGAGCGTTGAGCCCTGGCTGGTGTGGCTCAGGGAGTGGGAGCATTGTCCTGGAACCGGAGTGTTGTGGGTTTGATTCCCCGTCAGGGCACGTGCCCTGGTTGCAGGTTTGATTCTCAGTCCGGGCACGAATGGGAAGCAACCAATCAATGTTTTTCTCTTTCTTTTCTCTTTCTAAAAGCAATGGGAAAAAAATGTTCTCGGGTGAGGATTTAAAAAAAAAAGTGTTGAGATGGTATAAGATTCCAGAATTAGGACGGGCACGTTGCCTAGGTCACCCCATTCAGGGGACAGACACAGAGCCCAAGTCCCTGACAGCGGAGACTTGAGTCATCGGCCAGTCCCGGCCAAGTCTGCAGTCACCACTTGGCTCAGCCTCCACTGGACTTTCTTCCTCTTCCCTTCGCTGTCGACCTTTGGGAGAGATATTACTGGCCTTCGCTTTAACTGCCTTTGTTTCTAAAACCGTCTCTCACTCGTGGCTCAGCGAAACACAGAAGCCCTGAGACAGGAGGAGGTCGAGGGCTTTCCTGGGCGTGACTTTGGGGGGCGGTGAGGAGCGGACACCACGTACCGGGGCGGCACACAGGGGCCACCCCAACACGAGCTCAAGCCAGCCGCTCTGAAAGGCCATGGCTGCCGCTCAGACCCCAGCGTTCGAGCCTCTCCCTCGGGGTAGCTGGGAGTCGGACGGCAAATATTAAGTGGCTATTGATTGCCATTGACTTTAATGTCAGGAGCAGTCGTCTTGACAGCAGATCAATTATGGTGGTCAATACACCTCTCAAGGGGCCATAAATCTTGCTGAGGGCTCTGGTGGATCCGATGCGCCTGAACTCGCAATGTGTCTGGACTGGCTGATGAGACTCTCAGGCCTCCCCAAAGAATTCCCCCGTGGTCTTGAAACGCAAAGTGGGGAGAAACTGGAGTGGGCTCCGCAGCCCAGCCGGTCACGTTCCTGATCGGCCCACGTTGGACACTACGCCATCCTCTGTAGTACCTCCTCGGGCTCCATCCCCAGCGCATGCCGCGGTCACTGTTAACCTGACGGTGCGCGCCACCTGCTGCGGGCGGAGTCCGGTCACCGGGCGGCGGCGTGGACTCGAGACTCCCACAGGACGTTTCAGAGACACTCGAACCCCTCGGTCAGCACTGGCAATGGATGCCGCTGCGCTGGTTTCCTTCAAGCGACGGGAAGCGTTACGTGATGTGTGGTGGAACACTGATTGCTTGTTTTTGTCCTGGGCCCTCTGCGGAGCACTTCATGTGTATTGGCTCCTTTGTCCTTAACCACAGCTCTGACCTTGGGACATGATCCCCCCCTTTACAGAGGAAGGACTGAGCCCGAGGTGGTGCCGAAGTTCCTAGTGCCAGGTCGGGGGTGGGGCCCCTTAACCTGGTTCCAGGGCTGACACTCTTTTACGTGCGAGGAGCCTGGGATGCACACTGGCTTTTGCGGTGGGTTTTCCTGTCCTGTGTTGCTGCTGTCCTTCCACCCCGGCCCCATCCCCAGCCAGCGTGTGACAGCCAGCCCTCTGCAGGGAAGAAGCCCTGCCTCTCCGTCTGCCGAGTCCCAGGAGTCCGGGCTGGGCTGGGCAGGCTGCGGGCGTGCCTCCGGCGTGCGCCAAGGGCAGGGCGCCACGGCCCACCCTCCAGGCACATACAGTGCTTCTGAGTAACTTAGAACGTAGGTCAGTCACAGTGACACGTAGTGAAAGCGACGAGGAAGTGGGGATGTGTATTACTTTTTAAAATATAACTTTTTAAGTTACGGGCTTATATACTATGATTTTAACAATGGCTTTCATGAGCTGCTGGGAGCCTAACCTGCCCCAATCTGTTACGCCTGTTTGCGTACATCTCAGGAATTTAATGTGCTCTTCTGGAGACTCTGTTGCGTCCCGAAGAGGACCCCACAAGAGAAGGTTGAAAGGAGAATGATCCCATCTTGCTCAGACGAGATGACCTCTGACCCTGGCCCAGATCTGAGTTCCCGCCTCCCAGAGCCCCGAGTGAGGCAGCACTTGGACCGCGGTCCTCTCACCCCCGGCCTCACCTGGTCCCATGTCTGCCCTGAGCACTCAGCGTCCCTGGGATGGCACCTGGCGGTGGGGGGCTCTCACCCAGCCATCCTGCTTCCATGGCTCCCGCCCCCATGGCCTGCTGGGCCCCCCATTTTCCGGCTGTGACCCTGCGGCCTCCATCTGTAGATGCTTTGCTTTTGTCCAGGGTTCCTGGGGGGTTTCTCTGCAGCTGAAATACTCGCTGAGACTTGGCTGCCCTGAGATGGCACATTCCTCCGTGTGGGTGAGGGTGGCGCCCGGGGGTGAGGCCCCCCGGACCGGCTGTCCCTGGCAGCCCCGCCAAGTCCAGGCAGAAGCAAGAGCCTTCTGAGTCCCCGGGATTCTCTCGCCCTCTCCCATCTGTGGGGGAGTCAGACTGTCTTCCTGACGCAGCCCTGGGCTGTGTCCTGAAACGGTGAAGACGCAGATGGGTGCTGAGCTGGGTGCTGGGAGAGAGGAGTAAGCTACTCTGTCTGTACGCCCCCACCCACAAGAGGGCCAGTGCCCCCCCGTCAGGGGGCTTGAGACAAACGGTGACATTTTTCATCGTATCCGCGGACCAAACACCATGCCAGGGGCTGAGCACGAATTGAAATGTGTCCACCTGTGACCAGTCAGAAGGCTGATTGGCAACTGAGGGCCTGCCACGCGGAACAAACACATTCCGTTCGGCCTCCTGAAGGCTTTCAGTGAAGTGGTCCCACTTCATTACAACCTGGGGAGGCAAGTGTATCTTCCAGACACACACCGAAGCTCGGGCTGATGGGCACGCCTGTGGTCCCAGCCCCCGTCAGGAGAACCGGGATACGAGCCCCAGTCCTGGTCTGCGGGCCTGGGTGTCGGGGTCTGTACCCGCTTCAGTGGGAGCACAGGTGTTGGGGGCGTGGGTAAGGACGGACACCCGCCCGGGGCCCAGCTCCCCGAGCCCTGTCCGCACCAGCACTCTCTCCGGGGCTTTCCGACAGCGCGCTCCCCTGGAACAGGCTGGCTGGCTCGTGCTCTCCGAGGGCCTTTGGGGTTTGCGTTTTGTCCGTCTTCATTACAGGCGAACCACTGCGTTGCTCTATTCCTTAGTGACCAGTAAATAAGTCATCGGATGGATGTGCGGTGTGCCGTGGGGCGTGCATTAATAATTGAGCACCCTGAAATAGGCTTCTGTTGTTGCAGCTCGCCAAGAATATTGGGAACGCCGGCTTTAACGAGATTATGGAGAGCTGCCTTCCTGCCGAGGACGCGGTCAAACCCACCCCAGGCAGCGACATGTGAGTATCGGCCTGGCTGTTCTGGCCCCCTCGCGTGCTGTGGCCGCCTTGGCCCTGGCTGCTGAGACGCGGGGGAGTAATGAGGTTGGGCACATCGATTGCTTCTTTAGGGAATAAATCAGCCTAATTTGTTTTGTTGTTGTTGTCTTAAGTCACCTTACCCTCTGGGCGTGTCCCACTAGAAGTTTGCAGTGGCTGTTTTTCTTAGGAACAGGCTGCAGCAAAACCACTGGGCTGGGGCTCCTGCGTGTGCAGGAGGCGTGGTGCGTGTCGCCCTCTGCTGGGGGAGTGTGGATTCACACCTGCCTTCCTTGGAGATTGTGGGCACTCTGGTCTTGGGTTTCAATCATTCTCTTCCCCAGTGTCCTTGCCAATATGGACTGTGTTGTTTCCTTCAAAGAAAAACACTTCTTTTTGTTTTACTGTGGACACAAAACCTGAGGGAGAGGTTTGTGAGCCTCACCAGGCGGCAGCTGGCCCGTCGGGCAGGGATTACAGCTGGAGACGCTCCTGCCGGTCTTAGCACACAGAGCGCGGGTTGCCCGGGTGACGTGGGTTTTGGAGGGCGGTCAGGGGTCTGCCTGGTCAGCGCGGTGCCTGGCCTGCTCGCTTCAGACTTCCGCCCCGGTGGGAAGGGGTGGCCCGTCTTCCCACAAGAGGTCTGCAGTGTGGGGCAGAGAGTGGGGAGAGGAAGAGAGAGGCCCCCAGGTCACAGAGAGGGCACATGGGTCTGAGTGTCCCGGAGGAGGGGTCATGAGAACTAAAAGAGAAAGTGCGGAACCTCGTCTGTAGAGGCAGCATCCCCTTCGGAATGAGCCTGAGGTAGAATCGATGGCACGTGGCCTCCTGAAGGACACTGGGCAGCGGACAGTGGTTTTAGGAGCAGCGAACAAACAGGTGCTAGTGAGGGGCCTTTTGTCAAAGCCCGGGATTTCTGGGTTTTATAACTGTGTGGCGGGGGCGTGCGTCTCTGGGGAGCCAAGGTCACAGCGTCTGTGTTTTCTCGTGTTCAGGTGACCTGGCTCTGTGTGGCCAGGGGCTGAGGGCACTGAAGGGGCACGTGGGCACCGTGTCCAGCGCATGCCCTCCTGGGTGTCAGGTGTCAGCTATTGGCGGTGGCCTTCCCTTGGGATCGAATAATGGGTGGCTTTAGACACCTGGCACAAGGCTCGTAAAGCGATCCATCATCCTCTCTGGGGGGGGGGTCTGGGCGTCAAAGCTGGGTTCCTCCCCGACCCGGAGAGGGGGTGGGGCAGAGAAATCCCAGTTCCAACTCGATTGCAGGACCCGGGCAGGTGTGTTAACTTCTCAGAGCCCCTTTCCTGCAATGTGAGCAGGGAGCCAGCACCCCACAGTCCCTGGGGTGTCGGTGAGACAATACAGGGGCGCATGTCTTACTTAGGGGGTCAGGTGTCCACTGGAGAGGGTCCCAGAGGTGCACTGGCCGACCCTGGCGTTGCTGGGAGGCCCCATTTACTCACAGCCACGTCCTGGTCTGGGGGATGCGGTCGCCTTCCGCCTGATCGGCACCCGCTCACACTGAAGGTCCAGGGTGTTGGGAGTCTTCTGGAGCAGGGGTCAGTTCTGAGCAAAGTACGTGGTAAATAACTTCCTCTAAGTGCCAAGGGTCCTTTCTAAAGGCTGAGATTTTGCTTATTCTGGGGCTAGATGGTTCCGAACCATCAACACTGTCTGCTGGGATCCGCACGGTGTTCTCTCTGCACTGGGACCTCCTGCCCCAGTGCGGGCACGGTTACAGAGGAGATGCACCCCTTCCTGCCCTTTTTCTCCCAAATTAGGGTAGGTGGCCGAGGTGACGACAAAATGCCGCCTACTTTCACGCCCCTCCTGCTGCTGTGGTCGCCAGGCCCCCTGGGCTCCCGTGGCCTTTGGCTCTGTTCTGGCACATTCCGCCCACCTCACGCCACACCCAGGGACTCACAGGTGTCTTTCTGATGAGTTGTGTCTCACTTGCTTTTGTGTTTGCCGCCACAATGTGCTCATCGTGGTGGGAAACACATCTTTAATGAAGCAACAAGTCAAAGATGAAGCCCGGGCCTGTGGCTGCTTAGATGAGCTAGCGTCTCACTGCCACGTGAAAGGCACGGGCTGGCCTTGGCTTTGTCTCCCACACACACTGTCCATGAGGACCAGGTGCACTCGGGGGGGGGGGGGTGGACAGATACGAGCAGGCAGCTGGACACGAGTCCTGTCACAGAGGCCGGAACTGTTGATCTCTGGTGACTCGGGCCCCTTCTGTCCCTCGGCCCTGCTCTCCCAGAGGGGAAGCAGCCCTCCCTGCTTCCTGAATGACCCTCAAACTGATTGTTCCATTAGCGTCACTGCTTTTCTCCAAGAGCCTCAGCCTTTCGGGAAAACCCCAGGGGGCTGGTCCCACATAGTCAAGGTCACAAAGCTGTGGGCGGGTGGGCACACACCCCAAGGGCCCCTCTAACAGAGGGCAGGCCAGTGTCTGAAGGGGACCCCGGGGCGGCTGTTGCAGGTGTGCAGGTCGCCAAGGAGAGAAGGCGCAGGCAGCAGGCCTCGTAGAGGCACATGGGTTGGCGAGGGCGGGGGGCACTCGGGAGCCGATGAGGGGAGCAGCTGGGTGGGCTCAGAGCCCAACCCCAGAAGGACGTGGGGAGACGAGGCCAGGGCCACCTGCTGTGTGGGCCGCCCGCTGGCACAAGGCCACGGGACCCCTGCACTGGGCCCTGGGGCCTCCTGGGTAGGAAGCTGTCAGGTTCTGATGCTTCTCCAACACGCTCAAGGTGTCGCCGTGAAGACAGGTGCTGCAGTGGTCACCTGGCGGCTGCCTCCCCGACTGGGCATCCTGTGAGGAGGGCGGGGCCAGGTTTTTATAAAAACCGTCACAGTCAGGAATGGCTCGGATGCTGGACACCCAATTGCTCACAAGGCCGATGTGTTTGCCCTCAGGAACGCCAGGAAGGACTACATCACCGCCAAGTACATCGAGAGGAAGTACGCGCGGAAAAGGCACGCGGACGGTGCAGCCAAGCTGCACAGCCTGGGCGAGGCCGTCAAGACCAGGGATATTTTCGGGCTCCTCCAAGCATACGCCGACGGTGTGGATCTGACGGAGAAAATCCCACTGGCCAACGGACACGTAAGAGTTCGGGGCTGGCTGCTGTGAGCAAAGGGAGGGGAGGCGGGGGAGCGTGGCGAGGCCGTGAAACGGAAATGCCGGTCGAATAGTGGAGTTCTGTGCCGGAGGCCGGCGTGGGGTTCGGGGGCAGCGTCAGCACGTCTCAGGCACCGGGGGAGCTGCAGGGCTAGGCCTCGGCTGTAGAACCTGGGCCACGTGGGGAGGGGGGGGGTCTGCCGACCTGGTGCACCCCTGCCCCCAGTCCCCAGCCCTCCCCCCGCCCCCTGCAGGGAACCCGAGGGGGAGAGACAACCCCAGTTTCCCAGGAACTTTCCTGAGAGGATGGGGTCTCGCTGTCGGGATCTACAGTGTCCCGGGTCAGCGAGCGTCCTAACCCCTTCTGCAGGAGCCTGTGGGCACACACGTGCGTCCCGTGAAACCTCCTGACCCCCAGAATAAGGGCACATGGGGCTGGGGTCTGCCCTGAGCGCCTTAGCGTGGAGCCTCATGTTCGTGTTCTGAGAGAAAAGTCAGGCCACGGTGGGGTGGGGCGGGGCACACTCCGCTCCGAACGCGGCCCCTGCCAGGGCAGCGCTCCCACCCACCTGGCCTCCCACGGCCCTCACTTGGTCCCTCCTCCCCGCTCACCAGAACTGCTTTTCAGAAAAGGCAGTGGTGACCACATGCCCCGACCTAGTAGGAACTGCAGGCTGTCCCGATAGCGGCATTGGTGGCCCTACCTATAAGTACAGGATGGGAACTCTAACTTGCTTTTGATATATGCACTCGTATGTGCTCAGGGGGCAGTAGGTATTCGAGGCTGGCATATGGGAGGCCCGGGAACCTTCCTGGAGTCTTGGACCCGAGACCCCTGTTCACGGGCTCTCGTGATGCTCGGAAGGGACAAGGACGGGACGGGAGGGCTGTGAAACAAAACCCTGAGTTACTTTTTACCTCCTACGGAGCAGGGGGGGCAGGGCCAGTCTGTGGGCTGCAGGTTCCCACGGGCAGAGCCAGCCGTGGGGGTCAGAGGGCACTGTGCAGCTCAGGGATGGGTGCGGGGCAGGAAGGAGGGAAAGGCTCTGGGAGAGAGGGCTGGACGCAGAGGGGACGCTCCCTCGAGGTGCTGGAACACTCCTGTTCTCTCTGCAGGAGCCGGACGAGACCGCCCTGCACCTCGCCGTCCGATCGGTGGACCGGACTTCTCTGCACATCGTGGACTTCCTGGTCCAGAACAGGTGGGTGCTCTGGAGTCAGGGCGGGTCGACTCTGCTCCCTGGGGTTGCCAGGGGAGGAGTCAGGGTCGTGTGGCCGGGGGGCAGGCTTTCCCCTGCGGTCCTGCAGAAGCCTGGAGTGTCAGAAGGAGCACCCTCGGTGGGCCCCGAGGGGTCTGGGGCTCAGGGAGACGCCAAGCCCTGGAAGGTAGACTGACCGTGGCCTCCACCAGCGCTCAAGAGGCTCGTCTCATGTCTGAGGCACCTGAGTGCCCCTCTGGGGGCACCTGGTCTTGTTTTACTTCGAAAGAACCTTTGAAAGCCCCTCACAATCCCCCCAGAGCCCGTTTTCAGGGCCTGTTCAGGGCCAGCAGGCTCAGGGGTCTGGGGACTTTCGGTCTTTGAAAAAGTGGCTTTTTCCTTTTCCAGCGAAAGCGTCCATAATGAGATGGAAGAAGCTCGTCTGTCCTTCTGCAGGACAGGGCGGGCGAGTCAGATGGGCTTCCTGGGGCCTCTGGGCACTGGTGGGGGTGGGGAGGGCGAGGCGGGAGGATCGTGGTGGTCCGGGGCCGTCTGGGAAGGCAGTGCCACCTGGGCCCCTGCCGAAGTGCCGCGCAGGTGTCCGGCTCTCTCTCTGGTCTTGTCTGCTGTCACCGTCAGTTCCCTGGGGGCCTGCGTCCAGGGCACCCCGTCCACAGGAGCAGGGCTGGCGCAGGCCCACCCACCTTGCAGGACAGTTGAACATCCTCCTCCCGGCAGTTCTGATGGCTCACCTCTCTCCTGCTCAGGCCTCTGTCCCCGGCCCAGGCAGCCTGGTCCTCGGCCTGGGACTCACTGCTCTCTCTCTCCTCCCTGTTGCTGGCCAGCGGGAACCTGGACAAGCAGACGGGGAAGGGCAGCACGGCTCTGCACTACTGCTGCCTGACCGACAATGCCGAGTGCCTGAAGCTCCTCCTTCGGGGGAAGGCCTCCATCGAGATAGGTGAGTGGCTGGCCGCCTGCCGGGACACGAGGAGCAGGCCCTCCAGGCGGACACTGGGCTGCCGTCGGGGCTGGGGACAGGGAGGGGACCTCCGCTGGCGTGTTCTGCAGGGCTGCCCAGGGCTGGGTGTTTATCAGCACCTTCATCCATAAACTGTCCATCATTTGCAGGCATCGGATGGGTGACAAGGAACAGAGGATGGGTCCTGCAGCTGCCCCTGTGGCTGAGGGCAATTAGGACAAAGTGTGGGGCATCTCACCCTCCTGTTCATAACCCACAGCTAGGACCAGACCTCGCCCCTGCTGGCCCTGGGGTGGCAGGTGCACCCAGCCTCCTCCAGGAGGGACCCTTGCTTGGCTTGGCCTGCACCCCGCTCCCCTGCCATGGGTCCCTCCTCTCCTGCCAGGCACAGCAGCCGGCTGTGCTGGGTCATTGGGAAATGCCTGTGAGGCCTATTGAAAGGGGACAAAAAGGCCAGGCGGGAGGCACACACCTGCCAGAGAGCCAGGCCTCTTGTTTGTTTGTTTTAAAGATTTTATTTATTTGTTTTTAGAGAGAGGGGAAGGGAAGGAGAAAGATCAGTGTGTGGTTGCCTCTCGTGCGCCCCCTACTGGGGACCTAGCCTGCAACCCAAGCATGTACCCTGACTGGGAATTGAACCAGCGACCCTTTCATTCCCAGGCCCATTGGCTCAACCCACTGAGCCACACCAGCCAGAGCAGGTCTCTTTTTAAAAAATTAATAATGCAGCCTTGTTGACTGAGGCTTATTTAGAAAAAAGGACACAACTTTAAATTCACAGACAGCTTCCAAAGAGCCATAACGTTTATCACGGCCTGGTGCCTGCTGTGCCATCTGCCGAGCGCTCCACCTCGGGCTCGATGCCAACTTGCAGTGGTCGGCTCTTCGGTGGCTTCACGGGCATGATGAGCAAAAAACCTTGTCTTGTAGAATCTCCCCGACCTTACATGGCTGCCGTTCTGGGCAATTACGAGGTCAGGTCAGCCCCAACTGGAGCAAACTCGCCGGGGATTTCACTGGCCATGTTCTGTTTACCTTAGCGCCGCCTCTCTGTACCTTTGATTGTCTGGATGTCAGACCTTCACGCCTTTCTGTCGCCCTCCTTTCAGCGAACGAGTCAGGAGAGACGCCGCTGGACATCGCCAAGCGCCTCCGGCACGAGCACTGTGAGGAGTTGGTGAGTCCGGTGGGGACCGGGTGAGGCCTCTTCCGGGGACAGTCATTCCCTGGGTCCTGATCCAGCGGGAGAGCCTGGAGAAGTCGTAGGGGGGGCCTCAGAGAGGGTGCGTTGGTCCCTCCTGGTGATGCTTGGAACCCAGGCTGTGTCTCCCGACGTCCCAGAGGCGCAGGGCAGAGGTGCACTTTGCCTGTCCCTGTGACTGTCCAGCTGTGAGCGGGTCCCTTCGCCACAGCACGCTTAAACGGGCTTCCTTATTCCGCCCCCTGCCCCCCATCATCTGGGTGGTGATGCACCATCTTTTCCCGTCCTGTTCTGGAGGACACAGCCTGGTGGCTCACGGACCAAGCCCACTGGGCGGGGTCAGGCAGGCCCCAGTTTGCAGTGGGGTTCGGCTGCTGTGAGTGGGAGGTCCCCCCACGCCTCTCTGCTCTGTGAGGCGGAGTCAGGAGCACCACTTTGCCAGGTGGCAAGGATCACTGTGACGCTCTGCGAAGCAAGTGTGAGGGCAGGTAAACAACACACCGGCCCGTGGTCAGTGCAGTCGAAGTGCAGGATAAGGAACAGGTGCCATTCTAAGCACCTTGTGGCCGTTGACTCATTTAATCTTGATTGCTACCTTATGGGAGGCTTTCTACTGTTATCTCCATTCTATAGAGGAGGAAACGGCACAGAGAGGTTAAGTAACTTGCCCAAGGTCACACAGGCTACTCTCTGGCAGTGGAGAAAATTAGGCCCTAATGTCCTGAGACACCCAGGTTTCTCTCCTGTGCATCTGGAACAGAACTAGCTGCCCACCTTCCTTGGGAGGACTGAGGAAATTGTCCTACATCGCTTTCCGTGGGGCTTAATGCAGATCAGTGGAGAAAGGCTGGGGTCAAACGGCTGTGGACCCCCTGAGTTTGCCCCCACACACAGCGGTCAGTACAACCAGGCTGACCGCCATTCTGCGGATCTCGGATACCCCCCTGCCTATGTGCAGTTTACAGAGCCCTCTATGGGGGCTCTAGGTGTGAGCTTCAAGGTGATCTGTGAGTTAGGGAGGGGGCTTAACCTGATACCCAGAGATTTACCTAAGCTGGCCCTGTAACAAAAGGCCGGCTCCCCCCACACACACCCCCAGGGCTTTCCCACCTGTGGCCGGCTGGCTGGCTGGATGCCCGCCTCCCAGGGCTGAGAGTCTGAGCAGCATCACCCACAGTCCTCTGTCTCCTCAGCTGACGCAAGCCTTATCCGGAAGGTTCAACTCCCACGTTCACGTCGAGTACGAATGGCGGCTGCTGCACGAAGACCTGGATGAAAGCGATGACGACATGGACGAGAAGCTGCAGGTCTGTGCTGGGCCGTGAACTGTCAGGACCTCTCTGGGACAGGCTCTACTCGGAGTGGCTCCTAGCCTGACGTTGGGGCAGAATCCGTTTGTGGGAAAGAAAATAGAGTTTGCTTCTTGCTCGCATGGATCCCGGCAGGCTCGGGCCTCGCAGGTCCTGTGGACCTTAATTTAAAGGAGCCGCGCACGTTGGCGACACTGCCATCGGCAGCCGCTCCCCTTTGACACGAAGGGGAGAGGAGGAGGACTTCTGATCGGGGGATTCACACGCTGTGGGTGACGTGGGAAAAAGCCAGGTTTCCCTGGACAGTGCTCAGGGTCGCCTTGTTGAGCTTAGAAACCGTACCCGAAATCATTAAATGACACTTAGCACTCACGGGCTTCAATCTTTCCTTTGTCAGAGCAGGGTGGTTGACGCCTGAGAAAGGTTGGCACGGCCACAATGGCAGCCACAGTGATGCCCATGTGCAGAGACCAGCTTAGGGCCAGACAGAGCGCTGGCCTTCTAGTCCCTTCTCACAGCGCTCCCTGCATGTGCTCCTGGGGGGCCTGGAAGGGGCCCCTGCACGCAAGTGTCAGGGAAAGTCTGACAATGCACATAGACTGGCCACCAGCTGCCTCGAAGCCAGCGGGGAAGGCCACAGAAAGTTCCCCAGTGTTGTTGCAGGACAGGGGTGCCCTGGTGGTTGCCAAGGGTGTCTGACCAGGGCACGTCTGAGACCTGGTAGGCAGACAGTCCCCGTGGGCGGGGCGCTCACGTACTCAGAATAAGAAATTCCTCTGCCGAGTTAGCTACAAAACAGGGTCAGTGAGAACAGCCGACCAGTTTCATATGCTCCCACCCTAAATAAGGAGCAGGTTTGGAGCACCTGCCCGGGGTGAGTGCCTCTTCCCAAAGGAAGTGGTCCAGCTTGGACGCCTGCGTCCACTCTGTGTGCAGCAGGGAATGTGGCGGCTGCGGTGAGTGTGCACAGCCGTGGGCCTTGTGGGAATTCAGCAGTGCGAGTGCGGAGCCAGTGGTCCTTGAGTTCTGCACACCTGAGCTGGGTGTGAGCTAGGAGTCGGCCAGGACCCCGCAGGGGCTGGTGCTCCCGTGACAGGGGTGCGAATGGTACCCGCTAAGCTCCTGGCACTGTGCTGGAGAGGCTGTTAAAAACCATCCCTCCCGCCTCCCCGTTTAACAGATGAGAAACGGGGTCAGCAAGGTTAAGGCACTTGCTCAGGATCATAGCTGTTACATCTGGAATACAAGTTAGACCTCGTTTCCCCGAGTCCCGACACACGTGACCTTTGGGTAGAACAGGGGTCGGTGAACTTAAAGGGCCAGAGAGCGTATGTCCTGGGCTCGTGGGCCTCACCCAGCACAGCCTCTGTTGCTGCCACTCAGCCCTGCCGGGGTAGTTGGAAAGCAGCCATAGGCACTATGTAAATAACCAGACATGGCTGTGTTCCAGTAAAACTTTATTAACAAAAGCAGGTGGAGCCCAGGGCCCTGCATCTCAAGAGCACCTGCTCCTGCAGGGGAAGGAGAGCAGGGTTATGAATGGGAAATGCAGGGGCAGGTTGAGAGAACGCTGGCTGGTACAGATGACACAGCTTCTGTTTTAAATCCTCCGCAGAATGGAGCATTGTAGGTTGTAGATCATGGCATTTTGGTGGGGGGTGGGACACGGTTTCCATTCGAAGGCGTGTGACCTTTAAATCTCTCAGCTCTTGTGTGACCATTGAGAGTCAGGTGACCGTGCCCAGGTAGAGGTGGTGCACGGGAGGTGGTCACCGGGAGCTTGAATGCTGTGACCGAGAGGTCCGTGTGCCCGCCTTTCACACACCTGCCTGCCACCCCCTCCACAGCCCAGTCCCAGTCGGCGAGAAGACCGGCCGGTCAGCTTCTACCAGCTGGGGCCTAGCGCAGCATCTTTGGCCCGAGACGCCACTGGCCTGGCCAAGGACAAACAGAGGAGCTTCGCGCCCAGCATCTTGCAGAACGAGACGTACGGGGCCATCCTGAGTGGCAGCCCGACACCCGCCCAGTCTGCAGCTCCCATCACTACCAGTGCACCCCCACTGCCCCCACGGAACCTGGCCAAAGGTACTGAGCTCTGGCGGCCCGGCCAGCACGTAAGCAGTGCGATTCGGGGTGTGTTTCGAGAGGCAGTAGCCACTTGGCCCGTCCTCATGAGCTTTGGGCCGGCGGCAGAGTGGCCTGTTCCCCTGGGGGCCTCTTGTCTTGCAGTTATATACTGTTTGCTCCCAAAAGGAAGAACGCCCTTGGGCACAGGGCACTGCATGGCGTACAGCATCCTGACTGGTTCATGTGCTGGGCACACATGTGGCATCAGCGTGCCTCGGGGAGGCCAGGCTCTCCTCCCGAGCACCTCTGTCTGGGCCTTTGCTCTTTGCTGTTCGGCACTCGCGACTCCTCCCTTCGCCTTCATTATCTGTTATTTCTCCCTGACCTGCACTCGGGGCGGCTTGAGGCCCCTGTGAGTATTTTGTATCGCTGCTGCAATCCCCAGGAGTGAAGGATACAAAGATGCTAACTTGAGGAGACTTGTAAAATTGTAAAAGCACTAAATAGTCTCTGTGGTCCCGCCAGCGCTCACTACACTCCGCCACTGTCACTGTAGTGACATGAGTCAACAGGTGCTATTTTTAGTTTTTCTGGAAATGGGAAACAGCCCAACCTAAGTGGTCTCCCCGGCACTGGGTCCCGGAGCCACAATGCTCCTGAAGGCGGGTCCAGCCAGTGGCCAGCCCAGCACTGGGCTGGGCGTGAAGTCCAGGCACGGAGGCTGCTGAGGGTGGCTGGTGGTCACAGGAGAAAGTTCCCTGTTGCATTTGTGTGGGAGCGGCTCCCTGGGAGGAACATGTAGGGACAGGCGGTGGCTGGGGCCAAGGACGGTGCTCAGCAGGTGCCATCGGGCTGTGTCTGTGCCAGCTGTCGTGTGGCCAGGCCCCCGCCGCCCTGGGTGTCTCGCAGACACCCACATGGGTCCGGAGGCCCGAGAAGGCCGCTGAGCCTCTTGTCCGGTCACAGGTCATACCCTCAGGAGCAGCCTGCTGACCTGCCCAGCAGCACCCACAGGCTGGGTGGGAGGACCCTGAGCAGGAAGGGAGTGGCAAAACCAAACCCCACGGCTGCCCCGTGCTCCCTGCCACCCTCACCAGGAGGGGCCCAGGACAGGTGGGCGCAGCTGTTGTGGTTGGGGTCCCTGGGGCATCGGCTGGCCTCCCCTGTCCCCCTCCCACGTCCGGACACACGCAGTAATTGTGTGTGTGTGTCATCTGCGCCCTGTCACGGGCTTGCACCTGCTATGTGGTTGTGCGCATCACGTAGAGAAAGGTTGGACTTTGCTCTGTTAGGTGGTGGGAGGGAAGGGGAAGCTGCCTGTGCTTAGTTCTTGCTCTCCTGACATCTCAGAATGAGGGTTTTGGTTTTCCCTTCCCACTTTTGCAGTTCGGGTAGTTAGCTTCATGTCTCCTTTATTTGTTTGTTTGTTTATTTATAGAGAGAGAGGACTGGAGAGGGGGAAACATCAATGTGTGGTTGCCTCTCGAGCGCCCCCTACTGGGGACCCGGCCCACGACCCAGGCATGTGCCCTGACTGGGAATTGAACAGCGACATTCGGTTTGCAGTCTGGTGCTCAGTCCCCTGAGCCACACCAGCCAGGGCTTCATGTCTTCCTTTGACGGCCGTACTTCCCCTCAGTCGTTCCCAGTCTAGTCCACACCTGGTCTAACACGGAGGCCCCCCCACAACAGCCAGGAAAGGGGGTTGGCGTGGCCGTGCCCCTGAGCAGACGCCACCCAGTGAGGAAGAGCACCGAGCTTGGGCCAGGGCGAGGACTGCAACCGGGGTGGTGCTGTTGCCCTGGTGTGTCTGTCCCAACCTGCTCGATGTCATCTCTGCCCATTTCCAGCCAGAAGTGCGTTTGCGGGAGGTGGGAGAGAGCCTTCACCCGGTGTCTTTGGTTTGCACCCTCGTCCCCCTGTGTTCCCTCTGAGGACAGCCCCCCTTGCAAGACTGTGACCCCCAGGCCAGGGGAAGGACTGAATGGATGGGAGAGAGATGCTGAGGCCCCACAACCCAAGCACAGGTCTCAGGGCAGGTCACTGGGTTACTCATTCTCCTCTTCCGATGGCCGGTCCCCTGGAGAATGGAAGCCAGTGAGACTGCTACGGGTCAGCTTCTGTCGTCCAGGCAACAGAAGGCGGGGCTTTTACAGCTCCGCCCCCGCCTGTGGTCCTGGTGCTGCTCTGTAGGGTGCCGTGGACCATGAGGAAGAGGGTCAATAATGCAGCTTCTGTTTCTGTTTTCATTGTGTGCACGTGCCTGCGTGTGCCTGCGTGTGCCTGCGTGTGCGTGTGCAGCTCAGACAGCCTCCTCTGCTCACGCCCCGTGGAAGACGAGCTCTGTGAGTGTGGACGGTGTGAGCCGGCAGCGGTCTTCGTCAGATCCGCCAGCCGTCCACCCACCGCTGCCCCCGCTCCGCGTGACATCGACCAGTACGTCTTTTCCTTTCTCCTCCCTGCCGGTGGGCTCCGTAGATCCGGTCGGCCCAGGGTGGGGAGAGCGCGGCAGGTGCCCGCGGCTTCATGGGGCGCTGTGGCTTTTCCATGTCCCCAGGCCCTTCAGCCTGCTCCTCCCCGGCCACAAGCTCCTGTCTGTCCACTTCCCCCCACGCCTGGCCCCCCACCCCAGGGGCTCACTTGCCATCTCCTCTGTCTCCCCAAGTGTTTTGGCTGCATTTCTGTCTGTCTTCCCCACATGAGCCCAGGGCACCCTTTCCTTTGGCCATCCGGTGGGTCTCAATATGTGGGCTCAGTCATTCGGATCCTAAAATCTGGTGTGTGCTTCTCTTCAATGTCAACATGTGGGTGACAGTCCCAGAGCCCGGGGGAGGGCCCTGGGGGAGGCCGGCTCCCCAGCTCTGCCCTGCGTTGGCCCTGGGACCGAGCGCTCAGCTCCCTGGGGGCCCCCAGAGCCCGGCAGCTTCCCCTTGGTGTTTTCTGCCTCCTTAACCTCAGTCATGATGAAAGGAGCCCCGGCAGTAGGTGCCCCTGGCGTGTGGCTGCCGGGCGACATGGGCTATCTAGCTCAGACACATCTGAGACACACAGCACGAGGGGACTCCTCAGGTGCCAGCGTCCCGAGGCAGGTGTCCGCCTCGGCAGGGACGACAGGAGGAGCCTGCCAAATGTGGAAGGGGGGTGCCGATGTCTGTCAGAGAGAGCGAGATGCGGGCCCACGGCCCGTGCCCTGTCTCCCCAGCTCAGCGACTCCTGCTGAAAGCATGTCCTGCCCCTGAGCCTCTCGGACTCCTCACCTGCGCGGTGGAGAGAGTAGGCTGTTCCAGCCTTCGCTGAGACCGGCCTGCTCGCAGCAGCCTGGGAAATGGGTCTGGACGCACAGAGTTGACCCAAGAAGGTCTGACTCCTGGGGCGGGGGGACGGGGCCCGCCTGGGCCTGGGCCTCAGCTGCTGCTCCTGCAGGTCTCAGCCCCCAGAGCAACCTTTTAGTCCCAACTCGAGGCTCGGAAGGACCCCCCTCCAGTCCTGTCACTGAGCGTCTGCGAGGAATGCAGGCTTTCTCCGTAAGAAATAGTGACAGGGAGAGAAGGAGCCCTTCATGGAAGGGCCACTGGAAAGAAGGCCGGAGGGATGCCTGCCGTCTGACCCTCCGTGTGTCCCTGTCTTCTCTCTCCGCAGACCCCCTGGCTCCCACGCAGTCTGCTTCGGCAGCCAAAACCCCCGGTGTGATGGAAGCCCTGAGCCAGCAGAACAAGCCGGCCCAGTCCGGGGCCCCGCTGGGCAAAGCCACACCCCCGGCCCTGCCACCCCAGCCACCCAGCCGCCTCCCCCAGAAGAGGCCTGCTCCCGGGTAAGTAACGTCCCCTCTTCCCTGTCCCCCTCTGTGTCCCCTCAGGGCCTAGGCACATTGGCCTTCCTCGCTTCTTGCATTCGAGGAGTTTCCAAGGGGCCCATCACTTCATCAGCCGGGACTTCTGCGCCACCATTTGAAATCGCCCAGTTGCTACTCTAACGGCCAAGGCCCAGGGATCCAGGCCTGTGTCCTAAACACAACGTATCAAGAGTTTTTGAACTGTAAAAATTTATACACATGTCTGTGTTCCACCCCATGATGAATTTAGATTTCTGTTTTGTACAGACAGTGGCATTGTGGGAGTTAAAGTCCTCAAAGCACAAGGCCTCTTGGTTCTGTTTGTCACCCACCCACAAGGTGGTCTCGACCATGTGGCCCCTCTGCAGTGTGGGGCGTACACTTTCCACAAACGAGGACGTTCTAGAGAAGTAACAATACAGCGGCCGAGTCAGGAGAACAGCATGGGCACACCCCCGCCTCCAATGCTCAGACCCCATCCAGGCTTGGCCACCTGTCCAAATGACATCTTTGGCTGCGGGGGCAGCCGTTTCATGGCTCTCCACCTGGGTCCTGATGATGGAAAAGGGCTCCTTGTAGTGGGAATGATACTCAGAAGCCAAGACGGGGGCGCTGTGTGTGCTCATTGCCGAAGGAGCGTCCTGTCCCCAGGCCGGCCTGCTGGGTGGCCTGAACTGGACACACACCCACACGAACACATTTATGTCTCTACTTCTAGCGCGCTCTCTGTATGGAAATATGTGAGTCCACACTGTCCCCAGATTTGATTGTTCTACTAACAAACCACACCACGACTTACTGACATAGGACATGGCCATTTTATCACTCTCGTGGCCCCATCAGGAATTTGGGTCGGCGCTGTACGAATAGCTTGTTTCTGCTCCCCAGGATCGGGGGCCTTAGTGGGAGAGGGTTGGGCCAGACAGGGATTCGTCAGCTGGAGGCTAGTGTCCACAGAGTCCGTTCCACCCCACACACCCGGGGGTGGGGGCTGGCTGACAGCCGGAACCCCCGCCTGGGCCATCGGCTGGGGTACGTGGCCTCTCCACGTGGACAGGGCTTCCTCACATCGGGGTAGCCAGGCCCAAGAACAAGTCACAAGGGATGGGCCTTGCCCTGGAAACTGGCAGGCCACCCCTTCTGCCATAAGTCACTGGTCCCGCAGTGGCACAGCCAGGCCCAGTCGGGGGTGGGAAGGTCATGGGCAGGGTGGTCGTAGACTCCAGCTGTCCGTGAAGAATTTGGGGGCACCGTTCTAGGAAGCACCATAGGGTTCGTTCTCATTCTCTCCCTCTCTGTCCTCACTGTCCTCCCTTTCTCCGTAATGAGAGACCTGGCTGCCACCTTCGCCTACCCCATGACCGTTTGTCAGTACCCGGAGACCCCCCCCCCACCTCTTGCCTCCTCCCTGCCGTGCGGACGCCCCTCCCTGCTGAGGCCTGGGGCTCAGTGTGGAGATGGTCTTCGCCCTGCTGGGCGCTCACTCCGCCCCCCCGCCAGGTCATCCCCTGACCACCACTGGGCAGGTGCCTCCACGGAGGCCCCCATTGCCTGACACCCCAGGGTGGGTCCGCTTTCATTCGTGCCACTGGCTAGACGAGTATAAACTTAAAGGATGTAATCTGCATCCTTTGGTTCCGATAAGTTTTGTTGATTATTTTTAATTCCTTCAATTTTTTTCGGTTCCCAATTTAAAGATAATTCATATTGTTCAGATGTCAGAGCCCCATGGCCTTTCCTCTTTTTGTGAGGGTGAGCTGACTGCACTCACACGCCCCCCGAATCCCCGGGGTTTGACCTCTGGGAGTTGACCTCTTGCCCACGCAAAGTTGACCCCATGTTCTTGCACAGCAGCCCCAAGCGGTGAGTCGAAGACCCGGGCCCCACCCACTTCTGACTGTGCAGTCTCTGCCCTGGGCCCAGGGTTACTCCTGAAGGGAAGGTGCGCTCACCTCCAAGGCTGGAGTGATGCTGAGGCTCCTTTGACCACAGCTGGTCCCATGGCCCCACCTGGAGGCCGGGGCTGGAAGTGCAGCTGGAGCTCTGCACCCAACTCTGCAGCCTCTGACTGCAGTTTCCATTGCTGTCTGTTGTTTGTTTGCTTGTTTGCTAGAAATTGACTTTCTGGGAGATTGTCCCAGTTTTATCTTCCGGTTATTTAACTGAGTTTTTCATTTCTGCTGTCCTATAATTCTGAAGTTAATAGTAGCCTGTCTGTTCCATGGAATAGTTTTCTCTCAGAATATTCATGATGGGTTTTTCGGGGTGTTTTCCTTTGGCTTTGGCTTTTCTGTGTAATTTGGTTCTTCCTCATTCTTTCCCCTTTGTTTTGACCTCTGGTCTTTTAGAGGCCGTTTCCCCATAAATTCCATGCTCCCTGCCTGTCACCCGCCACTTCAGGGGGGGCATTAAATACTGGCTGAGAGACTGTACCCCAAAGCACAGAGCTGCCACAGTGGGTTTGCTGGGGAACCCTGAACTTGGGCTTTTTTTTTCACCTTGGACAGTTCGGATTCCTTGGAGAACAGTCTTCTGGTCTCTTGCCTGAAGGGAGCAGGTTTTCCGGGAGCTGAATATAGAAATAAAGTTAGACTTTTACTTAACCCCCATTTCTCAGGATACCACCAACCACCGCACGGGGCATCCCGAGTTCAGACACTGTTCTGCCCTCTCCCAGAATAGAAGCCTCTGGTCTTCAGTGGCATGGGGAGGGGGTGGGGGGGCATTGCTAGGCTTTTCAGTGTTGGGGCTGGAATCGTAGCTCCTGGAGCAGATGTGGGCCGACCCTTGTGTCTGTGCTCCGCCCTCCCCACCCCCGGGGGCTGGGGGCTGGGGGCTGGAGCTCCTGCCTGTGGGGCAGCGTCTGAGCCTCGCTTGCTTGCAGGGCTGGGAGGGCCCTCCTTCCGCAGGGAGCTGGGCTGCTTAGGACTTGGCCCTCCACTCCCGCCTTCCACAACTGCCTTTCTGTCTTCAGTTCTCTTTGTCCTTTTCAGTTTAATTTTTTAAATTTTATTTTCTTCCTTGGGAGAAAGTGGAAGCAAATATATCTCAGCCTGCAGTTTTTAACCAGAAGACTCTCAGGGCCCTTGAATGCCTTCTTGGCGAGCTCTGAGCAGCCCATGGGAGCCTGACGGGGTCGAGCTGTGCTGCGAGGGGCTTGCTCCCAGGCCCGCTGAACGGCTGCAGGCCGGCTTCTCTCGGTGCCTGGGTTCAGCGGGGGGTGGCTCTTCATCTCCCTCCTCTTCCCAGCACCACCCTCAGGTTTGCTCTTTCCTGACTGTGGTCCTTTAAGAGGCTGTGTGTTGAGGTTGTAGATGAGCTCCAGCCGGCTGCCAGCCACTGTCGGGGAGCTCCGGGGACAGGGGTGCCTCGGGCCTCCTGGGGCTCCCCGGCCTCCAGCTGCTTCCCTGCTTCTGGGAAGGGCTCCCCACTGGCGGGCTGGCCCTGCCTGTCACAGGATCATTTTCTGTCCCGTGGAGTGTAGGGGGAGGGGTGCAAGCAGGGGAGGCTCAGGCGTCTGGAAGTCAAGTCTGGGTGGGGGGCACCAGCGGCGCCACCCCTCCGAGCTCTGCTCCCGAAGGAAGCAGACTTTGCTGCCTCCGCTCTGGAAAGACCCAGCCCGCCACCCCTGTTTCCGGGGGCCCACGAACCGAGGATGGTTTGGGGATTTTTAAATGATTGAAAAAACAGAAGGTTTCATGACACCTGAGAATTCGGATTTCAGCGCCCATAAATAGTCACTGGAAGCTGGCAGGCCCGTGTGTTCACACGTTACAACAGTGACGTCGGAAGTCATGACAGAGACCTTGTAACCCAGAGCCTGGAGGATTTGCCCTCTGGCCCTTCCGAGGAGGAGTTTCTTAGAGGGTCCGGCCTCCCCGAGAGCCTTTCATGGTTGGCTCAAGGCGAAGGGGTCAGTGGGGTCCGTGTAACAACTCCCAGGGACATGGATGGAAATCAGAAGGCAGGACTGGTCAGGTGGGCGGGTCCCTCGCCTGTCCCGCCTTTAAATCATGCTGCGTGGTCCACCTTCTCCCCTCCACTGCGGCTCCTCGGGCGACTCAGGAAGCGGCCGGTGGGCACTGAGCCTGCCACTCTGTCCCTTGCTTCGCCCCCACTCCAACCCCGCCCAGCCTGTCTCCAGCCTCAGGTGTGTGCCTGGCACCGTGCGGGCTGCACAGAGACGTGGCGGGGAACTGGAGATCATGCTCCCTTCTCGGCTCGTAGACATTCATTCTGTCACTCATCCTCGGTTTGAGAGGTGACAGAACTGGTGTCACCTTTCACAGGTGGAAGTGCCCACTCAGAGAGACCCATGGATCCAGAACAGACTCTGGCCTCCTGGCCTGAGAAGTGCCCCCCCTGCCTGTGGCCTTCGGTGGTGACAGACCCAAGGCTCACGGGTGGGCCCGGAGCCACAGTCAGCCACGTCGGTGACAGGCCACAGGGGCCAGGGCGCACAGAGACGTGGATGACCCTGACCGGTGGTCAGGCAGAGCCCCCGGGGCCCTGGGGTTATTCAGCCCCACCCTTAGAGACCAGGGCCCGCAAAGGGAAGGGGCTGATTGAATGAGGGGCAGTGCGGGCGGCAGGCGCCCAGCTTCCAGCCCCAGGTCCTGTCATGCAGGCCCACAGGGACAGGGCCCTTCGGGACCTGGGGTCTGGCACTGTCCTCTGAGCCTGTTGTTCTTCGTTTTTCAAACAAAGGGGCAGTGGAATGAGAGTGGGTTGAATTGGCTCACACACGCAACTTGCACTCGGCCGCTCCTTTATAGAAGGGGGTGAGGCACCCGGGCACCGGGGTATGCAACGTGCCTTCGGGCCTCAGTGACTCTGTTTTGCCTTCTTTGCAGGACTGACAAGTCAACCCCACTGGTCAGCAAAGGCCAGCCTAGAGGACCTGGTAATTATTTCATTTGGAACTTGGTTAGTGGAGGCACCGGTGGGGGCGAGGGGACTGTTTCCAGTCGAGGCAGGTGAGGGCCCGGCTGTCCTCCCCCCGGCAGTCACCTGCCCTCCGGGGGGCTTCTGAGGCTGGCCTGCACCCTGCAGTCACGCTGCCTGCTGCTGCTGCTGGGGGTGGGGTGGGACGGGAGTCCCCGGCAGGTCTGTGCAGGAGTCGGCCCATCTGTCTCCGTCTGCGACACCTGCACAGGGTACACGGAGGTTACGGGGTTCTTTGGCCTTTGGGGGATCTTTCCCTTAGCAGGTGAGAAACTCCCAGGGAACTCGCCTTCCTAGACCTGACAGGACAGCAGGGCTTTTGTGTTCATTGTTTCTGTCTCACGTCCTGATGGAGGGGCCTGCTGTGCGCTGGCTCCCTCTGGTCCTAACGCAGTGGGTCTCTCCGGCACAGATGCCCTGGGCCCTCCGCCGAGTGCCGCGGCCATGCAGCCCCCCGCGCCTGTGCCCAGGAAGTCGCAGGCTGTAAGTGGACGAGCCCCCCCATCCTGCCTCCTCTGGGAGGTGATTCCACGAGCGCTCAGGGGTTATGTCCCACTCTCCCGGGTAGGGGGTGGGGTAGCTGTGTCCTGGGTGCCTGGTCATTTGGACCAGGGCAGGACGCATAGCCCTGGAGCCCAGCAGGTCCAGGTCACCCCTGCGCACATCAGGGGCCAGCCGCCACATTCCCAGCTGTCCACCCAGCCAGGGTCTCTTCCCTTTCCCTTTGGGCCCCTCCTCTGAGTCCCCCCCAGCCCCCGGGCCCCGCACTCTGCCCTGGAGCAGGCGCCTCCCTGCCACAGTAACCTCTGACCCTCCTGTTCTCTTCAGACCAAGCTGAAGCCCAAGCGGGTCAAAGCCCTCTACAACTGCGTGGCCGACAACCCGGACGAGCTGACGTTCTCCGAGGGGGACGTGATCATTGTGGACGGGGAGGAGGACCAGGAGTGGTGGGTGAGTCTGGGCCCAGGCCCGGGAGGGGCGGAGCCGGGTTCCCGCCCAGCTGGCCTGAGGTCTCCTCGCAGGTGAGGCGCCCCCCAGCCCGGGGCCCCCACCGTGCCTGCGGCCACTGTGCCCCTCGCTGGCCTTAGGTGAGGGAGACCCCAATGGGCCCGCTGTGCACACCGCACTCGGACAGTTCACGGTGGCCGTGGAGAGGCCAGCAGGGCTCGCGGGGCCACTCTGCTGCACGGAACGTCAGCGTCCCCAGCAGAGTCCCGGCCTGTGTGAGCTGCCCCCGGCCCGCATGCCTTCTGGTGCCCCCTCGTGGCTTCTTTCCCCTGGAGGGACGCCGGTGCCTCGGTCCCGAGCTCCCTCTGTCAGCCTCACCACGCACGATACAGGCAGCACAGCAGCCACAGCCACTCCTGGGTCCCTGGGCGGCGAGGACGGAGACTGCATGGGGACCAGAACGTTTCACTGCCCCTGCCACCGCCCCCACCCGAGGGGCCGGGAGCTGCTGTGTCTTTCACACTTGCACCCAGCCCACCTGCCAGCAGGAACCACCTGTTTATTCCAAAACCTGTGGGGACGCCGAGCGGCAGAAAGGAGACGGCGGTGAAGGCCGCCCATCACCTCGGCCCCCCGGCTCCCCTAAAACCCATGTTTGGGCGGTTCTCATTTCGACTCTTATTTACCTACGTCATTTACACCGTCAAGATCATACTTGACATAACTTATATAACTTGCCCAGAGGAAAAATAAGTGGTTTTTTTGGAAGTCTTCATGAACACATGACGTTCAAACAGGGCCAAACCCTGCATGCCACTTTCTGTCACTCCACAGCTCACGAGCTCCCAACACTCACCTCCTCACCCGTTAGGGGAGGCAAGGCCAGTGGGGGCAGCGGTCAGAGGGCTGTCTGCCTGCCCCCCGCGCCGCCCGGACACGTGCTGCACTTGAACGGGGCCCCTTAGGCAGGGAGGCCCCCGATCTCTGGAATGAGGCCAAGGAGAGGGATAGAGTGTCAGCCTCGGGATTCTTTCTCAGAAGAGGTTCTTCTGAATGAGTTGTGTCCGTCCATCCGTCCGTCCTGTCCCCCCCTCCCCCTGCCAAATGCTCCGTTGTCCTTCCAAGCTTCCGCCCTCTGGAGGTTCTAAAACACCCTGCACTCTTCATTCATCGTTTCAGATCGGCCACATCGACGGGGACCCCGGCCGCAAAGGGGCATTTCCCGTGTCCTTTGTGCACTTTATCGCCGACTGAACTGCTACTGAACAGAAACACGTCACAGATCTGTTCCTGTGTCGTCACTGGTACCAGACTCTTGCCAGATAACCTCCCGCATGCCCTGTGTGGGAGAGCCACTGTCCTTGATGTCACTGTCTGTTTCTAAAACTCAAAGGCAACTTATATATTAAGTGAATCGTTTTTATAATTTGTGATTTTCATGAAACATCGCTATCTACTTTTATTGGGAAAAACCAGATTGCCTAAAAGGTGAACTGAAAAGGTATTTTAACTACATAACCGAGGTCCTGGATCCCCGGAACTAGGTGACCCTAAACACATTTGCTCCCGGGAAGGAGACTCTTCCCACTCTCCCTGGCTCATCTCTGAGGTCCGTGACCTTCAGCGTAATCGTGGTTTAGGAAGCCAGTAAACTCAATGCTACCAGTTCACCTTTCTAGACTTTTTTTTTTTTAACGGTTCTAAGATTTCCTTTGGAAGCCACCCAGTGTTTATTTAAAGCCACTTGGAAACTGACACGTGGGCCCTGTAGCCTCCAACCACAGTCCGTGAGGTTGCAACCGTCACTGTTTTCTGCATGTGCGTGTGAGCTGTTGTGCAAACCCCGCCTAACAGACTACCGGTCGACTGTCACGGCACACGGCAGTCAGTCCGTCCCGTCCCAGGTTCCGTGAAACTGTTTCCTGAATTCGGTTCAAAACTAAGGGTGAAGGGTTGCAAAGGAGCTCTTGCGATGCTTCCGTGTTTCGGAGATCGCCGCCCCGTGCCCCCTTCATCGCAGACCCCCACTGTCCCCACTGGCTGTCCCCTCCTGAGTGTGCCACCCCCTCTTTCTCGCTCCTGAGAATGTTTACTCAGCTCGGTGTCTTGTGTTCATAATAACCAACAGGAATGGTAGTCACACTGTCTTGAAATTAACCCGTCCCTTCATCTGTGACCGGAGCGTTTTGGGGACCTGTAGGTCCCGGGTAATGAGACGCTCCCAAACCCCTACTTCACTATTGAAGTCATTGCATCCTTCTTAGGTCTAAGCTACTGGGGCTGGGGGGTTAGGTTGTGTAGGATAAAAATGAAACTCATTAGCTTGATGCACTTGACTGTCATGCCTCTACTCAGCCATTGTGAGCGGAAGCTCTTAGGAAGAGTGTTGGAAAGTGTGGCGCTCGAGCGTGATTCGAGCGTGAACAGGCGTGTGGCGCCCGTGTGGATTCTCACCAAACGCGAAGGGATCGGTTTGCGTGCGGACGCGGGAGGCGGGTGGCCGCGCTTCGGTTGCATCGTTGTGAGGTTGGATCTGGTTGAGGCCGCCTGTGTGTCACGCAAGACTCTTCTCTTGTCTCCGTTTTCACTTGCGTTGTGTTGTGTTGTGTTGCAAAGGGAGACAGAACAAACTGGAACGTTTTACGATGTTGTACGGCAAGAGCTCTTTGCCTTTCGAAATCCCAGGTAAAATGTGTCAGGGTGTGTAGTCTTTTTTTTTTTTTTTTAAAGCACTACATGTATCTTCACTAATTGTTTGTTTCTGATGTTTGAACCCTCCACTGGGTTAATTCTCTCATGGATTTAAGGAAGTAACCGTGGGTTTTGCACAGCGCACTTCCTGCGCACTTTGAACACAGTCCCCTGCATCTGTGTCCTCTGCTGGCCGTGGGCCGCCTGGGCGCCGGCTGCATACGGAATTGAAGTTGGCTCACACCAACGTTTGGGTACCACTCCCAACTAACCTGTCAGGTTCACTGGCACATGAGTATCTAGGAAGTGTCTTTCCAATCTACAACTTGGTGGTGCTACTGTGCAGTAATTAATGACTTGCCAGAGGAGAAATTGTATTAACTTCCCTGCTAATATCCTTTCCTGGTTATTTGCTCTTTGCAAATTAAAAAAAAAACACACACAAAGGAAACCATTGTAGATATCTATTTATATTTCAGGTTTATGTTCCATGAACTGAGCTGCAGGATCTGGCACTTTGCGGGCCACTTCCATGGGGTCTGACCTCCAGGGACAAGGACTTGGGGACGGGCGGTGACCGACTGGTCTGCCGAGGGTGGGCAACGTGAGGCGCGGCTTGAAGTGCTCTTTGAGGTGTATGATACTCATTCTTCACTCGATTACTCTGGCCTAGTTGCAGCGCAACTGTGTATATTGTATAACCCAAATCGATCCTTATTTTCATTGTCCTTGCGCGGTGATTTATAACTAGAGCATGTTTAATAAATTTACTCGTTAACTAGTCATTTGACTAGAAAGAAATAAAATACTTTTAAACGGACATGGCGTTGTTTTTGTTTTGGACCCTTCGGGCACTTTTCGTTGGACGTCTTCTAGGGAAACCCACTAGCCTGCTGCAGGGGGGGTCCTTGAACACCGTCACTGGTAACACAGCAGCTCTTCCAGTTGCTCTCCCCCCCGCCCCCGCCCCGGAGCGAGCATTGTCGCCTAATGTCACAACACCCTGACGGCATACTGTTCAAGTTTCACTCTGTGTCTGGAGTTGGCTCCGTCACTGTTTCAAAGCAGCAGTGTCCCCAGGCCAGAGCCCCAAGCCGGAGACCGCCAGTCCCCAGGAGGGGCTGCCGAGCAGAGGGTTAAGCTTATTTGTGTTTAAAAGCAACAAATGAGGTTCCTTGTCTAGTCCCAACAGGTAGATAATGTGAGTTAAGTCACTGTTAGGAAGATGTTTTAATAGAAACACAAATGATTGGTATTTTATACACAGCTCTTCCACCACAAAGTGGAGCAAGGCATCACTTCGTATTTTCACACCAGCTCAGGGCTGCGGATGGAAACAGAGCTACTGAGGAAGCAGCTGAACTTCGCTCACCAGCGGTCGGCTGCCACTCACCGCCGGTTCAGGCCTTCTCAGACGTCAACACGGAGTCGAAAGCGGTGGACAGAACTTTGCAGATGGCTTGCGCTTGCTCCTGCATTAGGTGACAAGGTACGGTGAGAGAGTTCATAAATCTGCTCCTGAACTTGACCAGCAAAGGTATAAACCTGCCCCTCTGCACACCTCTCCCGACCCTGCACGGCACACGGGCGGCTTGGCTCAGGGTCAGGCCCCACACTCCCTTCCCCTGCTCCTCAGGGGACCCCAGGACCTCGGCCTTCAGGAGGGGCCGTCACCTGTCAGAGGAACACCTGTAAAGCAAAGCCAGGGGGTCCTGCCCTGGGGGACACACCAGCATCCCCTGCCCCCCATGTTGACGGACAGCCTCCTGATCCTGACTCGGGATCGCTGCCAGGGGCCCTCCCGAGTCACGACCAGCCACAGGCCACAACCAGCAGTCCACCTGGGCAGCAGGCCGCTGACTCCTTACTGTCTTGGCCGTTTTCAGACACGGAGGAAGGAGCACCTCTCCGGCCTCTGCCAGACTGTCAACAGCCTCTGGCTTTGCCACCGTGTCAGACCCTCACCAGGCTGCCGCACTGGTAGACCCACAGGCTGTACTCCTCGTTGCTTGCGTCGGTGGTCTTCAGAGCCAGCAGGCTCCTCCCGGCGCCTTCCAGTCCGCTGTCGTAGCACACCATCCGGACGATCAGGTGCAGCGCGTGCCGGTGCAGGACGTCCTGCAGAGGGCGGGCGGGGCGGGCGGCCACGGCTGTTTCTCCATCCTCCGCACACACCCCCTCCCGTGCGGATTTGTTGTGAGGCCTGAGCAGAGCACACGCACGCATCTGGGAGGAAGCAGTTTTAGGGGTTTTCTCCCAAAAGGACGTCCCAGTGTGCTCGGCCGTGGGGCGGTTTGCCTCCAGGGTCACACCGGCTCCCTCATCCCAGAAGGACAGGAGAAGGAGGACCTGAGCCCATGACCCAGTTCCGCGTGCCCAGCCCGAGCCGGCAGCTCGTCTGCACTGCCACGGGGTCCTGAGGTGAAGGCTCGGGGGCCCCACCACACAGAGGGGCAAAGGGCAGCTCCTATGATCCCCCCTGAAATGGGCCGCACTGAAGGCCAGCTGCCGGGAACGTTTACAAACCCACCACTGCAAACACAAGCAGGCCCTCAACACCCCAATACCTAAACCACTTTTTCCTTAACGAACTACTTACATACTGATCCGATGTCGATACTTTTATTCCATACTTGGAAACGCCCATGATAAACTCCTCCTCCATGGGAACAAAAGGCAGCTTCCCATCTTGCTGTGAGGTAGAAATACGATGAACGGCACCCATTAACAACTGTTCCCTTAAGTGGGATGAGTCTGTCTCGGGACCCGGCTGTCACAGACCCCGAACTCTAAAGAACGTGGCACCTGCAGGAGCCTGATGATTTTCCTCCAAAGTGGCAGAAAAATCCTTCCCCCATCTTTTCTTTTTAGCATTTTATTTATCTTTAGAGGGGAAGGAAAGGAGAGAAATATCAATGTACGGTTGCCTCTCGTGTGTCCCCTGCTGGGAACTGGCCTGCAACCCAGGCATGTGCCCTGACTGGGACTCGAACTGCGATCCTTTGGGTTGCAGGCCCTCGCTCAATCCACTGTGCTACACCAGCCAGGGCCCTCCCCCATTTTTTTAGTCAACAAGTCTGAGCAAAATTCAGACGGATGTGCTCCAGGTGCACTGGTCCACCCCCTTGTCTGGGACTAACCCTCATCACAGACTCAGACGCTTGTCACAGACCCCAGGAAGGTTTCAACATTTACATTAGAAAACAAAGGTCTTTAAATGCTCCAAGCTCATGCTAACTGGTGGTCAGGACATGCAGCCACAGGCACCATTTTTCTCAGTCGTATCATGCCGTGCGCGGGGGCAAGGGGTGTCTCATCCCCACGCCCCACGGCTCAGGGCAGGGAGACCTGCTTGATGAACGGTTCCCCAGCTCGCAAACGTGTCAATCAGTATTTTGAGCTCCTCAGAAACAAAGAGCACGGCAGGTGGTTTCCCCAGCCAGTTCTCCATGTTACTTCCTGAGTCAGAACACAGCCTGTCTTCTCCGAAATGAGGTCCCGCTGGCAAACAGAGCACGTTCCAGTCGGTACATGTTTCCATGCAACTGTCTGCCGACATTAAAGAGATTGTGGAAAATGAGCTCTAGCCACCAGCCTTCAGGCCGGGGGTGCCCACAACACTATGGCAACCTCTGGCCAATCATCTCTCACGGTAGGTTTAAGGCGATTCTAGGAATCGAGGGAGCGGGTAAGAGTAATGCCATTGTCAACAATTTTGGCCAGCCAATTTCTATGGCAATAGGAGGAATTTAGCAGTCCTTATAGGAAAGAAAACACTCTGAGTGTCACCTGGGGGGAAACATCAGTGGTACAGGACTTTACTTCGACTAGTTGCTGTCTGCACGCCATTGGAATGACTTTATATTCCAAACAGAAACTGGGACACTAACTGTGTTAGTCCCTACTACCCAGAGTTCCCTGTCAGGTGGAAAATCGGATTGGCTGGTGTCTCCAGACAGACACGACTTCTTTCAGGAGGCTGCGGAACATTTAAAGGTCCCTCTGCCCTGGCTTCAGAGAACATGCCTCCAAGTCATGGACACTGGAGTCTGATGAGGGGCTCTCCCCATTGCACCACCATGTTAATGACCACGAAGACATGAAACTCCTCTATCTTCCTGACCTTGGGTCCTGCTGGAAGCGGTGTGAGTAAATGGGTGTGTCAGGTCAACAGCACTGAGTGATCGTGCAAAGAGCTAGAGCGAGCCCAGGGCAGGTGTGGCAGCATTCAACGGACCGCTTTAAAGACGAGGCGTTGGTGCGGAACCGGCCACCTCATTGGAATCCGCTCATCACAGAAATGGGGTCAGTCCGCCCCAGGAACAGTAAAAAGTGCCATTGGCAGGAGGGAGCTGTGTCTGCTCACGCGCGGCTCAGTCTCCACGCAGCACTGTGTGGAGACAGCAGCCGTGACCCGGAAGAACTACGTCTCTCCCCCCAAGCCATGAGCCTTATAGAACGGAATTTCTTTCTTTCTTTCTTTCTTTCTTTTTTTTTTTTTTTTACCTGGGCAACATCTATATAATTTATCAGGTCTAGTGGCCCTTCGAGGCTTTTTCCCTCAGAGAGTTTCAGCTTCTCGATGGCACCGACGTACTTTATTCGAAATTCTGCACAGGTGTCTGAGTTGCTGTTGCTTTGACCTAGAGGTGAGAGAGATGGGGTGAGACCTCGAAGAAACAGCCGGGTCACGGGGCACCTCCATCCCTGCTCGGGGTGGGGAGGCAGACTGACAAAAATACAGTTTCCTCGCATACGGATCTTTTTATAGAATGGGAGGGAACTTCAAACTTCACTAACCTTTTCTTCACTTACAACATGCTAAGTATAAAACTCTAAATAGGAATAAATTAGTAATACCATTCATTTCAAACAAATGAAAAATGTCACTAGGTAATGATCGAGCCCCTTTGTGACGCACAGTGACACAGCACTATTTTCTGGGTTCTTCTCTTTATCATTTTAACACTGAACTTGCTTTTTGATTCAGGAAACCAGATTGACCTCTCCCATTCAGCCAGAAAAGACAGTTTTTAAAAATGTAGATCAAAAGGGCTGGACAGGAAGCCCCGTCCGTAACCAATAGCAACAGGCTGAGGAACTGTGTGAGCCATAAAGTCCAGTCACTACAAAAATCACCAGAGTCTTTGCATCCACCAGAGTGAGGGGCTGCCAGGTGATGACCTTCCGGTGATGCTTCCACAATGAAACGATGCCCAGCCGCGCACTGAACACGGCAAAGGCATCTGGAAGGTGACAGACCTCGTGCTTCGGTGCCTCTCTTCCATCCCACTTGTCCTCTCTCCCCGCCCCCACCTTTCACAGATCGACTAGTCTACGGTCCTGGAAGGAAGAGCGGAGGGAGGTGGGCAAGTGAGCACAGCCTATCTCCAATCAGACACCAGCACCCTCGTTACAAGAAGCCACCTTCTCATTTCTGAAGAGCTGCTGTTTGGAGGCTGCTTAAGTGTCTTCGAGTGCCGGTGACAGATGCTGCCCTTCACTGCCACATGCTCCTGACACTCACGAGCTGGCCTGTCTCTGGGGACATGGCTGCTGAGTCTTCCTTGTCAGCAAGGCATTTGCCCTACACCCCATACACAACATCATTCATGCTCTTCCACCCCATTTCTGTAAAAGCCATTCTGAAACTTCTAAATCGTCACCACGATGTTTTCCACACGCTTTTGCTCTAGGGCCCACTTGGAGAGTTTGGCCCCCGCCACGGCTGCGGCTTTCACCAACCACTTACACCCCCCAACCCACACTCCACCAGATCTAGGGCCATTGCCAAGCCTCACCAAACAAGGCAGAGGAGAGAAAGGAAACCCAAATGCACCAGAACCCAGGCCCCTGGTAAGACTAGCGGAGCCTCAGACGGGGCGCGTCCCAACCCCTCCACGTACCTGAGCTTTTGGTGGAGTCTGTGTCGAGGCTGGCGACGGTGCTGGATCGAGAGAGGCCCCCGAGGCTGGAGTCCACGGACTGAGAAATGGCAAACACATGCCAAGTATCTAAACACACATGGGAGCACTGCCTTCCCCCGAGTGCTCCAGCAAACATTCACATTACTGACTTACTAGTGTTGAACCAACACACAACCCCAACTGCTCTTCCCACAACACAGCACCGCACGAACGTGGCGTCACCCCACCAATCTAAACCAAAGGCAGCGCCGCGGTCTGACAAGACACCTTATACTTCTATCGTCTGTGAAAATCTACACTTTGCTTTCATGTTATCTCCCCTGAACCCACAAAGAACCCAGCAGGGGGCAGTGCCCTGCTTAATAAGTGAGCAGAGAGGTGAAGTGATTTACCCAAGGTCACATCCAGCGAACGCCCCAGACCTCCGACCTTGACAGAGCTCCTGACTACCTCCCTGCAGCCCTTCCTGCTGCTGCCAAGTCCAACCAGTTAACACCCAGGCTGACTGGCAGACCAGAGCATGACTACCAACCTGGATGGCCAAGAAAAACACAACACAAACTACGAAGCAAAGTAGAAAGAAGCATCAGGCACCTTAGTGCAGAATTAGTTAGGCACACACACCACCCCCCCCTGGAATTCCAGCCCTGTAACTGCATGCACTTTCTACCACATAAGAAATTTAAGAATCAGCGTTTGTTTCAATGAGACCATTTACAGGTCCTGCCCCACCTTTAAGGATGTCATGAGACCAACCAAAACAAAGATATATCAAGCACAGATGAACATGTGTCTAGCGTACAAAGTGAATGTTAAAACACACCTAGTTTGAAGACCAGCAGCAGGTCTGCATGGTTAGTATCCTTCATGCAACATGAGAAGAAACAGAACTGCACTGCTCGCCAATTCCGCCCCCTACCTTGCTCTTCGTACTGATTTCACTACTTTGGGAGCTGCTACTACTGTGTCGCTTTTTGCCCTTCCGGAACATGTTTCACTACAGCTTGATCCACAGGAGCGCCCCTAGAAAAAACAAACGTTTAGTTACACTGAGAAAAGCAACTTGAAATCACTGTATGCAGCACAGGGGTAAAAATCACCGGTTCCTTCCAGTTAGCTCCGCAGCACATTCCTCCGACTTGTACATATTTTCCTTTGGCCAAAATATTTGGATGCTATTCTTTTTTTTTTTTTCATTATTTGTTTTTAAATTCTAACGATCTAACCCACAGAATCAAAAAGGGCAGAAACCTGGTCACACCTAGAGGTGTGAAAAGCACTGTTTTCAGAAGTAACAGACACGTCCTTTAGTTCTGGAAATATTACTTCTCCTTAATCAATTCAAGACACAGATTCAGTTACTGTCTTAGGATCACATTCTGAAAATGGGCTTGAACATAAATAAGACAGACACTGTGCTGGGTGCTGTACGGGCCTTCGACCTTCAAGGTTGCATCGATGCCACCTGTTTGGAAGGAAGTTGCCCACCATGCTCATGATGGGTAGCGCCACGTCTGGAACCTGAGCTGACAGGGCTCCAAAGCTCTTTCCCGACCCCACCCAGCTTCCAACGTGTTCTCGCCCTGGCACGGTGCTGCCACCTGCGGGTGCCCAGGAGGACAGTAAACAGGACAGAAACCCCTGCCCTGAGGCAGCGGAGAAACCACCAAGAGCCAGCACAGAAAGCCAGCTCCTCCGCACCCCACAAAGCAGGGTCGGACCCAGGAGGCAGCCCCGGGGCGCTCCCACTCCCATCGCCCTTCCGACGCGACCCGTCCACACATGATACCGTGATCGCAGAAGCCGCTGTCCCTGCCGAAGCATCGGTCCCCCAGGGCTCCGCAGGCCCCACCACCCAACAAGCGCAGCCTCGGGGCTGGTATTCGCGATCCACGGAGGGCGGGTCCCCGTAAAGAGTGCGGCTGCCGCGGCCCCACCCATCCGCCCCACCGCAGGCCCCCCAGTCGGTGCCTCCAAGGCCCGCGATCCCGACCAGGCTCAGCTCCGGCGCGGCGAGGGCCTGGCCCTCACCTCACAACCACGGGCCCATCCCTGGGGTCATCTGCGGGTCAAGCACCCACCGCCAGGCAACCAGTGCCGGGCAGCCACTCCCGTCCCGATTCCAGCGCCAGCTTTTCCGGCTCCCCGGCCGCGCCCTCTGGGCCCGCCTCCGAGACATTGCGCAGGCGCATTTCTGAACCCGCCCCACGTTTGCAGAATGGTCTCCGACCGGAAGTACGGGGGAGGAGCCTAGCGTCGCGGGCACCGAAGCGCCGGAAGTTGTGCTGTTCGTGAATGGAGGCTTTTCCCTGGTTGGCTCCCCGAGGTTATGCTTCCAATTTAGAAGGAATCCCGCGACCTGTTTTTCATCCCTGCTTCCCCTTCAGACTTCCGAGATGTCTGTGATTCCTGCGGAGGAGAGTGACCAGCTACTGATCCGACCCCTGTAAGGGCCCAGCGGAGAGGGAATTGAAGCGCGGGCTGGGAGAGGCTGCGGGGGTTTACTGAAATTGGCCGTCTCGGTCGCCACCCACTCGAGCGTGCTTCTTGGCCTGCACTTGGCTGCGGTTGCCGAAGGGTTTTGGAGAACTGTTGTCCGGAAGGGGCCTGCTAGATTGAATATGATTTTGCTTTTTTTCAGACCTAGGGAAGAGTGTGTTGGAATTGGGGGAGGGGAGGCCTATGGAGGCGCTGGGCTCTTTCTTATTCATTACAGAGCGGCAAACCCCGCAGGAACTAGTGATGCCGAGGCCGGCAGGATGAGATGAGGACCTGGATAAGGCTGTGGCGGTGGGAGAAAGAACTAAATCTGTTTCTTATTACGCCAGGACTTGACATTTGCCGAAGTATGAAACAGAAAATCAATTAGGGCTTCGTTAGGAGTTTCAGGTTTGGGGCGCAGACCCTAAGAAAGGTAGAAAGTTGGAGAAGAGGAAAAGCAGAGGTGCTGAGGACAAACCCTCGGCCCCCGATTTTGCCTGGCAAGGCTGGTCTTTGGGAGGAGACGGCCTTCTGCGGGAGAAGCACTTGGCAGATCTGGATGCTACTTAAGAAGGTGTGAACGAGGGGAACTTATGTAAGCAAGCAATTCGAATCCAGACGCGTATTTATTGTTAGGTATTAGCTAGCGCAACATGGATGCATGTATTTCTCAAAAGGTTGAAAGTATCTACCTCACACATTTACCAGTAACCCGTAAGGACTTGTTGAGCAGCTACTGGGGAAATAAATACAAGCCTCACACTGTTAGTTCACACCTGTCAGCTCCATCAGCTGTCAAGCACCGTGCTGGGCTCTGGGGATGCAAACGAGAGACGTGGCCAAGTTAACTGAATTCGCCCCTTTGGAAGGAACTGCAGTGCAGGATGAAGAAGTACTGGAGAGACAGTTTGCAATAATAGGAGACCATTAACTTGGGGTCAGGCCTGAATGCCAGTCCCTGCTGTGTCACTTGTTAGGTCAGTCACCTCTCTGGGCCTGTTTCCTCACGTAGAAACAATGTTGCAGGTGTCATGGGGAGAATTAAGATACTCTGCAAATGGTTACTATTATTGTAACTACAGGTAGGCATTTCGCCCATGGCTGAGAGATCATTGAAAAGGGGCTTCTAGCAGACTGGAGATAAGAGAATGCTTTCTCATGCATCCTGGGACCTAGGCATGAGCTGAGTCTTACAGAAGGAGTAGAAATTAAAGACAGTGGAGTATGGGGGCCAGGATGTTCCAGCCAGAGGAAGCGGCATGTGTGAAAACGAGAGTGGTCACAGTTTGGGGCCGCTCTCCTCAGGGCTGTGGCTGAAAGACGAGATGGGAGAGGCCATCAGGGTCCATCCTATGAAGGACCCTGTGAACGCACGAAGTTTGCGCCTGTCCTCAGTCATAGGGAGCAACAAAGGACTGTAAGCAGGGCGGGGACATAGTGGAGCTCATGTGCTGGAAGGATTGAAGGTTGCTCCCAGCAGAGGTGTAGCAGATGAATAAAAAGGTGGTTTAAATGGAGGGAATCTAGAGTGGAATTCAGGTAATCTGAGTGATGAGCAAGAACTTGGAGTGAATGAACTGAGCAGTGAGTTGGAGGGAAATAGGGTTTCTGAGAGTAAGGAATGCAGTCTGTAGGACTCTAGCTGATCAGATGCATTGGAAGGGGAGAGAAGGGAGCGGAGTGGAGTGTTCGGGGGACTCGGATGCCTGGGTTGGACAGCTGCCCACTTCGGTTTCGTTCACCGCAGGAAAGAGGAGGTGGGGTGCATCTGGAGCACATTGGGGGGCTTTACGACCGTGATAGTGCGATGTAATTCACACACGGCTCACTCATTTAAAGAGTGCAGTTCGGTGGTTTCCATTATAGTCACAGAGTTCTGCAACCATCTAATTCCAGAACATTTTCATCATTCAAAAAAGAAACCCTGTACCCATTGGCCCCAACTTTCCCATCTGTGAGCAACCACAAATCTTTGTGTTGCTACAGATTTACCTTAACATTTTACATAAATGGGATTATTTAATATGTAGCCTTCTGTTACTGGCTTTTCTCAGCTTAATGTTTCCAAGGTTCATAAATTGGAGTTTTTACTCATTCAATATTTTAAAGATTTACTGAATATCATGCACTCTAGCTATACAGCGGTGGATAGACAACGTCTTTGCTCTTAATAGGGAGGATCAAAGTCATGAATAAGCAGATAACTTCTTGTCGTTACGATGGTGTGGTGTCAAGAGCAAAGGAGAGGAGGTGGTTGAGAGAAGGGCTCTCAGAAGGTGTCATTTGGACTGAGACCAGTGACACTGAGGAGCCGCCCATGCGAGCACCAGGGACTGGGTGAGAGCCAGCGTGGCCTTTGTGCATGCAGGGTGCCTGTGAGCTGCCCCCACGGAGCTCCCTGAGCACCAGGTAGGTCTTGGGGGTCTGGACTACTCACATAGACCTGGATGTCACCATCGGTGTGTTGGAAACGGGAGTGACAGTCCTGAAGACTGAGGAGGCCACGGAGAACCTTGCAGCGTCAACAGTTGACATGTGAGCAGCGGCAGCTGAGTGCGAAGGGGTCTGAGGAGGAGGGGCCACAGGCCTGAGAGAGCGTGAAGTGGGGACGTGCCGGAAGCGGGCTGAGCAGGAGGGTGACAGGCTGCAGGAGGATAAGTGGGACGAGCACCCAAGGTGGCCGTGTACACTCAGCAGCAGAGACCTGCTTCGCAGGGACAGTTTCAGAAGAGCGTCTGCTAAAAGCCAGTGACGGCGGTGAGGAGGCAGGCAGGGCGTGTGCAGCTCCTAGGAAGTGGGCTGGGAATAAAGACAGGAGGAGCTCACGGTTGGAATTGAGGGGTTTCGTTTCAGGGTAAGAATGGCTACAGTGTGTTAGAATGCGGACGGTAAAGTGGACGGTGAGAAATGAGGTGGCCTTCCCTCCCTACGAAGGGGGTGTCAAGTGGAGAACCCGGGGGCAAAGGTTAGCTTTAGCACATGGGCGTCAAACTCATCTTCACCAGGGCCATGCCAGCCACACAGTTGCCTTCAAAGGGCCGGGTATAATTTTTGGACAGTTAACACTTAAGTGAGAACTTCCAGATTTGGCCCGAGGGCCTTGTGTTTGCCACCTGTGCCTTAGAGGGGAGGGAGGCCTGTTCTGCTTTTCGGCAGAAATGGAAGGAGACAAAGACAGGGTGGGTGGCGAGTGAAGCTGAGGAAATGGACAGAGGAGCTTTTGGTGCAGAGAAAACCCAGGCCTGGAGTGAGGGGGAGGGCAGGGAGTGGGGAAGTTGAGAGAAAGTGTGAACAGCCGCTCTGGAACCCATAAGGGAAGGCTGCGCTGGGGACACTTACAGGCTGCACAGAGCGCCCGAGTCAAAGGCCCGAGATTCCTGGGAGCTTCGATGCGGTTTGACTTTATCCATGTCCTGCTCTGAAGTGTGGGGGCGGGTCCATCGGGTGGCCGCACTGGGAGGTCCGGGGGTTAGGCCTTTCCACGTGCCGGGCACGCCACACAGCAAGCACTTGGCAGACAGAGCTGCTCGGGTAGTGTTGGAGGAGTGTGTAAACCGTGACCCAGCGTGGTGGGAAAGGCATCGGAGAGGGCGAGGGACTGAAAGCTGGTGCGGTTTAGCTCGAAGTGCGTCGTAAGATACCTGGAAAGTAAGGCTGTTAGTTTAAGGAGAAAGGAGATTAAGTGTTTGGCATCACATACACTGAAATAACAGGGTGCAAGGGGAGGGACTGGGGGCCACAGGGACAAGAAGTTACTCAATTTAACCTGTCTGGGAAATGCATGTTACGCTCTTAAAAGTAAGAATCTTGAAGCGCTTGCAAGTGTATACTTGAGTGCTGATTCTAAAAGTAGTATTAAGTGGTCCGCATCATGGCCCGTGTACATTTTCAGCACACCGCAGTTGAACCCTAGCACTCGGGCTGAAGGTGGCCTCTGGGCCTCTCGGGTCCGCGCCATCTGCCTGGACAGTTTGAACGGCGGCAGCGTCCTGCACCCCCGAAGGCCGCTGCTCCCCGCACGACACTCACTGTCCTTCCCGGTCGTCGTGACTGTGGAACTCGCCACCCCCAGTGCAGGCTACCAGCAGGTGGGGCGTAGGGTGAGCTGCAAGAAGTTTGAGTTCGTTGGGCTTCACTTTCATTGTTTTTCTTTCTTCCCTTGAATGTTTACAGTGGAGCTGGGCAAGAAGTCGGAAGATCATGTATCATTCTGGAGTTCAAAGGAAGAAAGATAATGGTAATTACTGTCTGTAGTCTGGCTAGCGGCGTGGCTCTGTCTGCAGTGGGTGGAGGGCTGTTCTGCCGCAGCGGTTACCGGTGTAGCTCCCAGAAAAATGCCCTAGTCAGTGTATGTATCTGAGCCATGAACCGTTAATGTGTAAAGCTAGTGCACACCCTACTTGGTAATTTGACAAAACGTGAAGTCAACTGAGGAAATACATTCTGACCCGGAAAACTGTCAACCAGATCTCCAGAACCATTGCTCCTGCGCAGACCCTCTTCCGCCCTTGCAGGGTCTAGCCGGGCTCACAGCCCCGTGCCCACGGCGGCCCCAGGGCACATGCGCAGCACCGGCCACAGAGCCTGGTGTGGCAGCTTCCACACCAACATCAGCCTCGGGCGGGGCGGCCTGCCCTCTCACCCACCTCCTCGCCAGACGGGGGTCGGGAGAGAGGGTCTCCGCGGTCTCCTTCGGAAGGCTGGTCAGTGGCTCACGTCCCTCTGGCTCCACTTCTCTACCTGTCCCCATCCCCAAAAAACAGTCCGTGTCACCCACGGTCGCCCTGCCAGTCATTTATGGTGTTAATTTTGTAGAAATTAATAGAATTTCATAGAAGTGGCCCTGATGGGGACTTACAACTCAGTAATGACCAACACTTAAGAAGTTGTCCCCAGTACCTTAAAACATTTCAGCTGCCCTGACCCGGAAGCTTTCCCGTGCTAGCCACGGTCTTCTCCCAATCAGATCTGGTGGTAAGTCCATAAACTTTTTGAATGCCCACCCTCAACTTTCTTGAGAGAGTTCTTCACCATCAGAGTGACCACCCAAACTAGCTGGAAAGAGGCCGTCTTGTGTCGTGTGTCTTGTGAGCCGCGTGTGAGCTCTGTTACCTTTGTTTGGGAAGTTCCAGTCGTTCATAGAGTGCATTCCAAAGGCCGGTGCATGGAGTCCGCCTTCATTACGCGTGTGGTGGATCTGTTGTGATACTGTCTGTTTATCGATGGGTTTTAATAAAATGCAGGAGGTTGCGATCTCTTTGTCTGTCTCCTTAGCTGGACTGTGGGATCCACCCTGGCCTGGAAGGAATGGACGCTCTTCCTTATATCGATTTAATTGACCCAGCTGAGATTGATCTCCTCTTAATTAGTCAGTAAGTTTTTGTCTTTATTTTTCTTAAGATTTTATTTACTTATTTTTAGAGAGAGGGGAAGGGAGGGAGAAAGAGAAGGAAAGAAACATCCATGCGTGGTTGCCTCTCGAGCGCCACCTACTAGGGACCTGGCCCGCGACCCAGGCATGTGCCCTGACTGGGAATGGAACCAGCGACCCTTTGGTTTGCAGGCCTGCACTCAACCCACTGAGCCGCACTGGGAGAGTTTTTTTTTTTCCTTTATTAACAACACCTTTTCATAGACTTTTACTAGAAGAACCATTCTTTACCAGATACTAAGATTCTGGTGTTAAAAGAATATTCTCTACCAGGAAGCATGTGGCAGACTTAATTAAGCATGCGACTGTCTTAAGACAGCAGTGCGTGTTGTCGTCGCAGAGAAAGTCACTGTGAAGAAGTGGTCGCCCTGCCTGCAGGGGGAGGCAGAGGCGGAGGGCAGGTGCCGTGGGTCACTGTGAAACAGGAGACCCCGACAGCCCTTTCCCGAGCACCTCCTGGGGCTCGCTGTCTATAGGAACTTCAGTTGGAAGCGGCGATGTTTCACTTTATATACCACTAACGTGCTTGTTATAATTCACCTGCCAAGAGTGGGTTTTGGTGTATTCTTCTTCCCTTTCTAAATATCATTGATAAAATACTTTGATGTTTAAAAATGCTTTGAATATCCTTTTCTCATACTGGGACTGGCTGCATTATTTCTTCCCTCTACATATACGTACCCTTGATGTTCTGGAAGTCTCAGTGTGCAGTTGTTACATAGAACGTTTTTTTAAATCCTCCGCGAAGATGTGTTTATTGAGTTTAGAGAGAAAAGGAGAGAGAGAGACATCGATCGGTGTCTCCCATACACGCCTGGGTCTGGGACTGAGCCCCTAAGCTTTGGCGACAGGATGATGGGACCGCCCGGCCAGGGCTGCAGAGCACTTCCTCCGTGCTACCGCAGCACTTTGGTCGTGTAGATGTGACGGGTGACGGCTTACGCACTGACAGTCTCCTTGTTCTATTGTGTTAAGTTTCCACCTGGACCACTGCGGAGCTCTGCCCTGGTTTCTGCAGAAGACAAGTTTCAAAGGAAGAACATTTATGACCCACGCCACAAAAGCCATTTACAGATGGCTTCTTTCCGATTACGTCAAGGTCAGGTGAGTTACCTCGGTGGATTCTGTGTCATTCGTGTGGTTCGAGTCATGGACTGTTTTGCTCTTTGAAATGAGACCCTCTTTTTTTTTCATTTGCACGGATGTCGTCAACTTAGTCATTCAGTAAAACCTTTGAAATGCACATTGTGTGCCCAGCACCTTCTTGACCTTAACAGTTTTATGCATTTTTAACATTTTTAAAAATCTCTGTAATTTAGCTGAGTTACAAGGTATAACAATATTCTATAAATGTTAATTAACACAAAATACATTATACAGTAATACACAGATATACTGAAGTCTTATTGTAGGTTATTTGAAAGTTCCCCAGGGAAGTTTTTTCCCGCTGCAAGGGGAAAACCTACTCCTTTATCAAAAAACTTATATGATACCCACAGCACAGATTATCAGCCTTCAAAAGTTTACTGTTCAGTGTGCATATTCCAGGGGGTGCTGGGGCGCCATTTGTTATTTTCACCTGCAAACACAGAAGAATGGAAGTGTAGCCTTAGCGGTAAATACTCCAGCTAACGCTTCAGTGACGCTCACCACAAGCCCACACCATCCGCAGTTCTTCCCACGTGTGGGCTTCGTGGTGTAGGTTCTGTTAGAAGTCGCACTGTGCGGAGAGAGGCAAGGAAACTCACCCCCCATGGTCACAGGGAGACAAAGCTGGGATGGATGGAGGCCGAGCGGGCTGGCCCCTTGACCCCCCACTCTCGTGCTTTTCTGGAAGTATGTTAGCCTGATTTTTCTGAAGAAAACGCACTCTGTGCTTTGTAGAGAAATCTTGAGAGACGGGGGAGGGGACGGGGAAAGAGGGAGAGAGATACCGATGTGAGAGAGAAACATCTTGGTTGTCTTCCATACGCACCCCAGCAGGGGACCGAACCTGCAACCCAGGCATGTGCCCTGACCCTGAATCGAACCGGCAACCTTTTCGTTTGCAGATGACACCTAACCAACCGAGCCACACCGGCCAGGGCCATACAGTGTAATTTGAAGAAATAGTTTTATAGTTGTGTCTGTCACTCACAGTTTCTTGGAGTTCAAAACTTTTTAAAGACCTTGCCCGTGATCCTTTTCGTTGGCACCTTTTAAACATTTAGCAACATATCGGCGGACGACATGCTGTACACGGAGACGGACTTGGAGGAGAGCATGGACAAGATCGAGACCATCAATTTTCACGAAGTGAAGGAAGTCGCCGGGATCAAGTTTTGGTGCTACCATGCGGGCCACGTGCTCGGAGCTGCCATGTTCATGATCGAGATCGCGGGCGTGAAGGTACCATCCGGCCCGGCCGCCTCCTTTCCGCCAGGAGTCGGTGCGGAGCTGTGGGCCGCCACGTAGTGCTGCAGGGTGTCCTGGAGGTGCAGGGTCACAGCACCGAAACCCAGGAGCAAATCACGTCCACACTTTGTTCATTTAAGTGTCACCGTTCGTGCCCCCAGGCCGGCTGTTTCTGCAGGGGTGGGTGGAGCCAGTAAAGTGAGCCCCGGGGGGTCACCGTCCCTCACGTCACGTGAGGGGCAGCTGCTCCTCAGGGTCCCTCCAAAGGCTGAGGGGAACCAGCCGCTGTGTGGCCGCATCTGCTGTACCCTGAGACGACATCCGCCATTCATGTCCTGACGTTCCAGGGTCCCACAGAAGCCCTGCGTGAGCCAAGTGGGACTCAGAAAGGACACATGAGCTCTCCTTGACAGGGACGGCTGGTGGCGGTCCCAGTACACCCGCGCCGACGTGGAGGCTGCCGGGCTGGCTCCGGCAGGGCTTCTTCACTCTGGCTGCCCGGGAGGGTCACCTGGGGGCTCGGAGCAGCGCTCACGGAACCAGAGTCTGAGGCCGTGGCCTTGGCCTTTCGTTTCTAAGTTTGCTGGGTGATCCGTAATTTTTGCAGCTGCTCATACAGTATTTGAAATTTGTACACACTGAGTTGTCCTACATATTACAAAATCATTTCTTGCTGTTTGCCCAAGGGCACAAAAAATAAGCAGAAAACAGCACAGATGCAGGTCTAAATTCTCATTAGAAACTTGACAGACACCCTCCAAGATTTTTTAAAGATTTTATTTATTTATTTACATTTAACTTGTTCAAATACAATTTTTATTTATTTATTTTTAGAGGAGAAGGGAAGGAGAAAGGGAAAGAAACATCAGTGTGTGGTTGCCTCTCACATGTCCCACACTGGGGACCTGGCCCACAACCCATGCCTGTGCCCTGACTGGAAATCGAACTGGCGACACTTTGGTTTGCAGGCCGGCCCTCAATCCACTGAGCTGCGCCAGCCGGGGCTCCAGGATGTTTATCTTGCGTTTTAGATGGTTTTCCCTTGTACCTCAGTAGTTTTTTGCCTCATCATGCCCTTTTTCTCTGAGCTGTTGAGAGCACGTCTCCAGTTCACTGATACGCGGGCTCCCTTAGTGGATGGTTCTGGGAGGCAGTATTTCCAGCCGTTAGGCCGACCGATCGAACACTGGATGCTTTCTGACCAAACTAAGTCAGACACAAGCATTGCGTCTAAATGTTACCGGTTGTGGGCTGTTTTTTCTACTTATTTTTACTTTCAGGTTTGTGAACTAAATATATGAATAAAATGAAGCCTTCCAAAACCCTAACTTTCCATGTCTTTCCCACAGCTTTTATATACAGGTGATTTCTCAAGACAAGAAGACAGACATTTGATGGCGGCTGAAATCCCGAACATTAAACCTGATATTCTTATCATTGTAAGTATTAGTGCATTGCATGTAATTAGGGTAATGTAAACAGAGACTGTAGTGGGAAAACATGTTGTGATCTCACTTTTACAATACGTTATTGGGTATAAAGGTACCTTTCTTTAGAATAAATGTACTTATCTTTGTAGTGCAGCTCCACTTTCTTGCTGTTAAATGGATCAGCTCTGTTCGGAAGTCAGATGCTAGGCTATCTCCTAAATATTTTTGTCTGGGTGACTTGCCCCAAATTCATGGATCTTAAAGGTTGTGCAGAAATGGCGTGGCCCAGGCCTTCGCCACAGTGACCACCTTTTGGCCCATAGCACCTGCTGGTTTGTATGTACATGTCCTCTGTGCCTCCTGAACCACGAGTCCCAGGAGAACAAAAAAAATTAACTGTACAGAACCTTTGGCCGGGTGGGAGGAGGTGAAAAGCAAATTAATAAGTGTGTCCTGGTGACGGTGAGGTCAGGAACAGGGAGAGAGGTCTTTTGGGCCCGTGATATGTACCAGAAGACCAGGCATCCTTAGTTCAGGAGGAAGAGCAGTCTGTTCTTCCCTCACCACCTACAGCGCCCTCACCTGCCCGAGCCTTTGGCAGCAGTGCCTCCGCCGTCCGTGCGCGGCGTGTGAGCGGACGCCGTTTGGCTCAGCTCGTGGCTCGCCCAGCATGTACGCTGACATTACTTTAAGGGAAGTTTTCTTTAACCTGTGGAAAAAAATTATTTTATCTGGTACTTCAGAGTGGCACTACTCAAACATTAATGCGCTTCTGAATTATCTGGTGATATTGTTAAAATACAGATTCAGATTCAGTCTTTCTGGGCTGGGACCTGAGAGTTGGCGCATCCAATAAGCTCCCAGGGATGCCAATGCCGGTGGTCAGCTGACCACAGAGCTTCTGACCACCAGCCAGGTCTTCATTCTGGTTTGCTCTTCTGATTGGTATTAAAACAGTACACGTACAAATAAATGGCATGCCAGTGGAGAAATGACTCTCTTTGCTTCTGCATCTCATTGACATTTAACTTCCGTGTTTTTTGGCATTGTCTGTCTTGGCCTCACACTTCTGATGTGTTGTTTAGGAGTCTACCTACGGGACCCATATCCATGAGAAGCGCGAAGAGCGGGAAGCGAGATTCTGCAACACGGTCCACGACATTGTCAACAGAGGGGGCAGAGGCCTCATCCCCGTCTTCGCTCTCGGAAGGGCTCAGGAGCTGCTCTTGATTCTAGGTAGGCCTTTCCCTTTTCATTCGGGGTCTCCGCACCTGGGAGTGCCTGGCCTTGGGTAGGGCCTGCCACCTCTGTGGGCTTCGGTTTCTGCGTTCGGTGCCAGTAAGAACCCAGAGGAAGAGTGACTGCTGTGCACCGCACCCGGGAACATGAAGGGCGCACCTTCCTAGTTGCCATCGGCATCACAAGTCTTGGCTGTGTGAGGTCTGTTCAGAAGAAGTCCAGCCGTTGTTAGTATAACAAGAAAAGTTTGCGTAACATCGATGTAACCTGGCAGCCAAGGAGAGTGGACTGGAATGTGTGTGCATGAACAATGACCACTTCACTGTACTAGTCAGTGGGGGTGGTAGATGCCTTGTGAGTGAGTGTGTGTCCTGTGTGGCCATCACATTCAAAATGAGCAAGCAGAGCAATGAATCTGCATCAGACTTTGTGTTAAGAGTGAACACTCCTGCAGAAACTGTTTGGATGACTCAGGAGGCCGCAGCTGTGGGCAGTGGTGATGCCTCATCACGACACCGTGCTCACTCAATGAAGCACGTCTCGTGCATAATTTCTTTGGGAAAACATCAGTCACCCAGGTGACTCAGCACCCCCACAGCCCAGATTTGGGACCCTGCAACTTCTGGCTTTTCCCAAAACTAAAAGCACCTTTGACAAAGGGAAGAGATTTCAGACCATCAATTATATTCAAGAAATTACCACAGGGCAGCTGATGGTGACTGGGGGAACTGTGTGAGGTCCCAAGGTGCCTGGTTTGAAGGGGACTGAGGTGTCACTGTCCTGTGTACAGTGTTTCCTGTATCTTCTTCAGTAAATGTCTCTATTTTTTATACTACATGGCTGTATACCTTCTGGACAGACCCCGTGTGTTCGTATTTCATGACCCCCTCACACTCGAACATTATGTGGTTCCTGGGGGGACACTCTCTCCTTGAAGAATGAATGACGAGGCCTTGAATGTCTGTGGCTCCACGGGCAGAACCAGAAGCACTCGCTTCCTGAGCGCCTGCTCTCAGCTCCTCTCTGGGAGCAGGATACGCAGCATCTGTGTTACTCGGGAACAGGAAGGAAAGGAAGGTGGAACGACCTCAGATCCAAAGCGAGTCTGGGAGAGAGACAGGACTCTGCAGAAGCTCAATTTTCTAAACCCTAGTCCAGTGCGGTTTGCTCTCGGTCCCGACTTGTTCCTTCTTTCTAGCCGCGGCGCATGCCTGTCCGTACAAAGTCTTGAAGTGGGGAGTCTCCCCGTGCTGTGAGCTGAAGAGTGGAAGACGTGCGGGAGGCGGAGCCACACTGTGGCCAGCAGCCGGGGGCTATGGGGAGAAATACGGGACACCCAGTTAGGTTTTAATTTCAGACAAAAGCGAATGGTATTTTAGCCCGAGTGTATAGAAAATTAATATAATTGATATAACTCTTACACAAAAATACTTTATTTGTCCTGATCTATAACATGCAGATAAATCTTCACAATGTTGTTTTGAGGAGTATTAAGTGTAAATTGCATACTAGGCATCTAACACATTTCCCGAATGCAGGCGCACCTGGTGGAGGAAACCATACGTTCTGCCCATACTGCCCTTATAATATTTGGGGGTTTAATGTGGGTTTCCCTGAACAAAAATCCTCCTTTGAAGGTGCATTTCCCACTGTTTTCATCATCAGAAACTGGTTAGAATTTTCTAGAAAATGTAATACAGTCGCAGAGCAATGTGTTTGTTAAGTGTTTAAAATTGGTGTGCCTCATCGGCCGTCCCGTTTTGTAATAGCAAAGTCTGCCCACAGCAAGTGTGGTTCTCCCGCACCATTTGTAGATGTTTCCACGGCCGAGGCCACGCTTCAGTCCTTAGAAACACGTTTCAGCTCACAAGGTTAAGCTAATAAGACCAGGCTAATTTTTCTCATATTTTAATTAAAATACACGTCTGAATTTTAAAAACAAATGACGCGTGTCCCTCGCTGTCTGAACTGTTTCACCCACGTAACGAACGTGCTTGCGTCCCTGGAACCTCTGCAGACGAGTACTGGCAGAACCACCCGGAGCTGCACGACATCCCCATTTACTACGCATCGTCTTTGGCCAAGAAGTGCATGGCTGTGTACCAGACGTACGTAAACGCCATGAACGACAAAATCCGCAAACAGATCAACATCAACAACCCCTTCGTGTTCAAACACATCAGCAACCTCAAGGTGGGTGCTGCGGGGAGGACGACGGGGCTGGGGGGCTGCAGCGTGGAGCCCGGGGGGCCCGCAGACGTCCGGGGTGGGAGTCCTGCCTGTCCTTCGCTCCGGCTGCTCCTCGTCACCAGAGCCCCCCCTTGGCTCAGGCGGGTGTCACTCAGGAGTCAGAAATGTAGCTGCTGGCGTTCTTGTTGCTTAAATAGAGTTCATCGCGTGTTCCAAGTGCGCACACATTCCAGTATTTACTGTTGCTGAGCAACTTGGACCTTTTTGTCACAGAAATAGAAAGTCCTGATAAAAATATAATATCTTGTGTTACATACTAAATTTTTCATTCTTACTCAGACCTAATCATATTTTGATGATTAGCACTGTAAATTCATATGTGAAAATGTTCATGTTTACTTTTCTAGAGCATTCAGTAAAATCTGATTTTTAATTAAAGTGCATATATTGATTCATGCAAACTAATCTGGTCATAATAAAAGAATACCCCAAATGTTATAAGTTCCAATTACAAATAGGCTCTGTTCATAAAGCATTGTATTTTAATTCAGTTGCTGGGGAATTAGCACTGAGCTTTCCCGAGAAACAGTGTAAGTTTTTGGTTAGATTCCTGGGCCAGCTCAAAACACTCAGAAGGGTGGAAAGCCCTTGCGGGTGTTTTGGGTAGGAGCCATTTGGCTCTTTCCCTCCTGCCTTCCTGCTGCCATAGGCGCTGACAGGGCCCAGCAGCCCGAGAGCCACCTGTACGCAGGCCGGAGGTCGCCGTGAACAACCCGCGTTTCATGGCTTCATTTCCTTTTCATTCCCAGGCCGCACCGTTTGGGGACTTGGAAACGGGCCACATGTTCAGTGGTCTCGTCGAGCCCCTTTCAGCCATGTGACCGACTCTTAACCTTGCTCTCAGTTACTCTGCACAAACGAGGAAAGGTTGTGAAAGCCTGGTGTGTAACGCACTTTCCCCTCCCCGCCCCTCCCCCAGAGCATGGACCACTTCGACGACATCGGTCCCAGCGTGGTGATGGCCTCCCCGGGCATGATGCAGAGCGGTTTGTCCAGAGAGCTCTTTGAGAGCTGGTGCACCGACAAGAGGAACGGCGTCATCATCGCGGGGTACTGTGTGGAGGGCACGCTTGCCAAGGTCAGTCCCGGCCTTCGACTGCAGACGCAGATGCACGGGGGGCGTATCTGCCCCAGTTTTCCCACTGGCATGAGGCAGAGAATCAGCGCAGGCTGAGTGGCTTGACCTGACCCCCAGGCAGTGGGCGGGCACATCCATCCGGTTGCAGTAAAAATCACAGAAAGGAGCCCGTAGGAGACAAACCCGTGGGTGCCCTCATCGTGCGAAGACCGGTTCCCTGACCAGGACCCTCCTGAAGAGCCGTCAGAGTGTTTGGGCCGATCACCCACCTTCCTGCCGGTACAAAACGATGGGCATTCACTCTCAGGGATGCAGGCGTTGACCCGCAGGAATTCAGAGGCGGTGTCTGGACTTCCAAGACCGCATTCTCCTATCTCCTCTTACCGATAATTTCTGTTTCATTTTTTAAATATGATTCCCTGCTTTGATCATTTTTATTACTTTTTTTACTAAGTCATGTAGACGATATTAGCAGTGTATTTAAAGTAGACTTTCATAGCAGAAATACATCTATCTTTTCCTCTTCATTGGAAAGTTCCTAGAGCAGGAGAACAGTGGAGAACGCTAGTCTGCCTTTTTAGTCGTAAGAATTACACTTTTCACGTCTAGCATCTAAATACGTGAAATTTCAGTTCCTCTGCTTCCTTTTCTGATTAAATGCTTGATGAAGAGAGTAAGTGTTTGACACTAAGTCAGCAGCGTTAGAATGGTTTTGGGGCCAAGGGTCGAAGTGCAGCGCGCGCTCGCGGCTGCGGGGGAAGGTGGGGAAGCCCTCTCTCCCGGAGCCCGACGGCCGCCCGTCCGTCCGTCACAGCACATCATGTCCGAGCCCGAGGAGATCACCACCATGTCCGGGCAGAAGCTGCCGCTGAAGATGTCGGTGGACTACATCTCCTTCTCCGCCCACACGGACTACCAGCAGACCAGCGAGTTCATCCGCGCCCTGAAGCCGCCCCACGTGGTGAGTGTGGGCGGGGCGAGCAGGCCCACTGGCAGCAGCTGGTTCTCAGGCACCGCCTCCTGTCGGCGCAGCGCTCCACATGGCGCACCCAGCTTCTCGTCTCTGCTGGACCAGGCAGGCCGCGCGCTTTAATTTCTGTGCCTGCGTGGCGCTGCCCGTCACCCGTTCTTTCCTGCTGCCTCCCCAGCAACCTGAGAGCTTCGCAACCAACAGGCTTCTCGGTGTGGCAGTGTTGAGTCCCAGCTCCCTCCGTTCCGTGCTGTGTGGCCCTGGGAAGTTACCTAACCTCTCTGTACCTCATCTGTACATGCAGATGATGATACCTGGTGAGGTGGTTGTGAGGACCGAATGAGAACGTGCTTCCTAGGCCCAGGGCCTGGCTTGTCGGGAAGGCCAAGTGATGGGAAGAGGGGAGAAAGGCAAGTCGTGCAACAGTAGAGTTAGAGACGCAGATCAGTATGAAGGACTCCACAGAGCTCCTCACTGATGTGACTTGCTCCTGCCTTTAGTTTCACATGCTGTGAAAGTAGCAGTGACACCTGGGGGGGCCTGGAGAACGGGGCGAGCTGAAACAGTGCGTGTTTATCAAGGAGAGGGGAGCGGACAGACGCGTGTCTGCCGCGGGGAGACTGGGCGGTGGCGCCGGCTGCCGGTTCCATCCCACCGACTGACGCCCAGGGCCTCTCACTCTTGGGTCTCGCCAGCCGAAACGCCTGGAAGAAAAACAGATGCCGTACCCTTTCTGGGTGTATCCAGAAGTGGTTCAGAGGAAATGGCGTCTTGTTAGGTTTTTTCCTTCTTAAATGTGTCCTGTGACAAATTTAAGCAGACAGGTTAGTGGTGTGAACTGTGTCCTCAGCGCAGTGCGGCCAACGCCACGGTCTGCCTCCACCCCCCCCCCAAACTGCATCCAGTAAGGCCTCCTCCCCAGCTCCTAGTGACCTCCAGTTTACCGCGTCTCCGAGAATTTGCTGGAATCAGTGCAGCCATTTCATACAAGAGAAGCCATCAGTGTTTCTAAGGCTCGCCCATGTGGGAGCGGGTACCGACCTTCAGTCCTCGTCATGGCCGAGTAACACTCCGTGGTTGCACACATGCACGCACATTTGGTTTATTCATGTTGAAGGACACGGGTTGGCTCCACCTCTGGCTCTTGTGAGCAACGCTGCCTGGGCGCCGGCACAGAAATGCCCGGCTGAGTCCGTTTTCCGTTCTTCCGGGTGTGTGCCCACGAGCGGCCTGGCAGGATCACAGTGGTGGTTCTGTGTTTAACCTCTGTGTGGGGACAGGGCTGTATGCGCATGTGTTTCTCTTTCTCTTTATTTTTCCTTCACCATTTATGGCCCCTAAACCCCCTTCTACCTCCACCCACCCTCCTCCGCCCCTGCATTTAACTTTTTGAGGAATCACCAGACTGTTTCTTTACAGCCACACCTTCTCACGTTCCCACCAGCCGTGCACGAGGGTCCCGGGTCTCCATATTTCTGCCGATGCTCACTTGCCTTTTTCAATTATAGGCTTCCTCCTAAGAACGCAGTGGGTCTCACTGTGGTCTTGATTTTCTTTTCCCGATGACCGGTGACCTGGTGCGTCTCCTTGTGCGCCCCGCCTGGTTGCTTCCCTCTTCCTTCCCACTAGCCAGTTCCCGCAGGTGTTGGGCCTTCACGAGCAGGTGTTGGTTCTTCAGTGGGGCGAGTCCCCCCCTCACTCGCCTCCTCGCCTGCTGAGGTGAGGCAGAGCGCAGCCCACAGGTGCCCCCACTCGGCGTGGGTGGCGAACCCCCCCCAGCCCGAAAGCCCTGGGGGGGAGCAGCTGTGCTGTTCTTTCTCCCCGGATCACCCTGCTTCTTCAGTCCCCGTCCCTCGCTGTCCACGCTCCGACTCTGCTGTCAGCTGAGATTTCCGGATCGAATTGGGTGCTTACCCTCCTCCAAGTCGGCAAAAGTATATCTGCACAATAGAGTAAATACCAGTGTTGGTTAGTAATCATACGTAATAGCTGGTAGTTGTTACTTACCGCCTGCTGGGTGGGGGCTGGTGCTTCACGTGTATCACCTTGCTCACTCCACAGCCAACAACTGTTCAGTGGCGGAGGAAACAGAGATGTTAAGTAACCTCCCCAAAGTCACACAGCGAGTCGGTGGCAGTGCCATACTTTGTGCTCAGGCAGCCAGGACCCTTCCCCGTAGGCCGTCCAGACGCCTGTGCCTGGTAGGGGTGCCAGGCAGGCACCAGCCAGCCCAGGCGAGAGGGCACCTGGCTGGAGCGTGTGGGTGGGAGTGACCTCTTCTGTACAGTGTAGACACGGCGGTTGTGCACACCCCGAAACAACTGCACTTGGTTCTGAAATTCTCTTTAGTGCTGCTTTAAAAAAAATAAATAATGAGGAGTCATTTTTTTTTTACTCTATTTTCTACTCCAGACAGTGGAGTAGAAAAGAAATATCTGCTCACTCTTGAAGAAGTTCCACACGAGGATCTTTTAAAGCCAATCAGATTGTCAGTGTCTGTACAAGTTTAATTGACTACTGGCCCTTACAAGTAGTAAAGTTTACTTCTGACTTCTACGGTTTAACTAGTTCAGGTGATGGCCATCGTTAATCTGAACTAAGCATGTTTCCCTGTGCTCTTTTAAATGTTTTTCCTATAGATTTTAGTCCACGGAGAGCAGAATGAAATGGCCAGGTTAAAAGCAGCCCTGATTCGAGAATACGAAGATAATGATGAAGTTCACATAGAGGTTCATAATCCTCGGAACACAGAAGCAGTGACCTTGAACTTCAGAGGGGAAAAACTGGCCAAGGTAAAGGTTTTGGTTCCTAATCTTGTCCATGTCTTCCGAGAAATGCGTGCCCCTTAAGAAAGTGACCCCTGTCCTCCAGTGTGTGTGGGGGGTGCTGGACGGCGGCTTCCGTCTCCCCGGCCCCCACCAGAGCTTTGCTCCTACACTTTCCTGGCTCCTTCCGGTTCTCCTCATTCCTTTTGTCATGTGGAAGATTTTCAAAGAAATTAGATCTTAATCCAGTTGAATCTGATAGCTTTGTAATTCGCACCCCCACTTACTCAATTATTCCTGCGTCTGAGGATAAAAAATGTCCGTCCCTGTGTCCTACCGCGCCCGGAGCCGAGTCCTCTCCACCCTCGTGACGCGTCCTAAGACCCCAAAGAGGCGCGTGTTCCTGCACTTACACTTCTGCCCATACGATGACATTCATAAAAATCTGTCTTTGAGAGTCATTTTTTAGGGTAAGATACAGTATTTTCAGAGTTTAGAAAGGAAATGGTTAAGAAAAACCTTATCCGGGGTTCTCAGGGATGCTGTGAGAAGTCTGCGTTTTCACCTTCTGTTACCAGAAACCCTGAGATTCCGCCCGGCCCGCAGCTCCCTGCTGGGAGTGTCGCCCCCACACGGCAGGGCTGCGTGTTTGATTCCCGGTCAGCCACGCACCCGGGCTGTGGGTCCAGGCACGTGCTGGATGGTGTTTCTGTCTCAGTTGACTTCTGTCCCTTCCTTCTCTCTAAAAAACCCGTAAACGTGTCCTCGGGTGAGGATTTAAAAGAAAACCCTAAGCTGCCTCTGGGGGAAACTCGTCCGGATCTGGCCTGAGTTCTAAGTGTGGAGCACGTGCCGAAGAGCAGCCTTGCAGAGCTCTTCCTGTGCGCGGTGCAGGGACACAGGAAGCTGATTGATGAGGAGCTTCCCTCACTGTTGAATTCGAGGGGGGATTTTTTGCCAAACATGGTGGTGTTTGTTCCCAGTCCTGTTCACGGGGCTTTGCAGGAGCCAGTTCGGTGGGACGGGTCTTCTCCCTGCAGAAAACTGTGCTGTTCAGACCCAGTTCGTGTCTCCCGGACTTTGCCGGGTCGCGGAGGGAGGCGGAGGAGGGAGCCCCGCACTCGGACGGTTCGGGAGGCGTTCTGCAGAGTAAAGCTGGGTTTGCAGCAGCGCTCTCCAGAGTTTTGCTGAGGCCCTTGCGCGTTAACAGTCCTCGGCACTCACAGTGCACAGCGTGTAAAACTTTGTTCAGCTATAGAACCGAGCACACACTCGTGTGTCATTTTTATCTTTCAATTTACTTGGGCATAGAGACACTCTTGTCAATTTCTCTTTCCCCAAATACGCTTTCACATTGGAGAGCTGTTCTGGTTTTTCAGCCATGATTTCAGTCACCTATAATCACTACCTAGTTCCTTGTTTTCCTCCGGTGAGCGACCTCACTTAGGCAGAAGTCAGATTCATGGGGGGGGTGTCCTCAGCCCTGTAAAGCAGAAACCAAGGAGGTGCAAAGAACCGTCAGCCCCACGCACTCCACCACCTAGAGACGCCAGGCCCCCCACTGCGTGCTCGCGTGTTGGTTGCAGACGAGCACTCATGCCCAACTAGAGAGCGGTACCACATGGTTTGGCCTTGGACACACGCTGCCCTGCAGGCAACGCAGTCCCCATCGGTCCCCGTCCGGGGCTTCCCTGGGGTCAGACCGGTCTCCCGGCGGCAGAGCCCTTCTCACTAAGTGCCAGCATTGAAGGGGGAGCCACCCAGGAAGCCCGGTGAAGTAGCCCTTTCCCGTGACAGCCTGGTGACAGAGCAAAGGGTGTCACCCGCCCTGACTTAGTTTAAGGAGAACAAGTACGGAACATGCCGTCGCTGCCCTCCGTGAAGTTCATTTATTGGCAGCTGAGAGAGGTTACACTTTAAAACGTTGGGTCGCACGTTTGTCAGGCTTCTGTTTATGTTTTTGCACAATCATCACTCTCTTTTCTTAAAACACTCCCCCCTCGGTTGTATGTGTGAGCTCAGCAGTGGTGCAGACAGACGTTGACCTCACTGTGCAGCCTTGACTCCGTGTGGTGGGTGCCCCCTGGTGGCGGTGGGCGGCCAGCCCAGGGGAGCAGAAGCCTTTCACACTGGTGCTGGCCGTCCTTCCCGCTGGGGCTGCCCAGAGCTTTCCCGGTCGCTGGGCTGATGGGGGCTGAACTGAATTCACCTCGATGTTCCGCTGGTTTGCAGGTGGCTCCTCCCTGTGGCCTGGCGGGGCCTGGCTGCTGCCCGGTAGAGGTGCGTGTGACATGTTCGACTTTCCGTGTTTGTGCTCACACGGTTCTCCCGTGTCTAACAGTCTCCGTTACGATGCAGCACCCGAACCACTGCATCTCACGAGACTCTGTTTTCTTCACACTGTTTTGTGTCTTGTGTCGTTTCGACAGGTCATGGGCCTTTTAGCAGACAAAAAACCAGAACAAGGCCAGCGGGTCTCAGGAATACTTGTTAAAAGAAACTTTAATTATCACATACTTTCTCCTTGTGACCTCTCCAGTAAGTATACTGCTAAATGTCAAATATAAGTTGATCTTAGCAAAAAAAAGAGAGAAAATCTGTGAAAACTTCTCTTACCTAGTGGCCACATTTTAATTTTGTTTGTTTACTACTATTATTTTGTAGAGGGGGGAAGGGAGGGAGAAAGAGAGAGAAACATCAATTCATTGCCACTTGCTTGCCCACAACTGGGGACCTGGTCCACAACCCAGGCGTGTGCCCTGACTGGGAATTGAACTGGCAACCTTTGGTTCACAGGCTGGCACTAAATACACTGAGCCACGCCAGCCAGGCCTAGCCACATTTTTAAAAAAACAACCAAATAAAGTAGGAATAAGTGAAAAAGTTTATAATCCAGGTAGTTTCATAGGTAAAAATAGTCTTCCTTGAATTATTGAAACATTCAAATTCTTTGCGAAACAGCTTTTTTCTTTGTTGGAAACACGAGTTTACCTCTGACCCTTGCCTGACAAGGCCGTTGTCCCCACTTCGCGGTGGTGCCGGCCCTTTCACGTTGCGGAGCGGAGCGGCCCCCACACGCATCCTGGGCTGCACGGCCTGCAGCCCGGCTGCTGCCAGGCTCTCGCGCTCTGCGCCCGGGTGGATGTGAAGCCATCGCTGCCTTTGCAGTCGGTGTGGAGTTGCCTGCAAGTGCGTGAGTGGCTCAGTGTCACGTACAAGCCCCGATGACCTCGAAGTACTCGGCACTGCCGGGCTAGGTGCTCGTCTGTGGGAGGGGCCGGCGGGTCCCTGGTGGGTCGGAGGGTCGCCTGGTAGAGTGAGCACGTGGTCCTCGGTGCCGCGGCTGGTGCACTCCCCCTCTGCGCCAAGCTTTGTGCTGGGTGCCGGAGGGCTGCAGTTAACAAAAAGCACAGCCCCTGCCCCCCCAGAGCTGTCTGAGGAGAGAGGCGTCCTTGTCAGGAGCTGGGCAGTGTTGGCCCGGGACGGGTAGAACTGCCTGGTGCGCAGGTGAGGACAGCAGGGCCTCGCGGCTCCGGGGAAGGCTGTGCCGGCCAGGCCGGGGTGTGCCAGGTGCTGAAGGCTCGTTAGCTCGTGCCAAGCCCGAGAGATGGCGGAGGACAGCTGGCCCTCTGGCTTGGAGCCCGTCAGGCACCTGCTGTGTTCTGGCCGCAGCCAGCTCTCGCTTCCTTTACTTGGGCTTCTCTGTGTTTGCAAATTGTGCTTTATGGGACCAGTACTGTTCCTTAAAGTGTGTTTGTTCGAATTTCCCCTTCAGATTATACCGACTTGGCCATGAGCACTGTGAAACAGACCCAAGCCATCCCGTACACCGGCCCTTTTAATTTGCTCTCTTACCAGCTGCAGAAACTGACAGGTGTGTGCATTTACAGTCACTTTGCTGCTTTCTGTTTCGGAGGAAGATGATGAGGTATCTAGGAAAGGGTGTTATTTAATTTTGGTAGTTGTCTCAGAAGTACACAAATTTTATTTGTGCTTGGTCACATCCCATTTGAGTGGATTTTGAGAATCTACTCATCAACTTTTATTTTTTTAAGATTTTATTTATTTATCTTTAGAGAGGAAAGGGAGGCGAGAGGGAGAGAAACATCAATGTGTGGTTGCCTCTCGTGCGCCCCCTGCTGGGAACTGGCCTGCAACCTAGGCAAGTGCCCTGACTGGGAACCAAACCTCGATCCTTTGGTTCGCAGGCTACTCATCAACTTTTAAATCCCGTTATGCCTTCTATCCTCGAGCCACTTAAAATTCTAAAAATATCCGTAGTCTTTATTCCTTGTGTTTAAACTCTACTTTACCCAGATTTCATCTATTTTTTTCTCTGTTCAGTGAAAATGTTTCTGGTTCCATTAGTACCATTGTGTGCGGCAGGCTTTATAAGTGAGCGTGGCCTCTGGCTGAAGGCCAGCACCGGAGAGCCGGTCCCACTTTCCTCTGAAACCGCTTTGACCTGAGAGTCCCGGGAAGCGGCATCACGAGGGCAGGGGCCGCGCTGCCGGAGGCGGGCGCTCCAGCAGGCGAGAACGCTGCCATCAGCAGCTCTCCCCTTTCTGTTAGTACGTTCTTCCTCGTTCACACAGCGAGGAGCTCCCGTAAAGTAACCCGTGGGAAGGAGGTCTGGTTTCACGTCAGAGCCGCATGTTCGAATTAGAGATCAAACCATAGAAAGTTAGGTAAATACGTCCGAGTTCGTCCTTAATCAGGGGTCACTGGGGAAACCGGAGAGGTCTCATCTTGGGCAGTCGAGTGGCCCGCAGAAGGAGTAGACAGCCCTGTGAAGGCAGAAGGCAGGAGGGACTGTTCGCAGCTGCCTGTCTCGTGTTCAGCGTTAAGATGCTGGTGGCAGGCCTCTTGCACAAACACAGAAGTGTGACAGTCCCCCGAGTTTGTTCCGCGGCCGGTGCATTCCCACTGTGCACGCCAGGCAGTAGCGGGTGCTGGGGAGCCGGTTACTTGCTGCTGTTAAAATATTTAACGTCCAAGGTAAAGCCACTCTGGTTACGCAGATTTTGTAACACATGTTCAGATTTTCAGTTAACTGTATACAACATACAATCTAGCTGTTTAAATCTCACTATAAATGCTCTATTAATTTTTCATTATGTGCCAGCTTTATTCAGCCAACTCTGCAAACAAGTGAATAACGTGTGTTATAATCTTTCTTTCAGGTGATGTAGAAGAATTAGAAATTCAAGAAAAACCTGCTTTGAAAGTGTTCAAAAATATTACTGTAATACAGGAACCAGGAATGGTGGTGTTAGAAGTAAGATAAGATCATTTACCCAAACAAGGAGGAGGAGAAAGTTTTGAGCGTTTACATATGTGGAGATTTGAGTTGGGGTGGCAAACAGACAACACAACATACAGATGATGTGTTACAGAATCGTACACCTGAAACCCATACGATTTTATGAGCCAGAGTCACCCCAAAATGCAGTTTAAGAAAGAGTTTACATGTAATTGTAGAGAAACTTCACAATCAGGAAAAGAATTATTGGAAAACACCATTTTCTAAGATCAGCCTTAAGTATAACATAGCTAGGCATTTTGTGTGAAACATAGAAACTAGAAACAAATTAAGGCTTGACGTGTAGTACGTGTAACGAGTAGGGATCTCATGTGCGTCAGTCCGAGCTGATTATGGGGTGTCTCGGGAAGTCCCCAGTTGAAGCAGGGTATCATTCTCTTGCACTGAAACGAACTTGTCCGGCAGCACTTCTGAGCAGAGAGAGAGGCATTTCGAAGACTCAGATGAGCAGCATTAATGTAGCCCGGACACACACAGGCAAGAACTCACTGACTTAGGTGAACGTGGTTCCCGCCGGCAGAATTTCAAACTCCCGCCCATGGGATGTGGAACCCAGACACTGAGAGAAGTCGATGGTTGGCTTTGATAGGTTGGCATCTGTTAAGTCAGAAGGAAGACTTTTTAAAATTTTTAAATGAATCCTGGAACTGAATGATCGAAGGAGCTACTTTGTCTATTTTTCTGCCTCAAGGTTATACGTACATTGCATGCAAATTTCCCAGCTGTAAGTTTGGCTACTTTGTTTATACAGATTATTTTAAAACAAAAAAGAAAGATCTGTCAGCTCTGGTCCCACCCAGTTCTGTGAATGAGCCTTAGATTGGTTTGGAAGGCTAAAAATAACTGAAGAAAGTATCGAAAGGAGAAAGGAGTGTTATCTGTAGCAGGAAGTGACATACAATGATACATAAAACAACATCCGAGAGTTAATAGAAATGTTGATTAAACGTGTCAGAGATCCAGAGAAAGTTTTTAAAGTGCCTCGTGTTGCTTGTGAAAGTGCACTTTGCAGAGAGAATAAACATGAGGGCTCTGGTTCCTGAAATGTCAGTGATTCACCTGGTCTCACCCTGAGTGGGCAGACTCAGGGGCTCTCTTGTATCGCTGGGCACTTGAAGGAGCTGCAGGGCCCCTCAGGCCTCACGTGAGGACTAGAAGTAGCCTGTGACAAGGTTACTCTGTATCACTGCCGAGACAGTGGCTGGGAACCAGCCTTAGGGTCCCAGGGCCAGCAGCTACTGCGCGTGCCATCCGCTGCAGTGCCTTCTGAGTCCAGCTGCCCTGCTGTAAAGTGAACGTGCTGGGAGGACTGAAGGAGACACAGGGTGTACTGTCCCAGCTGCAGGGGACCTGCTCACCACCCTTGACCATCTAAGCTTGGAGAAGTCCAGCACCGAATGCGTTTCAGTGCACGAGCAGCCCGTTCAGTGAGGATGCTGGGAGCCGGTCACACGTGCAGAGTCGGGGGGGGGGGGGCGTGCGCGGCTGTCCCGGGGCCGTGGCTGTGCCTCCTAACTCCGCCTCTCGCTTCACAGTGGTTAGCAAACCCCTCCAACGACATGTACGCCGACGCGGTGACGACCGTGATCCTGGAGGTGCAGTCGAACCCCAAAATCAGGAAAGGTACGGAGTCCTTTCGCTCTTCGTTTGCTTCATCTCATCAGTTAATTCTTTACTTCTCCCACAGCTCTTCGCACTAAAAAGCGGAAAGTAGGACCCCAGGTGCTTGAAATCTGATTTTTTTTCCATTCTGCACAACTATTGACACACTAGGTACTTGCATAATGATGCATATTACCACCGTTTTACTTTTTGCCTTGAGGTTTTTTTTTTTTAACTTATTTACTTTTAGAGAGAGAGGAAAGGAGGGGGGGAGAAAAGGAGAGAAACATCAGTCATTTACCTCTCTCACACCCCACACTGGGGACCTGGCCCACAGGCCACAGCAGCCAGGGCTGTCCTGGGTTTTAACCTGTGCCGTGAAAGTCTGGTAGCAGTTAACACCAAGGTAAAATGTGAGTGAGAGTCCGTTTAAGAACAGATGAATGGGGGGGCTTCACGAAACCACTGCAGTGAACCAGCGTGTCCGATGTGCTGTTTGCTCTTGTTTTTGGTAACGTCTGTTGATGGGATGGACTCCCCTGTGGCTAAGGAGCATTTTCCAACCAAAGGAAGCACCAGTGAAAATACTTTTCTGTCACAGCGTTACAGTTAGGTTTCACTTGATACATGATTCTGTGTCACACATCTTGTGCGTCACTGACATGTCAGGTGGCCTTTTGTCACTGGAGGAGCCACCCTGGCGAACTCCGGGAGGCCCCCAGCCACCTACCCCGCGTGTGGCCGCAGGCCGTGTTCTCGGAAGAGGGCTTCTCCCTCTCGAATCATGAACGCAAGCGAGGAGGCGGCTCCCCGAGTTTGGGGGCAGTTTGGGGGCGGACGCGGTGTAGCTGAGCCCAGCCTTCTGCACCTGGCCGGGTCTGCACAGCCCCGGGCCTGAGCTCTCCGCTGCTTCCTCCCCAGGTGCCGTCCAGAAGGTCTCTAAGAAGCTCGACCTGCACGTGTACAGCAAGAGGCTGGAGATCATGCTGCAGTGAGTGTCAGCACCGCGGGGCGGGGTGGGCAGCGGGGCACAGGGCCACGTGCCCGTGACCCGCCCGGTCAGCCATCTCCCCGGGAGACGCGTTTTATCACTGAATGTAGAGCCTCAGGATGTTTGCACTTGGGCTGTGCAGCCGACAGATTGAAACACACTTGTTATGGACAAGTGCTCAAATCTTAACCTAGTGCCATACGCCTTTACGGGCTCTCTTACGTACTTCTTAAGTGTGAACTCTGCTTTAAGGGTGGCTCTGTCCTGGCTGCTGTGGCTCAGTGGACTGAGCACCAGCCGGCACACCCAAAGGTCACAGGTTTGATGCCCAGTCAGGGCACATGCCTTGGGTTATGGGCCAGGTCCCCAGTGGGGGCGTGTGAGAGGCAGCAGATGGATTATCTCTCTCACATCAGTGTCTGTCTCCTTCTCTCCCTTCCTCCCCTTCTCTCTAAAAGTAAGTGGGTCAAGTCTGAAACAGGAGTGCCCTTCTGGACCCATCGCAGGCAGTCAGCGTGCGGACTGTGGGTGAGCCTGAAGCTCAGAGCTTTTCTGAGCAGCAGATATTAGGCCTTTCCCCTCTGTGCTCTTTAAGCCTGATTCCAGATTGTTTAAAGATTTTATTTATTTACTTTTAGAGAGAGGGAAAGAAACATTGATGTGCAAGATCGGTTGCCCCTTGCACACCCTCAACCTGGGTCCTGGCCCACAGCCCAGGCATGTGCCCTGACTGGGAATTGAACCAGCGACCTTTCAGTTTGTGGGATGACGCTCAATCCACTGAGCCACACCAGCCGGGGCCAGAATGTCTTTCCAAGTAAAATTCTCCTATAAAACTGCTACAGAGTGGATAACTACAATGGAAGCTTATGAGTTGTACCCCAGAAGGGGGAGATTTAAAATTCCAGCATCAACACAGTACCCTGAACTTGGGCACGTCTCGAATTCTCAGCAGATTCCTGCTTGTTTTTGAACTGAAAGCTACCGCACCAGGCAGCTCCACAAAAAGGGGCTGAGCGGGCTCGGGGGTCCGGTGTTAGCCCTTCTGCTCCGTCGTTGCCCCGAACCCCACACCGACAGTCTTTGAAACCAGCCATGCAGTGACTTGGAAAACGTGGGGATTGCTCCCTGAAGCCGTCACACAGTTTCAGTGACGTGTCCCTGGTGTGGACGTTAGGTTTTTAAAAGCAACCTTGTTGTGCAGCCCAAACGCCAGCCGCCCCCGCAGGAGTGGGCCCACCGTTGCCATGCGAATGGCGGCAGGGTGGTTGCCAGCCCCACGCAGCCCAGGACCTGTCTGCCGAGGGCTGGCTCTGCAGCCCCAGAGCCTGTCCTGTTGGCCTTGGCCCTCGGTCGGTCAGTGAGGCTGCCTGTTCTCACAGGAGGGAGCACACACGTTTGGCTTTGATGTCAAGCGGTTAGATGACCCCGGCCGCCAAAGCCATTCTGGGACCCCGGCTTGAAAGGCCCTTTTGTGGTACACGGGCCGTGAGTCCGTGTGTGTCCAGGGAGTGCAGCGACGTCCTGCTGAGGGCGGCCCTGTTTCCAGGACGAGAAGGCCCATGTGGCCCCGGGACGGCGGAGCCTCCCCTGCTCTAGTGAGGGGCCGCGGGCCCGTCTCGTTCCCAGGTGCTGTTTTCCTCAGGTGTGAACGGGGCCCCTCGCCACGGTCATCACGGGTTAAGACCGTGGGAAGTGCCCGGCACAGCGTCTGCCGAACAGCATCCCTAGTAAGTGGTAGCTGTGTGCTTTACCTGTTCCATCAAATGAGTAAAATACACGAAGGTAAATAGTAAACATGCCTCAGGAGTATAGCTGCAGGTGCTCCGCTTCACAACTAGGACCTCACTGCAGTTCCTTTTCCCCGGACATATAAAACTGTACTTCACGTGCTTATTCCTGCACTCCCACTGATGCTGTGTCCCTGTTTATCCCAGGGACATATTTGGAGAAGACTGTGTCAGCGTGAAAGACGGCTCTGCCCTGGGCGTCACAGTGGACGGGAAGACTGCTAATATAAACTTGGAGACTCGGGTGCGTGGCTGTTCCTACATTTTAAGACATTTAGGAAGTACAAGAGCGGGCAGAAGTGGGTTTACGGTCATGAGTACACTAAACAGCTTACTCTTCTATGATTCTTTATTAATTATTGTATCATTTTTCATACGCACAACAGTAAATGTGCTTACGCCCCACCCTGCAGATAAAGTATTACATTCTTGCTCTTCATTTCTCATGTTTAGTGGGTGTTTGAGTTGCTGCACAGGCCACATTCCCAGGTAAATCACTCCGCTGTTTTCCTTCTACGCGGCGCACCTTCGTCCACCTCCACACTTCTCTTGTTTGGCATCTGGCGGGTTCCAGGTTTTTCAGGGAAGCTGCCCTTCCATTTGCACCTGCAGGACTGGGTGCTCCTCCAAACACCGAGATGCGAGAGCAGGGGCCCCGCTCGGGTCTCACACCCGAGGGCCTCGCACAGTCAGCCCCCTGTGTGCACGAGCGGGCGCGAGCTCTTGCAGGGCTCTTCTGAACACTCTAGCAGTCACACTAAACAAGTGCGTGCCAGGAGTTTCCTTTGTTCGCCCTTTGACTGCTTAGGTGCTTTGAGAAAACACTACGTTTATTTTACCTTGATAGAAAAATAAGCTAAGAGCATAAACTAGTAATTCACTGGAGAAGAAACAGAGATGCCAGTGAACAGAAGAAACTAGTGTTCAGGTCCACTGATGATCAGAGGAAATCCAGAGTAAAGGATGAAGTGCCACTGTTCACTCGTCACAGTGGCACAAATCCAAAAGAGATCACTAAGGATGTTGGTGGGGGAGGAAACAAGGAGTCCGCAGGGGCGTGGGCGGTGGGGACAGGCCGTGAATCAGAGGACGCCTCCTTTCTCCGAGGCGGTGCTGGGAGAGGCATCGGAATGCTAAAAAATGCAAATGCCTCCACCCACGATTCCACTTACTGGGTTTGACCAAAGAAGGGAACCAGACCAGTGAGCAAAGACGCATGCACGGGTGCCTGCTTGGCATCGATTATAATATGAGCGAAACTGCCAGAGACCCAGACATCCACAAGCAGGACAAGTGAGCACAGCACACAGCTAGGGGACGTGTGTGGGTGCCACGCGCATGTGGATTGCGGTGCGTGCAGTCGTCCGGGGTGCTGCTGTGGACCATTCACACGCCTGCTCGTCCTCCCCCATTGCTGCATGGGGAAAAGTCCCCCGACAGTGAGAACGGTACATTTTCCCGGTTTTGCTGTAAAGAATACATTCAGCTGGAGGTCTAGAAGGTTGTGCACTGACCTGCCAGCGGTAGTTATCACCGGTGTGATAAGGGTGAGTTAGGGTGTTTTTTGTTCCTCAGTTTTTAGATGAGTATTTATGGGAGCGTGAGTACTTCAGCAGCACCAAGGATTCTGTAGGTGAGCAGTGACTAGAGGTCACTAGTGAGTCTGAGTCTCAGCGCCGACTGTCGAGTAGGCAACCTTGTCTGCTGCAGGCTGAGCCCTCTGTGTTGCACAGACCGAATCCCTTGGCGTGTCCTTGACTAGGTGGAAATGTGGGCTTTGAAGTGCATACAGTTCACTAGACTTGCCAATTCTTTTCTTTCAACATTAACCTGCAAGTAGGCCCAGTCCTTGTGCGGTCCAGAGTCACCCTGGCCCACGCGCATGCCCACATCGGTGCAGGCAGGGTGCTGAGGGTGTGCGGAGCTGCGTCCGTCTTCCATGTGACCGAGTCTGTGCACTCTCTCTCCTGCAGACCGTCGAGTGCGAGGAGGGCAGCGAGGATGACGAGTCCCTGCGGGAGATGGTGGAGCTGGCGGCGCAGAGGCTGTACGAGGCCCTCACGCCCGTTCACTGAGGACCTTGCACACCTGGACATGCTGGAACTTTTGTGTAGCGCTTGAACTTACGTCTGGTACTGAAGGTGAAATACCCAGTTCCTCCGGGGCCTGCTCACACTGAGGCCACTTCTAGGCACGTGTGCAGGCCGCAATAAAGCCCTAAGTCTGTTCATGGCGACTGAACCCGGGTGCCTTACTGTACTTTTTAAAGGAAACACACGGTGACTTCTATTTCACACCTAGTTCAAGATCACATAAAAGTCTGAAGCCCCTTTCCTGTTCCCTCCTGATACTCTTGCCAAGTTTCTTGGTTTCACATTTGTTAAACTGTGACTCCTGGGGCCCAATAACATTCTGTGGTTAGTAGCTTCACATTCAACTGAGAGGCTCTCTGTATAATCCTCAGGCTCACATTTACGGGTGCACAGGTGTCGGCTGTGGGGTCGAGTCCTGCATAGTAAATTAATCAGTCCCGTTTCCCGAAGTCCCCGGCACACAGACTTGCAGGCGCCTGACACAGGTGCTGTCTGGTGCTGTTGCTGAGGGAGCAGGTCAACCTCCCAGGGGTAACCTGGCAGGGAGGTCGATGAAAAGGTCTGATTGTCCCTCTGTAGAGGAGACAGGTGTGTGCCCGAGCCAGCCCCTCCCCTGCCGGCCTCACGGGAGAGCTCCTGACATTCCTCAGCGAACTAAAGACACGGGTTCCCCCCGCACTGGCTCCCGTCAACACCATGGAGGCCGAGTCGGCCACCCCTCCCAGTGACTTACAACCTGCAGCGTGGACCACGCCTGCCCTGCACTTTAATGATAAATGTCCGCACGTGGATTTGACTTTTCACGTGAAACAACGCACACGCACTTATATAATGTAGCTGCTTACTCTGCCCCTGGCCCAAACCCAGGGTCTGACGGTCACATCATTTGTTTCTGATTTGTTATGCTTGGCTGCACCGTGGAGTCACCTGGGGAGCATTGAGCTGATGCCCACGTGTCTCCCGCCTGCCTCCAGGTGCCTGGTTTGGAGGGCAGGCCCTGTGGCAGCTGCCAAAGCTCCCAGGTGGTTCTAGTTGATGCTGGGGAACCGCAGGCCTAGGCACTGGGTGTTGCCCTTCACCACCCTGCCTGCCCCCCTCCCTCCGGCCGGACAGCCCGGGGCCCAGCCCACAGCAGGTGGGTCAGCTTCCCTACCATGCACTGCTCCCCAGTTCCTGTTCTCACCTTCAACTCGACTGGCTCCAGATGAATCACTGGCCCGCTTTCCTGGCCGCCACCCTTCAGTGCATGGCAGGGGTGACGAGAACTCTGAGGCTTCCCTCTGACTAGGCCCGCTCCTTGGTCCCCCAGACCAGTTTTGGCAACAATCCTGCTGAGTCAGTCTATGGTAAGTCCCCCACCCCATCTGACCAGGGGGGTGGTCTGCTCCATCTCCTTGGTCCCAGCCCTCCATGCCTCACCCGCAGGCACCCCTTTAGTAAAAACCCTGGGGACTCAGTTTGGCCAAGGATTTCCCTCCGTGACAGTACTTCCACTGGCCCCTCCGTCTGAAACCCTTTGTTGTGTTGGTGTGACTCCCCACTTTGTCGTGTGCAGGAAAGTCCCTCTGTGTCACCTGGGCAAGGCCCCAGGGCAGTGTCTTTCGAGGTTTGTGCCCTACAGTCCAGCAAATGGCCACGTTGTTTTCTAACAAAGAGGTCAAAACCTTCCATAAGCCGTTAAGTTTTTTGATTGTGTGACAAATGAGTCCCTTGGCGATACCGACCCCTGGTTCTGCCAGTCATTAATCAAGAGGCAGGAGCTGATGGAAGGAAAACTCGGTTTATTCAAGAGCTAGCGACTTGGCGAGACAGGGACTCTGGCCACGCAGGCTGGCGCTGATTTCAGGGGCAGGGCAGGCAGGGCCAAGGCGTGGGCCGTGGGGCTGCATTGCCACGAGGTGAGCTCCTGGGACTCCAGCAAAGGGCAGTATCAGAGCCACGTGTGAATCCGCAAGTCACGGTCGTCCGCTACACGGGGTGTGGGGAGGATGGGGGGGCTTACACGGGGCATGCTTTCTGCCCTCCCGCCTTCTCACTCACTGCCATTTGCTGAAACGCTGGAACCGGCCTGCTCGGAGCGAAGGCGGTGGGACGGGGTGGTAAGAGGGAGGGCCTGGGGTGCTGACCGCAATGTTGGCCAGGGGGCAGGCAGATACCTGGGGCCTGGCCCCGCGTCTCCGGGGGTCCGTGGGCGCCCCAAGGTCAGGGCGCGGCCGCCACCTAACGATTCGGGATGAACGAGCCACAGAGAAAGAATGCAGGAGAGCGAACTTTTGTAAACGGGGAAATGCGCTTTGCAAGAGGTAAGAGATACCGCCAGCTTTAAAAACGGCTGGAGGCCGCCAGAGGAGCCCTAGGGCACCGACGGTCTGGGACTACAAACCGAGAGGACGCCGAACTGCGCAGGCGCTGCCCCGCCCCCGCCGCTCGCCCCGCCCCCGCCGCTCGCCCCGCCCCCGCCGCTCGCCCCGCCCCCGCCGCTCGCCCCGCCCCCGCCGCTCGCCCCGCCCCCGCCGCTCGCCCCGCCCCCGCCGCTCGCCCCGCCCCGGATATCCGGCCTGCTCCTCCTCCCGGCCTCGGTGTTATGGCGCTTTGTGAGGGGTTGGGTTGTGGGAGCTCTCTGCTCTGGCCTCGGGTGCTGCTGTTCGGAGATTCCATCACCCAGGTACCGCCGCGCATCCGCGACCCGCCTCTCACCGAGCGCGTCTCTCAGGCGTCCTCGGCCATGTCTCCGCCCAGAGCCACAGTCCCGGCGTCCTCAGCGACGGCCCGCGTTTTTTCGGCGTTACCCGCTGCCCTATCCCCAGCCAGGATGCCCCGAGGCCAGAGCAGTTGGTACCGCTCACGGCGGCCTCAGTGGCTGTCGCTTCCCGCTTCTCGTTCCCGGCCCCGGGGCGACGGGGCTTGCCCCGCGGCGCGGGCTCCCGGGCTCCTCTAGCCTCGGAGGACAGATCCCGAGTCCGCCCCCTCCCGCGTGCTTTTCTGTAGGGGTTTTAGGAAGCGTCCGGGCGCGCAGTCTCCGTATCGTCATCGGTGGCGGTTCTTTCCCACCGCCGGAACCTGAGTGGCTCCCGCGCCGTCGGAGCGCAGCGCCTTCCGGGTGGAGGCCCGGGAGCCGGCCCCTCGGCTTCCTCGGGGGGAACAGGTTGAGTCCGAGTTAAATGCTTTCGAGAATAAAATATACAGAAGGCCATGATTTCATCCAAGATCATTTCAACTCACGTTAAGGGAAAAACTTTTTATTTCAGAGGGAGTATATTTGTGAAAATAACTCTCTCGTGGCTTTATCTTTATTATTTTTCTAACATTCAGACATAACTTCCCTAAACCCATTTCTTATGTATATGCCAATAACTGGTAACATAAGTTTTAGGCATCTGGGCCTAAAATCCACGGGATTGCCAGAGTCCACAGGAATGTATATATCAAGACGCCCCCCCCCCCGAGTTCTGTAATTGTCTTATTGGTCCTTTTAACTGTTGAAAGGTGGTCGGGTGCGGCTTCATTTTGTAGCCGAACATACAGTTGGCTTCATCTCTGGCACAGAGATTTCCTCATAACTCTCACAGATAACGGTGGCTTCACCCAAGCCTTCAGGGCTCAACCCCAATCCCTAGGGAAGGGAACCACCTTCCACTTCCAGAGCGGCGGCAGTGGAGGGACTCCAACTGGCCTTGGGCAAAGTGCAGGCCAGGACAGGGAGGGCCCGGGCACCTACCGGGAATTGCTGACTGAGATGCCCCTTGTTTACTAAAGTGGCCCGGTCACTGGATAAGTACTAACGGGCTTTTCTTTTTTTCAGTTTTCTTTCCAGCAGGGTGGATGGGGTGCATCCCTGGCTGACAAGCTGGTCAGGTGAGCTCAGTCCGGCCTGGTCCCCACGTGCTTGGTGCTGGAGAGTGATGGGCACCCCCCACCCCAGTTTCACTGCCCTGCCCCAGTCAGAATGGGGGTGCTGGGGAGCAGGGAGGGGGCCCTGGGGGTTCAGGAACAAGAACTTCCTCTTTGTGAAAGCAAACTCTGTAAGTTGTGGAAAATGTATCAAGGGTTTGGATCCAAAGAAGACAGCTCTTCACCATGTAAAGGGCCAGGTTCTTTTCCCGTTGTTAGGACAGGTGTGAGTTAAATGATTAGCGAGTTCAGTTTGAAAGAGGAACGTATTCTCAACCCAGAGTTTGGATAGAAGTTTTTTTCCTCCAAAAGTCTTTATAAAACATGTCAGACATAGTGATGATTAGGTATGTTATTTGTCAAACTTAATTTAAGTGTGTGCTAAGGAATTCACTGACAGGGAAACAGTGTCCCAAGAGGTTAGAAATAAATATTTAGAAATACTTTCCATGTTAAAGACAATAGACCCATGTACTCGAGGTGTCAGTGAGCTGGCCGGCGGACGCGGTCCTTGTCCCCTTTAGGAGAAATAAGCCGATGAACTGCAGGCCCGTGGTCACTTCAGTTTTCTTCGTCAGTGTAACTGACACACCAAGAAAATACATTTTTTTCTAACTGTGAAATGTGGTTTTAAAAGTCTTCACTTTCTCCTTTTATTGTTATCCCCTAAACTAGAAAAGGAAAAACTGACCTTCCTGCTTTCTATATTTCTAAACGCTGGCTCTAATTCAGCAGACCTGCCCTAGAAACGTGCAGGTGGGCCGTTCTGTCCCTCTGCTTTCTGCTCTGGGAGGTGGGGAGGGGCGGGGCTGCAGTGCCCAGGCCATTTAAACCGCCGTCTCGTGTCTGCAACTACTCCACAACACGAAGTGGTTCGTTATTCTCCCACCTGTGTCACAGCTGAGGACAAAGGTGGAGAGGGCGAGTGACAGGGTCACACCACTGGGACGGGCAGCTGGCATGGCCTGGGGCCCTGCTCCCGTGCTGGTCGGCCGAGTTGGCACAGCTGGGCTCACTCAGCTGCCTAGAACACAGCAGTGCTTTTCCCTAACCCTGTAACTTTAATTAGTCCGTTGACCTTTTTGGGACAAATAGAAGGAGGTATTGAAAAATTAGCTGTTTAAACGACCTGAAAAGCTCCAGGAATTCGAAATGTTTAATTCAACATTTTAAATGTTTAATTTCATCTTAACTGTTTCATAGTTAATTTTAGCACTAAAATCTTGTCAGAATTGATAGCGCACAGGTGTGAGTCCTAGAAGACCACGTGGTAAAAGCTGATTTTAACCACGTGGAACTAAGAGTAATTACAAAGGGGACAGAGTTGGAGACAGTGTGGTCTGTCGTGCCTTGTTCTGTGGCTTCGCGGCAGCACCCGCTGCGCTGCAGAGCACAGCCCTGCTGGCCCCGGCGACAGAGGAGGCCTCCCCTGCCCTGGGCAGGTCTGTGTCACTCACCTGCTCTCAGGTGCCTCAGTGCAGCTAGTGGTACGTTTAAAGTGCGCGATTGTGTCCATAGTGATGTCTTTGTTTTCGATTCCAGGAAGGTCTTTGTTTGTTACAAAAGCATTTTAACAGTTCTTAAATCCATTAAACCTTTGAAAGTTTATTGATTATAGGAATTTGAACCAAAATGAACCACATCAATTTGCTAATTATAAATTAAAATCCAAGATTTTTTAAATTTATTTTTATTGATTATGCCGTTACAGTTGTTCTGTTCCCCCCCTTCATTCCCCTCCACCCTACCCCCCGTCCCCACCATTACCCCCCTTTAGTTTATGACCATGTGTCTCAAGTTCTTTAGATTCTGTATTTCCCATGCTATTCTTGCCCCCCCCATCTGTTTTCTATCTACTGTCTATGCTACTTATTTTCTGTACCTTCTCCCCCCTTCTCCTCCTCCCACTCCCCTGTTGCTAACCCTCCTTGAGATCTTCATTTCTATGTTTCCACTCCTGATCTAGCTGTCCTTTTAGTTTGCTTTTGTTTTAGGTGTGGTTGTTAATAACTGTGAGTTTGCTGTCCTTTCAGTGTTCATAATTTTTATCTTATTTTTCTTAGGTAAGTCCCTTTAACATTTCATATAATAAGGGCTTGGTGATGATGAACTCCTTGAATTTGATCTTATCTGAGAAGCACTTTATCTGTCCTTCCATTCTAAATGAAAGTTTTGCTGGATAGAGCAATCCTGGTTGTAGGTGTTTGGATTTCATGACTTGGAATACCTCTTTCCAGACCCTTCTTGCCTGTAAGGTCTCTTTTGAGAAATCCGCTGACAGTCTGATGGGAACTCCTTTGTAGGTGACTGTCCCCTTAGCTCTTGCTACTTCTAGGATTCTCTCCTTCATTTTAATCTTAGCTAATGTAATGATGATGTGCCTTGGTGTGTTTCTTCTTGGGTCCCACTTCTTTGGGACTCTCTGAGCTTCCTGGATTTCCTGGAAGTCTATTTCCTTTGCCAGATTGGGGAAATTCTCCTTTATTATTTGTTCAAATAAGTTTTCCACTGGTGGCTGTTCTTTCCCCCTTCTGGTACCCCTATAATTCGGATGTTGGAGTGTTTAAAGATGTCCTGGAGGTTCCTAAGACTCCTCATTTTTTTTAATTCTTGCTTCTTGACTCTTTTCTGTTTGGCCATTATTTGCTTTCTTCTGGTCCACTCCATTGATTTGAGTCCCAGTTTCCTTTTCATTGCTATTGGTTTCTTGTGCAATTCCGTTCATTTCAAGTAGTTTCGCCTTCATGTTTGTCTAATTTGTGGCTATAATCAACCAGTTCTGTGAGGCTCCTGATCACCAGTGTTTTAAACTGTGCATCTGAGAGTTTTGCTATTTCTTCATCACTTAGATTTATAGGCTCTGGGGCTTTGAGATCTTCTCAAAGCCATTCTTGAGCCATTTTTGGTCTGTTCTCGCCCGTTAAGTATGAGGAACGGAGCCTTGGACTCTCAGGTCGCTGGGTTGTGACGCTATATGTGGGGGCGTGGTCAGAGCGGGGAACTGGCGACCTCCTCTGCTGTTTCTCGCAGCTGGGTGAGGAGCTGAGCATTAGGTGGTTCACCAGGGTGGGGCCACTCAGGTCGCTGGGTTATGATGCTGTATGTGGAGGCGGGGTCAGAGCAGGGAAATGGCGGCGCCCTGTGCTGCTGCTCTTAGTGGGGCCTGCTCAGTCCTGTAGTCTCACTGCCCACTCCCTCGCTTGTCTATCTGCGCAGGAAAGCGCGACCACAGTCAACCCACAGCCCTGCTCCCTCCCTGTTTCCCTGCGGTCGCTCGCTGAGTCACTCACTAGGTCCAGCCCTGCGCCTGGGTTCCACGCGCCCGAGTCCGTCTGGCCGAGTTTTTCTGTGCAACCCCTCTCCGACAGCTGCTGGTTTCGCCCCTCTTACCGGTCAGGCTGAAGAATTTGTTGTTATCAGACTTCCGAAAAGTTCAATTTTCTGTGTTCCGACTGTGTTCTCTGTTGCCAATATTTTGTCTCTAAACTTGGTTGTGAGAGAAGGCACAGCGTCTCCACCTATGCCTCCATCTTGGCGGAAGTCACCCCAAGATTTATTTTTGAAACAACTTTTTATTACGGATAATTTCCACGCTCTACAAATGGACCCATGGTCACAGCTACATGCTGATGGAGCCGGGGCTCCGCCCCGAACCCCGAGCTCTGGAGCCAGGGTTGGGCTTTCCGTTGGCCACATGGCACTGCGACTCCGTCGTGGGTATAAGTTTAGGAGTAAGAAGGCACCTGTTGATCACTGGCTTAAACTGAAACACAACTGCTGTACTTACTAGAATGATTTAATGGAAGCAAAGCCGTGGGTGATGCTGACGGGTAAAAGGAGGTCACCCCTAACCTGTGTTCCGCTCCGGTGCGAACGCTGGGGGTGGGCAGCTGGGCAAGCCGGCGGGCCGGCACTCTACCTTCCACTCAGTTTTTTTTTTAATGTTCTTTTTTAGTCTTGGTTTTTATTTTGATCTTCTACTCAACTTTGCTGTGAATCTAAAACTCTAAGAAAGCAGACTATAAAAAAGTCTCACATATTCTGTACAGGTATTCCAATAGACCACTGTTGCATTCGAAGTCCAGCTTATTAGTGATCTTTTATCCACGATTCTTGCTCAGACTGATGCCTCCGTTCAGGAAACTCCACTTGTTTTTCTTTTATTGATTTGAGAAGGAAACATCGATTTGTTGTTCCGCCCACTTATGCAGTGATTTGTTGCCTCTTGTGAGTGCCCTGACCCAGGATCAAACCCACGACCTTGGTGTGTGGGGATGACACTCTAAGCGACTGAGCCACCTGGCCAGGCCTGTGAACTCCATTTTTAAAGCGCCCCACTCGGCCATGCGTGGAATCGGCTGGTCTGCAGGCTAGGCCATGGCCCTTGTCCTGTGGTTGGCCGTCACTCTTCGAGGCTATGCCGGCTCACCCCTACCTTGGCGCAGCCTGAGCACAGCGTGCGAGGCCGTGCTGTCGCTCTGACCAGAGGGAATCCGGGCGGGCAGAGCAGGTGGCCCAGGCCTGGAGCGCACACCCCAGTGAGAGGACGGCTACAGGTGGAAACGGTTTTTGTTCACAGTTCACGTTTAAAATCTTCTCATTTCAGAAAATGTGATGTTCTGAATCGTGGATTTTCAGGCTATAATACTAGATGGGCCAAAATCATCCTTCCAAGACTCATCTGGAAAGGGAGCGTCATGGACAGCCCGGTGGCCGTCACGATTTTCTTCGGTGCCAATGACAGTGCGCTGAAAGGTAAAGGCAGTTTGTATCTTCCTCCTCCCTCCTCTTGTGACAGCAGACGCCACTGTGTGTGCTGCTTCCTCGTGTCCGAACAGACGAAGTTCCCTGAGCACTTTGCGCATTTCTTCTGCCCATAACGCCAGGGAATTGTTTCTACTCTCCACACCCGGGTGCCGACCCAGGTTCAGGCACCGATGGGCCAGAGGCCTGGAGCTGTGCTCCGCCGGGCCTCCCGAGGGAGCTGGGGAGGCGGGGGTGCTCGGGCGTGCGCCCTGTACGGTGGTCTCACCGCCCCAGAGAGCGGTTTGGGGCAGCCCGGCCCTGGGTGTGGCCTGTGACCCTGGGTGACAGGAACCGGGTCAGAAGGACTGCTGCTGTGCCAGGCCACAGCCTCTGTCTCTCCCCTCTGGGGACGACAGGAGAGCTGTCTGCATGGTGTCAGCCTTGACAAGGAGGGTTGGTGGCCACCTGGCAGCAGTTTCTCCACGGAGGCAGCAGCCTTTTCCTGCTGCTGTGGGGACCCTGGGGACATCTCAGGTGAGGCTTGGGCAGGGGACCCACTGCCTGTGCTTGGCAGTGGGCTCGTCATGGGTTACAGGGTCAGCAGGGGCTGCCAGCGAACTACCTGGGTTAAAGCGAAGTCATTTCTCCGTAGCTACACGTAGAATTTTTCTTTAGTGGTGACGTTTTATCAGATTTAGGAGAGGGCAAAGATGCTTTCTAAGCATGAAAGTAATGGAGGAAGTTGCAAAGGAAGAAAATATTTTGTGAAAAAAATAGTTTATGTCTAAAAAAACTATTTTAAAAAATGACACAAGGAAAATTTTTCCAAAAATATGGTAGACAAAAGGTGGATGTCTTTCATGAAATCAAGAAAAATATTAACTCCAATAGAATAATGGACAAAGGCAGGAGTAGACAATTCACAAAGGAGAAATTAAAAACCAATGTTTTAAAATGTGTGAACTTGCCTCCCCCCCAAATGAGCACACAGAATTTTGGGTTTTGACTCAAACAAGGAGGCGGTGTAAGCAGTGAGCCTTACAGCCTCCCCGGGTTCCCGGTGGGCACGCGTGTGCTTTCCAGGAAGCTCGTCGGGGGCCTGGATGCAGCCTAGTGTGTCACGTGTCACGGCAAAACCAGGGGGTGCTGCATAGGGCGGGGGGCGCCCATGTGGTCACCTTACCTGTAAGTCTTGTGTGTTTGAGAGCCATTTGAAGAAACAAATGCTCATAACGTGATGTGAAACGAGCATACAGCAATGTAGCCTTGATGTGACCCCCCCCCTTTAAAAAACACAGCTGCGAGGGGAAGACAGGAAAGGCGAGCGTCAAAGTGCCTACTGGGAGGACCGTCGGGGGGGTGATGTTCTCTGTCGCTGCACTCACGTGTGGTCTGCAGGGGGCTCTGGGCCGCCCGTGGGAGCCCACCTGGAGCCAGTCCTTGGCACCTAGTGCGGCAGTGGCAGCACAGGGTGACCGAGTGCCCCTGTGGGGCAGGCACCTTGCCCTCAGTGCTGGACACACCAGGCTGACATAATGCACAGACATCTGCGAGGCAGACCCTGTTCTCTTCACCAGTGACAGGACAGGTACAGAGAGGCCGAGCACTTGCCCAGGGGCGTGAGGACTCAGTAGCCGGGGTGGGGCGGGGCCCAGCTGTCACTCCGCAGTCCTCCTCCACACATCCAGCCCGACTGACTGCGAACCTCTGGTTATCACGAGAGGAGGGAGACAAGCCGCACACCAGAGCCTTGGGGTGGATTCGTGAAGGCCTCTGTCCTTGAATCCTTCCCCCTCCTCTGGCCTGGGTGCTGCAGAGTTTCCCGGAGACGTCGTGAGTTGTAGGCATCTGAACACGCACTCATCTGAACTGCCACTTGAACTGGAAGTGTCCGTGTTCCCCCGACAGACGAGAACCCCAAGCAGCACATCCCCCTGGACGAGTACGTGGCGAACCTGCGGAGCATGGTGCAGTACCTGCGGTCCGTGGACGTGCCTGCCAGCAGGGTCATCCTGATCACGCCGCCCCCGCTCTGCGAGGCCGCGTGGGAAAAGGAGTGCCTCGCACAAGGTGAGCCGGCCGGGGAGCGCGGGGAGCACAGTGGGGGTGCCCTCCAGCCTGTGCCTGCAGGTTCCCGGAGTCTCTTGGTCCACATTGGCCTGTGTTTGCAATCAAGCTAAGGGAAGAAAGCATAGCTTCCATGGAGGCCAACCCGAGAACTTTCGACACAAAAGTCAGGGTCTCGCTTTGATTTTCTGCTGTTTATCTTCCAAACTCCAAGGTGCTCATGAAGCCACTAAGCACCGTGCGGACGCTGAGCGAGCGAGCATGTCCAGACTGACAGTGGTTTTCCATGTGGTGCTGAGGCAGGTGGGGCGGCTTTGTGCCTGCGCCACCAAGGTCCCGTCTGGGGTGTTCTCCTGACCCCCAGTAGTGGGAGGTGCCTGCCACAGGCTGCTTCACCCCTTTCAGTCCGTGTGGCCCTTTCTCCACTCTGCCACCCGTGACTGACGCCTCCCTCCAGTGACCGGAGCTCTCCTTCCCCCAAAACAGAGGTGGCTCTGTGGGCACACTGCACAGCAGTGTTCCGGCGGACAGGCCCCTCTGCATCCTGTGGTTGGGCGGCTCTGGGCACCGGGGCACCAGGCTTCCTCCCCCTGTTCATCTTTGCCTCCTCCCCCACCCCCCCGTGTGCAGTGCCTGGCCCTGGCCAGGGGCTCGGTACAGTGACAGGAACCTGGTTCCTGCCTGCAGGGCCAGGGAGAGAGATAATCAAGTGGATGGGGGTTTGTGGCGACATGGTAAGTGGTGCAGTAAGAGGTGTTGATGAGGGTCTGTTGAGAGCACTGAGGCAGAACCTAGCAACGGCAAGGAGGCCCGGCCCCCCGGAGGAGGTAGACAGAGGAGGTAGTCCAGGGTACACAGTGCGGGAGGAGGGCGCGGGGGGAAAGGCCCTGTGGCCAGGTCCAGAGCGAGGCCGCCCCCATGCTGCTTCTCAGGCAGCAGGTCCCTTGCTGCAGGAAGTGCTCTTGCTGAGCACTGGGGGGCTGGCCCCAGGGGTGCAGCTGGAGGTGGTCGTCCGTTCTGGAAACATGTTTTAAGTGGGATGCAGTAGGGAGAAAAGCCGTTATCTGGAACACAGCAGGCAGTGCTCGTGGGATTTCACTGCCGTGGGTGCGCACTGAGTCCTGGTGTCACACACGTTTTCTACTTCCGTTTCTGGCAGCCAGGCGCAGGCGCCATTGGGCCTGGTTCTTGTGTGGTCCGAGATCAGCAGCTCTATGTCCCCTGGGAACTCGGGAGCTATGCACATTCTTGGACCACCCCGGACCCACCTGCTGAGTCCACGGTCCCAGGTGGAGCCCCCAAGTCCTCCAGGTGACCCTGATGTGCATTCAGGTTCCAGACCTGCCACGTCGGGCTGGCCAGCTAACTACAGCCCACTGGCTGCAGCAAGGGGAGCGCGTTGGGAGACAGCCAGGCCCGCTGTTTTGCAGACTGTGGCTGCCCCTGAGCGACACTGGCAGGGCTGCCTCGTTGCCGACAGATGGTGTGCTTGCAAAGAGTATCAGCTGCTGGCCCTTCCATGCACCCCGAGTCAGGTGCCAGTGACCGGTGCACTCCCTCCCAGCTCCTCCCTCTGGTGGATCGTGATTTCTCCATGGTGTTGCAGTAGCTCCTTGTCCTGTGTAAAGATCCAAGGGTCTCACCACAGCCTTTGGCTGTAATGCAGCCCTTCCGGGCCATTGGCCCGGCTCTTCCCAGCCTTTCCTGCGTGGGACCTCCGTCCAGCGTCCTCAGGAGGCCATGGTGAGCCCCAGCCTGTGCTGGGTAGCGCCTGTTAGGCCTGGCCTTGTGCTGTTCCCCAGATCCCCAGCTGGTCCCACCAGGTCCGTAAATCCAGGCCTGATGACTGGACTGAGGAACCGTCTGGGTCAGAACCAGCACAAGGCCTAGTCCTTGGGTTGATCAGCTGTCACGCGGATTTTCTGTTCTCCACAGGCTGCAAGTTAAACCGCCTGAACATGGTGGTTGGCGAGTACGCCAGCGCCTGCGTGCACGTAGCCCGGGACTGTGGAGCTGATGTGCTGGACCTGTGGGCCCTGATGCAGAAGGACGGCCAGGTGCAGTGCTCACTCGGTCCTGGGGGGGCACGTGGGGTCCCGCAGCAGCAACTGAGCTGTGCGTGGCCAAGTGGGCAAGACAGTTGTCCCTTTCACCACTGGGAAGAGCGGGGGCAGGAAGGAGTAGAGAGGCCCCGGGCGGGCCCACCTCCTCCACTGCCCGCCCTTGCCAGTCAGGGTCTGCACACGGTTCCCATGTGGGGACGCTCAGGCCCAGTCCCTTCACGGTGCGGCGTGTGGGAAAATTACTAAGCTCACACCGGGCAAAACAGTTTAAGTAGAGTGTGGTATCAGCTGAGATTTGTGTGGTGAGACAAGTAGCTCTAATTGGAGTTTTTAAGTCCAGGAAGCCCATTTACAAATATGAAAGGTTTAGGAACGATGCGCAGAAGATAGACAGTCTGGCAGTGTCTGAGACAGACACTCTCACATGGCCCCGGCTGTCCACGCCCGGGCCTTGCACAGGGGGACACTCGTCCTCCTCAGAAACCAGGACCCATGAGCAGCAGCCAGAGTCCCGTGGCCGTCTGCGGGAGGGTTGGGAAGCTGCACCCCACGGGGCCAGGGGCTCTCCCCCAACCCCCTGCAGCTTTTGCGCAGGGGTCGTCCTTCTGAGCTAACAGTCTGGAAGTGCCGTGCGAGGTGGGCCCAGGCTGCAGGAAAGGCCTCTGCCCACCCCCACGGAGAAAGGGCGCTAAGGATCTGGGTGCAGGGACTGGCTCCTGCAGTTACTGTCCCAGCCCAGGCTGTGGCCCCAGTCCTTTGTTCCCAATAACCTGCCTGTCAGTTTAAACCTGACCAGAGGCAAAGGGCCCCTTGGCCGCAGCCAGGCCTTTGTTCTGTAGCTGAGCCCCTACTTGGGACCACTGGCCTAGGAGGGTGTCTCCGCGACCGGAGGCTACAGTCTGCGGTGCCGCTGTAGGCATGGTTGCAGACAGGGCACCTCACCCGCCTTTAACTGAGTCCCCTCTCCCCTCGACAGGACTTTTCATCCTACTTGTCTGATGGACTACATTTGTCACCAAAGGGAAACGAGTTTCTGTTCTCCCATCTCTGGCCCCTGATAGAGAAGAAAGTCTCTTCCCTGCCGCTGTTGCTCCCTTACTGGCGAGACGTAGCAGAAGCCAAACCGGAGCTCAGTCTCCTCGGGGACGGGGACCATTAGGCGCAGGAAGTGAAGGCTGTGACTTTATGGAACAAGACGTCACCAGAACCCTGAGACAACTGACCAAGTATTTTTTCTCAAGCTTAAACCTTTGCTCCCAACCCTGGAACAAAAACCACCGCCGCGTGAAACCAAGACGAATAAAAGCACCGTCCCGAGGTGGGCTGTGTGTGGCCGTTCAGTTCGCTGATTGCCGCGGGGTCTCCAGAGCCACAACCTGCGCAGCCTGCTGGTGCCGTAAAAGGAGAAAAGGGGAAGCCGGTTCCGCTTTTTAAAAAGTGAGTTTTATAAAAAAAATGATTTCCTTTCATTCAGCTGGGAACTACTTCCCTCTCAGACACACACCCACACACCTGACATCCGATTCCAAACGTGTAACCAAAATACGAGAGTATCATAACTAGTTAAAAGACAGCAAATACCACAAAGTACAAGTTCAAGTATTAGTGTAACAGGTATCTGCGTAACAAACATCCTTAGAAAAGAGACACCACTTGTCACGGGGGGAAATCGGGATTCCATCTCATCTGATGGCGGCTTCCTCACACGGTAAGTGCACACCGTCCAGAACCCGAGGCACTAAAGCAGGAACAACACAAACGGCCCCTCGCAGGCCGACTCCAGGGGGTTTTCAGACTCACTGTGTGGAATTAAAGTCGGCCCACGAGGGGCACCCCATCCCCCCTGGGCCACTAGTGTTTAAAACAGGTGGCTGTACTCTTACTCTGAAGTAGTTTAGGTTTTGTGAGTTTTTTAAGCAACAGTATTAGAAACACATGAAAATACTTACAAAACAAACCACCCCGCAAGTTAGGGCCTAAAGAGGGGGCAGGATTCTGTCATTCGCCTGGCTACATTTGGGACTCTCACTGTAAACTGTTTGGAGTGACTTAGTTCTAGAAAGAACCAACCTCAGAATTCTATGGAAACATGGATGCAAATTACTCCTAAACGGAGATGTGTCCTCCTCCCTGCCGGTGGCAGCTCTGGGTTGCCCTAGAGACAGAACCCCCACTTCACAAAGAACACACAGCTCCCTTTTCCGTCTTGTCGGCAAAAAAAAAAATACAGTATTCTGCATCCCAGCTGTCCTCACAAGTCCCTGCCCAGCGCCCCCATCTCCCTACACCACACGGAGAGGAGGCCAGCGTCTCCGCCTCCACACTGGCACCAGCATGAAAGGTCAATTTACAAAAACGTAAATACTTCAATGTGATCCAGCTGTGTGTTCTGCTTTTGCACCACAGGTTGAGGGTATTTCAAACACTAAAACCTCCGGACAAGCCAGAGTCACCGCACCTGGTCACCCAGGAAAGGGCAAACACACGAGCAGCACCTGCTGGAAGTCACTTCTTGTTCCTCCCAGACCTTCACAAAAACCTGTGAGTGGTTCTAGATCAAATCTATGAACACTTTACCACTCAGGCAGGTCGGAGCGCGCAGGACGCCGGCCCCTGGGCTAGCACTCGGTTTCTTTGCTGTCGACGCGATTCTGCCGCTGCAGCTTGAACGACGAGGCCTTCTCGCTCCTGGTGACCGGGTGGTCCGTGAGGTCCTCAAAGGACTTGGCGGCTGTGCTGCTGCTGGGGAATGGGTCCTTCTCAAAGCCGTCCTCGTCCGCGTGCGAGTCCGTGCTGGGGTCCTCCTGGATTGTGTCCATCCGCTGGTGGTCCAGTTTCGGAGCCGCAGGCACCAATGGCGGCACGGGGACGGCCTGCAACGGCTGCAGGCGGCCAGGGGTCTGTGGCCCCGGAAAGGGCTTGATGATGCGAACCGACGCCGAGTCCATACTGCTGAGCATCTCGACATTCTGCAAAGACGGGGAGGAGATGAGTGGCGTCCTTCAACCCAGCTCACCGCCCAACGGCCCTCCTGGAGGCACCCGATCCACCACGCTGAAGAAAGCGTGGGGCGAAGCGCCCTCGACTCATGAGCAACTGGAAGGGTAGCTTTCAAATGGGCTGACAACTGACTGTTTCAAGGCCCAAAAGAGAACTTACAACAACTCCATCAGGTCCAGACCTCAAGAAAAGATCTCAAAGTACTAAGTTGGTGCTGCAGAGCTCCGCTGCTGGCAGCTTGTGGGGCCCGGCCGAGCAGCACCCCTCTGTGTCTCCCTTCACTTTCGCTGTTGTCCCTGGACTTGACCTCCCCCCACACACAGACCCTTCCTGTTGCAATGCAGCTGGGATGCCAATGGGAGGTCTTATTAGCAAGGTCCCACGTGCGATTGAGAATGACTTTCACGCGGCGTACTTACACTGGGGTGGAACAGCGACAGAGATTCGTATTGCTTGTCCAGTTTCTTATCCTAGGAAGAAAACGGGGAAAGGTTCCCAAATGAAATTCAGTTAAGTGCTTATTCCTCACAGGCTGCTCCCGATATCGAGAGGTTAACTAAGGAGTCACAGAAAGTGGTCTGCCGCCAGCCTGGAAGTGCCTCCTTTGCACGGTAGAACGCATTTTCCTGTGTGGTCAGGAAGGCCAGGTCCAGGCAGTATTCTGTAAGCAATTGCCTGCCGTGAGCAGGAGGGTCCCCAGGGCACCCACCTCCCTGACGTCCAGGCCTGGTCTGTGCCAGGGCAACCCTGGCCACAGCTGCAAGTGGGGCCAAGAGGGCTGGGCCTCAGTGCCCAGCCCACCACAGCCTAACATCCTCAGCTGTCTCCAGGATCCCGAGGCCCCAACCCCTCACGGAACTGGGCCTTATCGCCTACACATGCAGAAGCCTGAACGCATGGTTCCATCCACAGCCCCAGGCCCCTGCCTGGGGTGCCACACCCTGTGACGACAGGCACCAGGTAGGAGGCCAGGCCCGTGAATCTACGCCTGGCTTCCAGGCCCGCTGCCCTGAAGGCGCTCTGGGGTCAGAAACAAGCCAGCCCCTCCCTCTTCACGGCAACTTTGCTTGGAAATCAAGGGTCAGGCTTCACGACCCACAAGTGCAACTTCCACTGCTAACAAAGTAGGTTTCACTCAAGTGAGAGCCCCCGTGATGGAGGGCACTGCTATTCCTCTGCCAAGGCTGCCCGGTCACCTGTAGAAACAGCTCTGCCTCAGCCCAACTGCCTGCTCCCTGGAGCGTCTCCTCCCCAGGCCCGTCAGGCTCGGTGCCCCACCCTGGCCAGAGAGGCCAGCCGTGAGCACTCCTGCGCGTGAGCTGTGCCAGGATTTCCCACGTGCTCCCAGGTGGAAGCCCAGGTCCGACCTCGTCTGCAGGAGACAAGCCCTCACATCCAGAGAAGCAAGGGGGACAGGTCTGTAAGAATGGCTTTGAAGAAAGAGCCCCAAGATGATCAAGTCCCTGGAGTCCCCCAGACAAACCCAATTCGGTGTGTCAGCTGGTGCTCACTTGAATGCAAACGAAACGACAGTGTGCTCTTACTAGCCAGAAGGGCCTGCACACCCGTGTGGTGATGCCAGGATGTGGACAGTGCAGGGCACTGCCCTGTGCACACACTGCACCCGCCAGAGGGCCCGGCAAGACGGCGCCCTGTGCTCGGATTGCACGATTCCTCGGAAACTCCACGACAGTGAAGACCCACACAGAGCGAAGTTCTTCACGAGACTACCAGCTGAGCTCCTCCCAAGGAGCGCTTTCCTAGGTGCAGCGCCCAGAGATGTCACTGGAAACGTCAGATTCTGTTAAGAACGAACTTCACCTTTTCTGAAGAGTGCGTGACTGCAGTTGCTAAAAACTAAGAAAATGGTTTGTTCCTTAAGGGCGACTCACCACACAGTGGACGAGCACGCTGAGAGGAATCCAGACCACCAAGGAGAAGACCAGGACGGAGCCCACGATGTTGTCTGCCAGAAACTTCCCTGCAAACAACGGGGAGAGTCAGTGCTGTGATCAGACACTTCACGGATCTACATCTCGGGGCTGCTAGGACATCGGCACTGGGCCAGACGCCACAGACTGGCTAGACAGCACTCGGACCCCGCTCAGGGAGGGCAGCTGCGGTGCCCGTGCGAGGCTCGACACATCCCACCCAGAGCGAGCCCTGGCGGCGCACAGGTGACAGTGCTCGGCGGGTCCCTGGGGTGCCCAAGTGGGTGGGGGGGGGGTGGAGCCGCTGGACGGAGGCTGCTGGTAACCGTGCTTTACGAGGACAGCGCTGCTCTCCGGATTTGCCTTCCGCAGCTAAACTCTTACCTGTGGGCCCAGAGGACAGAGTGCCTCCTGCTTCTGCAAAATCGGTGGCCCGCTTATAAATTAAACTCTCACCAACCAGCGTTCAGACTCACACCCTGCGGGACCGAACCACGCGGACGCTACCGCGTGCTCCCTTTTTTAGTGGAGAAGGAAGCGCGCACTTGGAGGAAGTGCCGACCTCCCTCGTCTGAGGCGGCATCCGCACCACATGGCGAACGTCTCCGCCTTCCACTGCGTGATCAGAGCGCAGGAGGCTGAAGCCGCGCTTTTCAAGTATCACAGAAATGGGCCCAGTTCTAGGTGGGCAACCACCTGGGGAAACCGCCTACCGAAAGTATTGATGCTCAGCTGGTCGATGAAGTCCCAGAAGCGCTCGATGACGTCCTGGACCCGTTTCTCGCATTTGCCCTGTGAACAGAGAACAGTGTCATCCCTAAAAGAGTCACCAGGAGACGAAAGTCGAGACAGCCAGTCTGTTGAAGACCAGCACCCAGTGAGGACGCCCCGACCGCGCCCCGACGGGGCGCAGCCAGGCTGCCCGGAGAGAGCGCTCTAACACCGCCCTCCTCGTGTTCTGCACGGACAAAGTCATGTTTCCCGAGAGAGCAAAGGGTCTGACTCTGGTGGGTCAAACTGCTTCTAGATTTTTCCTGTTTCAAAATAAAAACTTGCATTTCTGCCATCTTGGTCCATTTTATAATTAACCTAGAAAACCAAATAATTAGGACCCTCTGCCGCAAACCAGCCAACTCTGCCAAAGCCCCCCAACCTACGTGGGCTTGCTTGTGGGTTGGGCCCACCCACCGACCTCCCCTGCGAGTGGGAAGGGAGGACGTGCAGCATTGGCATTTTGGTTTCCTTCCATGTGCAAAACTGAGTATTTATGACATAAAAACTTATCATTCGGCAGCTACAGACAGAAGCTGTACGTGAATAAATACTCACATTCATGTCACAAAACCCCACAGTACAGGGCTTCCCTTTCCTCAAAAACAGGTTCCTCTGCTCAGCATCGACGTAGGGCACGCAGCGGCCCGCAGGGTCCCGGCAGCACACCTTGCACGAGTTGTCCGTCTCTGAAAAGAGCGGAGGGCTGCGTTTCCTTGGAGACGGGGCCGCCCTTCCCTGCACCACCCCCGCCGTGCCCCCACGGGGGAAGGAGAGCATTCGCCTCTATTGCCAGAGCTAATACTATCCACATCCCGCCCCTAGAAAGAACTTCTGAGTCCACCTCCCCAGTCCTCAGTAGAGACCATAAGGCAAAAAACAGTAACTACCAGAAACGTTTCCTTTCCCTGCGGGAGTAAAACTAGACCACTCCCTCCGCCTCACAATGCTTCAGAACACCGCCCTCGCGGCCTCGGCAGGTCTGGGACTCCCCAGAAACCAGGGCTGCAGACAGAGCTGCCTCCCCGCGGACGTGGCTCTCAGTGCCCCGGGACAGGAGCCCAGCGGCCTGGGCGGGGTGATGCCCCTCCCAGAGGCCAGCCTCTGACAGGACGTGGGGATAGGAGTGACGACGCGTCAGATAAGCCGCCAGCACCCACACAAACAGCGGAAACGCCCAGGAAGTCAACTGGCAGTGTAACTCAGGACGGATTTCATCCGGGCAAGTTAGCATTTACAGTCACTAAGATCAATGACACCAAAAACTGCTTCAGAGGGAAACCAGGCTTTGTCATGTCCGTCACACATCTCTGGGGCCTCACTGCGTGTCCTCTCAGGGCCCCTAAGCCTCCTGCCACTTGCTCGATAGTGTCTGCTCGGCATGGGCCGAGGCCCAGCTCAGGGGCCGTGACGCCTATCTGGAAACCAGCAGATGTCCCTCTGGGGAGGGGCAGCAGCTCGGACCTGCCGATCCCTGAGGTCCTCCTCAGACCCAGGGGCTCCAAAAGTAACACGGAAACCCGAGGACAAGTGTCAGAGGTCAGCACGGCGTCACCACCCATTACTAAGCGCAGCCCTGCACAGGTGCCTGGTGGGGAGCACCCTGAGATGGGCCAGTCCTGGAATCGGCCCTCTCGGGTGAGGTCTTAAAGGAGCCTCACAGTTCAAGGCCGACAGGACACAAGCAGCTTGCTGCTGCTGTCAGTGTGTGTGGGACATGGGGGAGGGGCGGCAAAGACAGGCCTCCACCCATCCATCACCCACAAAATTCCCTCCTACCCAGCCCCGCACCGGCCACATGGTCCAAAAATGTGGCAAGAAGTGAGACTTGTAACATGGTTTCCACAGACAAGGTGGAGGATCCAGGACCTGAGCCAAGAGGCCTGCTGGTCTCCACACAGCCCTGCACGGCCAGTGGCACGGAGCGGTGGGCACCATGGGGGCCCCCGAGTAGAGGCCCTACACTGGGCAGACACAGGCGCCCTCTGCCCTGCGCCAGGCTGCCTCGGGGCCATATGCTCACCATTGCACGCGCAAGACTCCAGCTGCTGCTCCCTCTCACAGAAGGGGATACACTTCCCATCCTTGCACTTGCCCAGGTCCAAGCACACGGTGTCATCCTCGGCATTCCCGGGAGGGGGACACTCACTGCTGTTACCTGGAAGCACCAACAAGCAGACGCCCATGAGGCACGACCCCCAGGTCCACAGGGTGCACTGCCCACCCTGTCCCGACAGGACGCCCTGGCCTAGCAGAAGGTGTGCCAGGCCCTTGGAAGGTCTTGAATGTCCACACCCAGTCTCCGGGACCTCGCCTCCTCCACACCTGCCTCCCACCTGCCGTGCAGTGTGCTTCTCTCACACATGTGAACATGCACACGTGCCATGGCCACTAATAAAACTGCACCAGGGCCACGGCAGGGACTACAGGCAAACGTCCCGTGGAAGCCACGTGCCGGGACAGCCACCCTCTCCCTCCAAGGTATGTCCCACCTCAGAGCTCTGGCTGTGCTGGTCCTTTGTCCCCAATCTTCTGGGGGGACTGGATGGCTTTTGTCACCCCTGAGCTTTTGCCTCCCAGATCCCCTTGACCTGCCTGGGTCCCCTTGCCCCGCCCAGCCCCACCCCACCCCACCCATCTCTCTCCTGCTGGGGGGCAGTTTCCAATTCGCATCTCTCTGGCTGACCCCTGTTCTCTCCGGATGCCCCCCCCAATGCGGAGGCTGCGCTGCCTGGCAGCACAGACCTGACCTGCTATGCAGGACTCAGCCTACATCCAGTCCTACCACCCCTGCATGCCCCCCATACATGTGTCCTGAGTGAATCGGTGAGCCTGAGGACAAAGAAGAGTGACCGAAGGATGCCACACTCGGGGGAGAGGATGGAGCGAGTGACTCGTTCTGGAAAACGAGTGGCACAAGCAGGTAACAGTCAACAGGAGAACGGAGGAAAAGCCGCGATGAGAACAATGAGTGTGCCCTGAGTTGCTGGGGGCGGGGGCTGTGGGGGGACACGGCCTCTCTGCTGAGGAAAGGAACCAAGCCCAAGGTTTCGGCCTCAAGGTCACGGGGCAGTCAGTGGCGCAAAGCTTGGAGGAAACACGACAGCCTTCCTCCCGCGGGGCCTCACAGCTGCCTCTGGTCTGCAGGGCCCTTCGCCCCCGGGCGTGCGCTGGGTCTCCTGGACACTAGTTCCACAGCCGCTGCAGCTGACGGCAGGCCCCGCACGCACGGGCAGTGAGGGTCTGCACCCCGCCGTGCCACGCGCTCAGCGTGAGACGCCACCTCCAGACTCACCCAGAAGGCCCCGCAGATATCTGTTCACTTCTGGTCTTAAAAAACTGAACTTGAAGTATGAACCAGTGGAGAAGCACAGAAACACAGCATGGCTTCTTCACCAAGGGCCCTAAGCTCAGTGTGCAGCAGGGCGACCCGGAGCTCGGTCGTGGCACAGGTCGCCAGGCCCTGCCCCCCGAGGTGTGGATGCAGGAGGCCCAGGCAGGGGACCAAGAATGTCCACGCCCAACGAGCCCGTTTCCAACGTGACATGGTGCTGCCACTCGTGCAGGCCACTTCCTCACAACGAGCGTGTCCTCTCTAGCTGCTGCCCGTGTAAAGTGTTACGGGGACAAAAGTCTGCTTACCAAGAAGTGCATTTATTCTAACTGTTGTACTTATTTAAAAAGAAAACATCTCCCTGGCTGGTGGGAACATGCCTGGGTTGTGGGTCAGGTCCCCAGTAGGCGCACAAGAAGCAACCACACAGTGATGTTTCTCTCCATCTTTTTCCCTCTCTCTAAATAAAGTCTTAAAAAAAAGAGAAAAAACACCTTTCTGAGTCTGCTTTATTACAGTAAAGATGGAAACACTGAGCACAGCTAGGAAATGTTTTTAAAGCCTGACCGAGATATCCAAGCTCCCGGTGCCTGGCAAACCAGCAGTGCTGACAGATCGCAGAACGTAAAAACCACACCTGTGGTTTACATGTTACAAGTCTCACCTGGAAAAACCAAAAGGAGACACTCCTCACACCCGCCGGGATGACCGCCACCAAGACAGGGGACAATAAATGCTGACCAGGGCGTGGAGACACTGGAAGCCCGAACTCCTCCAGCGGGGGCGGGAACGGAGCAGCTGCCAGGGGAGACAGCCTGGCAGCGCCCCAAAGATCAGAGAGGTGACCATCCAGCCATACAGACCAGGAAAGTGGAAATGCGTCCACAGAGAAACCGCACAGGAGAGCTCACAGAAGCACCAGTTTTCACAGCCAGAGTGAAAACAAGCGGAAAGCCCAGCACCGACAAACGAGCGAATGAAGGCGGAACACACCGCAGGAGGGGGCGGCGTTCGGCAGCAGGACCGAATGGAGCGCCGCCCCACGCCACAGCGGGCGCGAGCCTTGAGAACGCCACTCTGAGTGGACGAAGCGGGTCCCAAAAGGCAGCGCACTGTGATTCCACTGTGCAGGATGTCGGAACAGGCACACCCACCCGGATGGGGAGACGGGGGGGCCCGGGGCCAGGGGGCGGAGATCGGGCGCGCTGCCTCAAGGGCACGGGGCTGCTTCTGAGGTGACGATCTACAGTCGACTGTGGTGGCGGCCGCACAAACGTGAACCCGTTGACACCTACTGACCTGCACACCCTGAGTGGATGAACACCAGCAAATGCTACAGTATGTCCGCATCTCAGTAAAGCTATTCAAAAATCCAACCAGCCAAAGGACAAAGTTATAAAACTATGAGAACGGGACAGGTATGCCAGACAAACAGGAACCACTGCCGCCACCAAAGGAAAATGCAGGCGGCGAGCTGCATGTGAAATGAAACATCTTGAAGTCCAAAAGCACCACGAGGGTGGAGACAGACAGGCACACTGGTAAGGGAAGGGCAGGGGAAGAGGGCACAGGGGTGTGTCCACCGAGTCCCTAATAACACAGCTCTGCACATTCCACGCACAGACAGGACCACACCCAACACTGAAATGACAGATTTCTGTTCCCTGAAGCATAGCAAACAGGAGAGAGAGTACGCAATGTGTGAACCAGACAGATTACTGTGCAAGGACCCCTCCAAATCAGGGACAGCGAAGGACACGAAACACCATTTTATAAAATGGACCAAGTGCATGAAGCAGCTATTCAGGTGGAGAAATCTGATCAGGGAACACAAAGAGACGTTCGAGAAAAATGTAAATGAGGATGAGAAATCCCTTCGCAAGCACCGGACTGGCAGAAATGAGACAGGGTGACAAGGACGTCGGGACAGGGGCACCCGTGCACACTAACAGCAGCACCAACAGGCCAGTGTGTCCCACTGCTCTCGACATCAGCACAGCCCCCCGAGGGACTAAGCAGGCCCACTGCTCCACGGGCACCCGGGAAACGCCGACAGCCAGGAGCAGATGCGTGGGGGTGTCGGCCGCAGGCTGCCCATGGTGTCAAGGCGACATGGGCGATCCCAGCAGCTGCCACTCAGGGCACAGAGGAGCAGGATGATCCCGCGACCAACACTCCCGCAGGCGCCCACCAGTGCTCTCAATACAGACACAGATACCACGCCGCACAGCAGCCACCACTTTGAAAACCAACATGGAACCAGCAGGCTGCTGTGGCTCAGTGGACTGAGCGCCAGCCTGTGAACCAAAGGGTCACCAGTTCGATTCCTAGTCAGGGCACACATCTGGGTTGCAGGGCCAGGTCCCCAGCTGGCGACGTGTGAGAGGTAACCAATCGATGTTTCTCTCCCTTTCTTTCTTCCTCCCTTCCCCTCTCTCTAAAAACAAATAAAATCTTGTAAAAGATCTAAAGCAGACCATCATTTTGGCATGTCAGAAACACGCGTCATGTTTCAAGGGTATGCACACGTCTGGACAAATGTCAGACACACTGGAGCAGATGCTCGTGAGAGGCAGGAGAGCGAAGTGAGCGAAGTAGATGACAAACAGTGATGGCCTGGCACAGCCCAGCGACAGGCGTGTGGCCTGTCCCAAAAAAGGAGTGTGGCCAACCCAACTCTGCACGAGGCGAAAGGGTATTCGCATCCACATGACACCACCTGGCTCTCCAGACCCGCCCCCCACCTGGGCTGAGAACCCCGCGCGCACGAGCAGTAGGACGCACCTGTGCAATGAGACACGCCTTTGCAGGTGGCGTTGATGGCCTCCTGGCACTTCTTCTGGGCAGTCTCGAACTGGCAGTTTTTACAGCAGGGACTGTTCCTGTCACTGCGGAAGAAGGAACAGTTCAAGTGAGAGGGCAGCCCGCAGCAAAGTCCATGGTCACGTAACCGGTCCTGGACCCCAGGCTCATGGGAAGGTCTCCTGGCCGGGCCGCACTACCCGGCTGCCCAGGCGCCCTGTCTGCCCCTCCCAACTCGAGCAGCAGCGGTGCGGAGAGGAGGTACGGCTGGTCCGAAGGGACTCATCTTTAAAACATCTCCATGTCCTTGGTTTCCATTAACGTCATACAGAAATTTAAAAAAAAAAACAAAAAAACCAGAAACAGAAACAGGCCCGCAAGGCAAACAACGGCCAGGAAACCAGGGAGCCCGAGCCCTAATGTGCGGTGCTCATACACGCTGCATTTTCCACCCACTGCACCCCGGACACCCCGGCCCGCGGCCGCGCCCACCTGCACTGGACGCCCTTCTTCAGTGTGCAGTCGCTGTTGCAGCAGGTGTCGCTGTTCAGGTACATGATGCCGGGGTCGCACTCCTCCCCCTCGTCCACCCTGGAGTTCCCGCACACCTTGTTGCTGCGCTCCTGGAAGCACTCCTGGGCCTTGCTCTCGATGGTCTTGTAGATGGACTGCTTGCTGCAGTTGGAGAACATCTGCCGAGGACAAGGCCGCAGAGGGCCCGGAGCAACGTAAAGACGCACCGCCACGTGTGTGTGGCACTTCTCTGGACTCTGGACTGACTGTCACAGTCAGAGCCTCCTGGGGCACATCCAGTGCCATCGCTGTCACCTCTAAATGTCCTTGTGCGCCACCGCGCTCTCTCCCTCTTCAGAATGTTAAAAAGCTGGTGTGGATTTGGTTAAGAGTCGAAAATCTGCCATGGAGGGCCAGCTGTACACATGCTGACCTTCCCGCGCACCCCAGCCAGACGGCCAAGAGCACAGGCAGGGTGGTGCAGCGGCAGTGAGTGTGAGCCGTGAGCTCTGCCAGGGCACGGGCCATCCCTCCCTCAGGTGCGGCACCCCCCAGTGACAGGGTGGTCCAGACGCAGACCGTCCTCCCAGGCAGGAGGCCCAGGCACATAAACAGGGTCTGCACTCGGTGCACCCTCCCCTTTGCCTGCCCGGCTGTGCGATGGCCCTCGGCCCAAGCCTCCGTAGCTGAAGGTACTAAGAAGCAGCAGTGTTGCGTACACACTGTTAGAAGACTACTTTCCAAACTGTTACCTAAACGTTCCCGTGGGTCCCCAAGATTTTAGCAGTTTCTCTGTTTTCTAAGGTGACCAGTGCCTCACAAGGAGCCCCTCCCCCAGGTCCCCCAAACCACCTGAACGGCCCTTCCTGCGAGTGGGAAGACTAATCAGGAGCCCTGAACAGCCCGTTCTCCAAACCAGCCGATGTGGAGAGAGCGTCAGGATGGCTGCCAGACCGGGCAGGTGTGGGGGAGGGGTGGGCGCTGAGGGGTCCGGAAGTGCAGACGGGCAATTACAGAACAGCCACGGGCGCAGGGTGCAGCACGGGAACCGGAGCAGCAGGAGAACGCACACCAATGACCCACGGACATGAACAGTGGGGGGGGGCGGCCTGAGGGATGGGGGTGCTGGGTGGAGGCGGCAAAGGGGGGAAAGCAGGACAAATGTAATAGCTTAATCAATAAAATATAAAGAAAAGCAGAACTCTGGCTATTCTCAAACTCTCAAACTAAGTGTCCTTTCTTCTTCTGTGACAGGGCTTCTCACATCGGCAGAGGTTCAGAAGTCACCACTCTGCTCCTTTCACAGCGACAAAACTCCACGTAACAGTAACTTTTCCTAAATAGAAATAACTTTTCTACTGTTCAGAAAGTTTTACAACATGTGCATGCTGGTTTCTACACAACAATGAAGTTATGAAAAGGGAAATAGCAAACAAAAAGGACCTTACAATGAATTGTTATAGTACGGATATTTAAGGGACTGGGCTCCAAAGGGAAGTCAGGACACACACCGTAGCGTCTTTCCTGCTTAGAGACCTGCACCCCAGCCCCACCCCAGCCCCGTCCCCAGCCCTCTGGGGGCAGCAGGACGTCTTCCTGGAGATGCCCCACACTGCCCACTGCGGCTGCTTCGGGCTAGGTAAGATGGCAGGACCGGACACCTCAGGCACTTTCTGGTCTGACTCTCACATTAAGAGTCGGTCACAACCCCTCTTAAAGTCTCTGAAATCGGTGGCAATATCTCGAGTCAGCTAGTGTGCTGTAAGAAACCCTATCCAGAGGACTTCCACCAAGATGGAGGTGTAGGTAGGAACACTTTTCGTCCTCACACAACCAAATCTAAAAACAATAAAGTTTTAACAATAATAAACACAACCAAACCACACAGAAAATCGAATACGGAGTCTGGAAACAACGGACCACTCAACTAAACCAGTGAGAGGGGCAAAACCAGCAGCGGAGCCAGTCAGGCAAAAAAGATCCGGGCGGTGCACAGGCAGCCGGGGCGCGGATCCCAGGTGGGGGGTAGCTACGGGCGGAACCCAGGGAAGAGGCGCTGCTGGCTGTCTGCAGTCGATCCTGCATTTGCACGCAGATAAACCAGTGAAGAGGCAAGTGTTGAGACAGATTTCGCAGGCCCCAGCAATTGGAGCAGGGCGGCAGACTCACACATTTGCACTCGGATAAGCAGGTGGGGGTGAGCGGTGAGGCGGACTGGGTGAGCGGAGAGGACCGCCATTGCTCCCTCTCTGACCCTGCCCCCACATACAGCCTCACAAACCTGCGACCTGGGTGGTCCCGCCCGGTAAACACCAAGGCGCCTCCCCTCGTATGTAACAGGCACAAACCGAACAAAACATGGCTCAAGAACAACTCAGAGCCCCAGAGCCGATAAATCTAAGCGATGAAGAAATAGCCAAACTTTCAGATGCACAGTTTAAAACACTGGTGATAAAGATGCTCACAAAACTGGTTGATTATAGTCACAAAGGGAACTGTCACCTACAAAGGAGTTCCCATCAGACTGTCAGCTGATTTCTCAAAAGAGACCTTCCAGGCAAGAAGGGGCTGGAAAGAAGTATTTCCAAGTCAGGAAAACCAAAGACCTACAACCAAGATTGCTCTATCCAGCAAAGTTTTCATTTAGAATGGAAGGACAGATAAAGTGCTTCTCAGATAAGATCAAATTCAAGGAGTTCATCATCACCAAGCCCTTACTATATGAAATGTTAAAGGGACTTACCTAAGAAAAAGAAGATAAAAAATATGAACAGTGAAAGGACAGCAAATGCAGTTATTAACAACCACATCTAAAACAAAAGCAAACTAAAAGGACAGCTAGATCAGGAGTGAACCATAGAAATGAAGATCACATGGATGGTTAGCAACAGGGGAGTGGGAGGAGGAGAAGGGGAGAGAAGGTACAGAAAATAAGTAGCATAGACAGTAGATAGAAAATAGATAGGGGGGAGGGTAAGAATAGTAGGGGAAATATAGAATCTAAAGAACTTGAAGCCCTGGCTGGTGTAGCTCAGTGGATTGAGCTCGGGCCTGCGAACCAGACAATGGCGGTTCGATTCCCAGTCAGGGCACATACTGGGGTTGCAGGCCCGTTCCCTGCAGGCCAGTTCCCAGCAGGGGATGCACGAAAGGCAACCGTACATTGATGTTTCTCTCCCTCTCTCCTTCCCTTCCCCTCTAAAGATAAATAAATAAAATCTTAAAAAAAAAAAGAACTTGAGACACATGTTCATGAACTAAAGGGGGGAGAATGGTGGGGGAGAGGTGTGCAGGGTGGAGGGGAATGGAGGAGGGGGGAAATAGAACAAATGTAATGGCATAATCAATTAAAAAAAAAAAAAAAGAAACCCTATCCGAACGCATGCCCGGTCCCCGGGGGCCTCAGTAATCTGCAGCCCCCATCTCCCCACCCCCCAAACCCGTCCTGAGCTCTCACTGTAGTTACACAGCCGCTCCCTTTCCTACCCACACCGGCAGCACCAAGAGACGTACCTTATTGTTCTCATGATCCCCGCTCACAGCAATGGGATACATCACGAATTTCCCTCCCTGGTCCTCATTCGGGGCACATTCCGCTAGACCATCCGGATCGTGTTCCGCTCCAAAATTGTGCCCCAATTCATGAGTTGTAACCAGGTCAGCTTCCTTAAAGACCACACAGAGAAAACATTACTTCCCAATACCCAGCTGCTCCGGCTTTGGCCAGTGGGCCTTGCTGATGTCAATCGGGTGCTGATTGATCAGATGCCGAAGGAACCCCTAACTCTGCCCAGGCAGCAATGTACTCAACTAGGACAGTCCCCAAGGCACAGTCCCTTGAGGGTTTGGGCAGCCACACCGTTGACCTAGCTCCGCCCACTGAGACAGAAGCCAGGGGGCAGGGCTTCCACACCAGCTTTCTAACGGGGACAGCCTGCGCTCACTGTGTCCTCCCTTCTGCAACACGGACGGGAACCATCCTGGGACCATGGGGTGACGAGGAGGACACAGGCCTGTGCTTTCCAAGGGCTGAGAGACAGTGGGGAGACCCCAGGCCCGGGGCACCTGAGCCCCTGCTGCCTATGCGGAGCTGCCTACGGACCACACCCCTAGGGGACCACTTGGCTGGGGCAGGCAAGCGCACCCCTCACTGAAGTCTGTGTATGGGACCGTTGTGCGGGTTCTGAGTGTGTCTAGCACACTTCTAGTGGACGCATCTGGGCAAAAACAAGATCCTAAAATCTTCCAGAGGGAAAAAACAGGCCACATACGAAGGAAAAAAAATGGGAATGACTTCAGAGTCTTTAATAGGGACACAAACACTAAAGGACAATGGAGCAATGCCTTCCAGTGCAGAGAGCTCGGGGAACATACCAGTTCTCATTTTCAGATACACAGAATCTCAGGCATTTGCCATAGGTCCCCTTTCTTAGGACACTCCTAGGGCATCTGTGGTGGTGCACATCAAGAGGAGGAACAGGGGCCCAGGGGACAAGTCTGGGGCATCTCCAGACACCAGGCCCGGGAAGCCAGCACCCATTGGGCGGGGGGAGGGAGGGCTCCAGGGAACGCCCTAGGGAAAACAGCAGCCCAGAAGGCTCTGGAAGGAAGTTTGACTGGTACCTTTTATGTTCTTCTGTATACCTTTTATCTTCATACTGCCCACCACAGAAAGTGTGTTTTTAGACAGAAACAAAAATACCCAGTGTGCATTACTCTTTTAGAAGGCATCTACATAAATATATAACTACAATAAACTAAAAATCTATCCTTTAAACAAAATAAAAGAACATACCTTTGTAAGAATGGTTTTACCATAATTTTTTGTGCTGGTCAAACCACTATTCAAATAGATATTCTTCCTCCCTGTCGGGCTGTAGTATGCTGGAGGAGAACGGAGACAGACACCGTGCTTGCACAGGACGCCGTGTGAGCCTGGCAGACCGCCGTGACCGCACACGCACGCACATGGGTGGGAGCTTACCCTTTGGACAGACACCTCCATGACTGTTTGCCCTGGGAGAGCCAACATACGCTAGTCCGAGAGTCCCCATGTCAAAGTCCTGGTACGTGAAAAGGTGCGCTAGACAGACCTTGGATGCCTCTTCAGCTATATCAAAGCTAAATTGCTTTAAAAAAGAAAGGTGTTCTTAATTGCATTAACAATGACATCATACTGTAAGATGCTTCGACCAAGTATGACACCGCAGGCTTGCAGGTCTGCGCCACACTGTGCAGCTCCTCAGCCACGGCTCGGCCCGCCCACCTGTGCAGGTGAGGGGTGGACCACCACCTGCACTGGCGGGGAGGCGGGAAGGCCCACAGGAGGGAAGGTGGGGAGCTCTTCGCAGCAGCTGTCAGAAGCCACGGGGCCTGGTGGGGACCCTGCGGCCCAGCACTGGACACCCCATATGTGTCGGTCTCAGGGCGGGGACACCTCTGGGGTGGGGGGGCTCAGCACCACACCCCGCGCTGAGGCCTCACACGTGATTCAAGGACCCTGCTGGTTTGGCAGTGTTGTTGTTTTTTCAAAGTTTGCTTTGATTTTAGAATGTACAGGAGTTATAAATACAAACATAAGAAGGCATGTATAGTTAGTTTTATGTTAGTAAAATTAAGATTACGATCCATTTAAGTCAGCACTGGTGCTTTGGGAGGACTTTTTTTCTTAAAAGGACTCTACATATTACTTCAAAAACCTCTGCTAGAACAACCTGTGGTCTTCCATTTAAAAAGGCCTTGATTTTTAAAATGCTTCAATGAGCGGCAGGACAGGCCTGGATGAGGGATGCGGTGTAGCCAGCAGACACCGCCCTGGCCACTCGCGGATTCTGACAGCTTGGCGCACAGAGGGGCCTCTGGGAGCCTGCTAGGAGCCTGAGAGGGGGGACTGGGGGAGCACCTGCAGAGCCGAGAGCCTCCCTTCCACGCCTCCCCACTGACAGGTGCAACGATTCGGCTGTCCCAGGGGTCAGGGCATCTGGCTGCTCGATTCTGGCCATCAGTCACAGCTATAGGACTCTCCAAGGACAAGTCACTTAACCTTGCTGCCACGGGCTGCACTGTGTCCCCGCCAACTCGTATGTTCAAGTCTTAACCACCAGCACCTCCGAATGTCGCTGCATTTGGAGATGAGGCCCTTCAAGGGTAATTAAGGTGAAATGGGGCCATATGGGTGGGCCTAATCCAACCTGACTGGTGCCCTTCCCAGAGCGGATGAGGGTTCAGACAGACAAAGGGAAGACCACGTGAGGACAGGAGGAGAAGATGGCCATCTGCCAGCCAGAGACAGACCTCAGAAGAAACCAACCCAACCAACACCTTGACCTCAGACCTCAAGCCTCCAGAACTACAAGACCATAAAGGCCTGTCCTTTCAGCCCCCACCCCTGGTCCTTTTGGTCGTCGGCAGTCCTAACAGACTACAGCACGTGCCGAGTCTCGTGGAAGATTGACAGTGCCATCCCGACCGACCTCTGGGGTTGCCAGCAGGTCAAACTGCACAAGGCGCATGGGTGTACCGCACAGACGGAGCGCTCTGTGGGTCCCACTCCGGGTCGGGACTCAGCGGTACTCCTGGAATTCCACCCCGAGTCTGAACACCGGATTTCCGCCTTGTGAGACTCACGAGAACCCAGACGCGCCACACTGCGCCTGTACTAACCTGTGAAAACCACTGGACAACTCCAGGGTTGTTTCAAGCTGCTAAACCCATGGTAATTTTTTAGAGCACCAAGGGGAAAATAACACGTCATCGACCTCCTGAAAGACAAACCCCATCACCCCACGGGTCCTGTTCGAAGCGGCGGCACACACAGAACCAGGCGCTGACCTCGTGTGGCCAACAGGACGAGCCATGTTCTGTCGGGGCCCAGAGGGTTTAGGTAAACTGCCTTTAGACTGATCGCCAGGACAAAAACCAAAAACTTAACATTCTTCCACAGGCCTTCCAGATCTCTAATTACATTTCTGCCGCCTGATTTATTTCCATACCGCCAGATCATCATGGCCGAGAGACTCACTGAAGTTTCAGAGAGACCTGAACAAACAAAATGGCACCGAGAATGTCCACGCTGGGCATGCACCGTCCGTCACCCCACTGGACTCTCAGAGCCAGCAGGGAGCAGGGGCGCTGCTCAGGGGCGCTTCCATGTGCACAGCCTTTCTGCCCTCCTGCCGCTGGCCCCGCTGCCAGGGACAAGGGGACTGCCGGGTCAGCTGGGGCTGCTCCGGTTTCCACGCACTCCCTCCAACGCCCCTCCAGCAGCGCAGACACGACCCGCGCACAGGCACCCCTGGGGCCTGGCGCCCCACAGACCCAGGGCTGCACGACCTACCTCGAGCAACATCTTCACATCCCACGCGTCCTTTTCTTCATTGGGGTAACTTTTTGCCATATTATAGTGCCTTTCACCAGGTTTTACCTCTTGTGGAGACTTGAGAATGCGAATCTATACTTAAAGAGATAACATGCTTAGAACACTTCAGGAAAAAAGTCGAACTCTGAACACTGCATTGGTTTAGATATTTGAAAAAGACTACGATTCTAGAGAAAAATATGTTTTAGAACCAGAACTACACAGAATCCTTCAGCTCTAAATATTCAATGTTTAAAAACAACAGGAGAGCATGTAAGGAAAACATGTCAATAAATGATTCCTAAATTTATACATGTACTCCCAAATTTACATTCCCTCTGTATTTAGTTGAAAAAAAGACAACTTAGTCTAAAATATTTATTGCAACCACAGCAGAGGAGGCAGAGGTGCAGAGCTCGGAGCGACAGGTCCCTGCAGAGCCCAGGAGCAAACGGTCACCAGGAGCAGGGCCGTCCCCTGAGCACGCCCTGCACGCGCCCTTTAACCTGCCGAAACAAAGCCTCGGCCCCGCGCCGTTTCTGGGGCTCTCTAGCTGCCGGCCTGCGGGGGGGCGCACTGTCGGCTCTGCCACCAGGCAGTGAGCTCACTGGGGCGGGCTTCGCAGCCTTCGTGGTGGGTGGTCAAGGTCGATTTCGGGAGGAAACAGGGAACCTGCCGTGACTGCGCATCTACCCCACGTCTTCCCACCCACCTGGCCGTCGTCATTCAATAAGCCACGTATTTTCACCTCCTGTATCACACCTATTTTTCTCAACTGGTTCCAAGTTCTAAAGCAGGGATGTCAAACTCATTTTCACGGGGGCCACATCAGCCTTACGGTTGCCTTCAAAGGGCCAAACTAATTTTAGGACCGTATACATGTAGCTACTCCTTAACAGTTAAGGAGCTGAAATTACATGCAGCCCTTTGAAGGCAACCACGAGGCTGACGAGGCCCCCGGGGAAAGTGAGTTTGATGCCCCTGCTCTAGAGCAGAAAGGAGTTTTATTTACTGACCCCACAAAACTCAAACAAGTTGCTGCTGTTTAAACAAGCGAGGCAGCCCGACAGGCAGAGCCGCAAACATGTTGGTGGAGTGGTGAAGCGTGGCCCAGGAGGGGGTGACCCGCCAGTGTGGGGGTGCCCACGCGTGCGCCCACGCCGCACAGGCACGAAGTGTCTCTGGGAAAACACACGGCACCAGTGACATGGCCGCCTCTAGGGAAGAACGTGGCACTGTGGGCAGCTTCCCTGGCCTTTGTACCGTGTGTGTGACCTATTCAAACAGTAACTTAGAAAAGAAAATGCAAGAGAATGGACAAGGGAAAAATAATTCTTAGTTTTATACAAGTACTATAAAAAAAATTTTTTTAATATTTTATTTATCTTTAGAGAGGAAGGGAAGGAGAGAGGGAGAGAAACATCAATGTGTGGTTGCCTTTCGTGCATCCCCTGCAGGGAACCAGCCTAAAACCCTGGCATGTGCCCCGACTGGGAATCGAACCGCGATTGTCTGGTTCACAGGCCCACGCTCAATCCACTGTGCTACACCAGCCAGGGCTTAAAAGTTTAATATCTATAAGAATGATGTATAATTTCACACTTTTCAAAAAAAAATCTCAATTCTATCTATAGAATCTATAAGAATGGGGTTAATTTAGTACAAAGAACCCAGGGGAACAAAACAGAAATAGTAATTTCCATAGTTTCCATATCAGAGGGTCTGTCCAAAGCAATACCCAATTTCGAAAGTCTTTTTAATCAGTCTTACAAATTTGGAACAATCTGTACTATGAGATAGAACGACACTGATACATGGCGGCCAGACACACACTGTCGCATCAGGAGGTGTGGGGGAAGGAGGCCTCCTGGTCCTGCGTGTGCGACGGCCCCGTGTCCCACACAGGGTTCGCAGCAGCGTCTCTGACGAGGGACCAACGCCCTGCGCCCACCTCTGGCGACAGACAGACGCCCAGCCAGAGACAAGGAACACAACGGGGTGAGAGGCCGTGAGCTCAGAGAGAAGAGAGATCACGGCAGTGAAAAAGCTTTCTGCCTAAAAGAAGCTTGACAACAGAAAACTTCTTCATCGATAAATAATACCGAAGCACCATGTAACATCAGACAAGAATTGCTGGCATTTGAGAATATTTACGATTACATCTGAAGATAAGCTGGGGGGTGAATGTAAGTGACAAGCACTGACATCGCACTCACGGGCAGCGCCAGCACGCGCATGGTCAATACCTGCTCTATCTGTATTCCGTAGCCTTTAAAGCCTGCGTTGTCCCATGAAGTGTTCCGGTAGATGTCATCGACCCTGTCGATCAGCTCTATCTGGGGAGGGGGGAGAAAACACACATCTTTACTACTCTTCGCAATGTGACAGTTCCTTCGGGAAGGAAAAAATCAGTTTAGAGAAAATGCCATTATAAAGTTTCCACTAATTACAACTAGCATAAAGATGTTATTCTTTATCACTGGCACCACTACCGAAGACATTACTCCCAGCCCCAAATAACGGCTGCTGGCAGAGTAAAACAGTGTGCACCGCATTACAGATCCAAGCAACCAGATGAGCACGAAACCAAAATGCCGAGTAACAGGCTTTTTAAATACTGCCATTCCAGTCAACTACAAAAACGAAAGTTAATAGTCGATCAACTTCACTAAAATATTCTCTTCTAAGAAGTACTCCATCTTCACTCTATCTCTGGGCACGCTCCTCAACTCCCCCTGGGGGGGGGGGCAGCGCCTGGCACTGCGAATCCTGCCCCCGCGCCACTGGGCAGAGCTCAGCACTGAGGCCCCGTGACGAGAGCACCAGGGGAATGAGTGCCACCCTCCTCCCTCCCTCTGCACTCGGACTGGGAAGGGGGTGAGGTGGTGGAGAGGGGCAGCGCAATAGCCAAGGGCGGTCCACATTACCTGGAAACAAAACGCCCCTTCCCCATCTTTCCCTCAAACATAACTCTGCTGCTCAAAACTGAGCAGAAGAGGTTTGCTCAGACGACTGTGAAGCATGTTATAGGTATGAAACTGCTGTTTGCTTATAGCAACTGCAAGACTAAGAAACACAAATTTTAAGAATAAGCCTCTCATTATACTCATATTTTTGGTGTAATGAACAATGAAGTAAATTAAGAGGAGCCCCTTGAAACAAAGCCCCATTAAGAAACTTTTTTGAGAAAGCTCTCTCTTACTTAGGAGCAACAATGACAATGACTTCACACACTGCTCCCACTAACCTGACAATGGATTCTTTCACAGGGCATGGGAGGGAAGGGCGAGGGAGGGCACAAATGAAACGAAACAGAGAACGGGGAAGGCGAGGCAATGAAAGAGAAGCCTTCACTGCACTAGGCTCTCGGTCCATGAATAGCTGCATTCTCTTATTTCCTAAACAGCATTCGGTCAGTGCCCAGTTAGGGCAAATGAGGTCACACTGATAAAAGATGTCAATGAAACCTGACCCCCTGACTTTTCAAACTATATGGTAAATGCTTAAAAATCTCGCGTCAACACTTCCAGCCCTACAGCTGGTTACGACCAGGGAAGCCCCATCTACAGCGCCAGAGTCCGACAGCCAGCCGTTCAGGACTCAGACCAGAAGATCTTCTCTGACATGTGCACAACCGAGGCACGTAGGCTCACACAGACACCTTCACCACGCTAGAGCACACATCCGCACATGTCGCCAATGAGACCACCAACGTCACGGCAGGGACATTTTCAAAGAACTCACTTCTATGAAGAGAGGCCTAAACCTAAATAAAGTGCATAAAAATGCTGATGTGCGGAAAGAAAGTAATGGTTCAAAAGTCAAACAGATTTCCAAATCTTTGAACACAGAATATCTATGCGTTCATGTAAGAACCTCAAAGGACAGCTCTCTAATGTTTTGTAAAATATTACGGCATCGGAACAGACGTGGTTCATTCCATGTCGGACACCCACAGGCCCCTCCACACCGGGACGGCCCGACGGTGCGGACACGTACCAGGTAGTTGGTGGTGGTGCTCTCCTCCCCGCGGCCCATGTGTCTGTAGAAGCGGTGGTCGGCCACCACCAGCAGTTTGCATGTGTTCTTCAGGGGGTGAGGCTCGGCTCTTCTCTTCGCCCGAGGAGCACGCTCTAATGTGAATGTGTATGCACTATTAAATCAAAATTTGTCAAAACAAGGAGTTTTTTTATAGTAGCCCTTTAAATCTAGCATGGTTCTGAAACAAACATTACTTGAGCTTAGATATCTCGAACAAAAACACAATTTGGAGGAAAACAGGAAAGAAATACGAGTCTTTTAAATTGTAGAATCAAAACCATGGAAAAGTGTCTCTGTAGTGTTTAACAAGAGACGACTTGAAAAAGCAGTCACCTGCTGACTGCTGGGCTCGGAAGTTCTCACTTTATTCTGAAGCCCATGAATGAGCCAAAGTAACAGTAAAAATGTCAAGATAATCACACATTAAAAATTAGTTTGTGTTAACAGGTTGTTTTTCTTATCAAATAATCAAACTATTTAAGAATTTACTCATATACTAAACCCTGGCTGGTGTGGCTCAATGGACTTGAGCACCAGCCTGCGAACCAAAGGGTCACTAATTCAATTCCCAGTCATGGCACATGCCTGGACGGTGGGCCAGGTCCCCAGTAGGGGTGCACAAGATGCAACCATACACTGATGTTTCTCTCTTCTTTCTCCCTCCTTTCCCCCGTCTTGGAAAGTAAATAAATGAAATCTTAAAAAAAAATAATTTATTTACATACAAAATGCTAGGAATATTTTCTAAGGTTTTCAAAAATGAGGACAGTAGACTATTTCTCCAAGATGGTTGTTTTCAAATGACTCGAAATGGAGTTGTCCCAAACTGATCACCTCCTTCTCTCTACGCAGCAGAGAACTCTCATTACCAACTAACTTCTTATAAACTTATCTAAAGGTTGGTTTAAAACAGTATTATTTTGTCATTTTTAAATACCTGCAAATAAAGAATATTTCCCTCACAATATTTTTAAATTTTATTTATTTAATTTTAGAGAGCGGGAAAGGAAGGGAGAGGGGAGAGAGGACATCCATCAGGTGCCTCTCGCACGCCCCCTACTGGGGACCTGGCACTCGATCCGCTCAGCCACACTAGCCAGGGCCCCCTCAGATTACTTACTTCCCCTGTCCCCAATCTTTTTAAGTCCCATCTTTATTGTTACCACTGTTTTCTAGTGTTTTCATTTCTTACATTATAAGCAAAAGAATTAACTTTACCATTTCTGAACACAAGTATTTTCAACTTGATAAACATTTTTTAAATCAATTAATAATCACCCCTGCCCTGTCTGGTGTAGCTCAGTGGATTGAGCACAGGCCTGCAAACCAAAGGATTGAGGCTCGATTCCCAGTCAAGGCATGTGCCTGGGCTGCAGGCCAGTTCCTAGTGGGGGACACACAACAGGCAACCATACATTAATATTTCTCTCCCTCTCTCCTTCCCTTCCACTCTAAAGATAAATGAATAAAATCTTAAAAATAATAATAATAACAATAATAACCCCCCTACTGAACACAGCCGTAAAGCTAGGTGTTCATTTCTGAGTCTCACCATCATGGGGCTCTCTGTCTATCAGCCCTTCTGGAAGCAAATCTTCATTGTCCGCCTTTATGTAACCACACACTTTTGAAGACTGGAAACGTGAAACATTCTTGATATCTTCAGATTTATAAACCAACATTCTTTTGTCTTTAGTATCATTAATTAGTCTCCAAAGTGGCTGAAATAGAAAAAATGATAAGACGGAAAATATAAAAATTTATAAACATTAAATTCTTACATCCTTTCATGTTTTTGTTTTGCTTTTTTAAAAACCCTCACCGGTGCTCACTTCGGCAGCACATATACTAAAATTGGAACAATACAGAGATTAGCATGGCCCCTGCGCAAGGATGACAGGAAAATTCGTGAAGCGTTCCATATTTTTAAAAAGAAGTAACGGGGACTTCCGCCAAGATGGAGGCATAGGTGGATGTGCCGTGCCTTCTCACACAACCAAGATTAGAGAAAACTAAATATTAGCAACAGAAAACACAGCCAGAACACGGAAAATTGAACTTTTCGGAAGTCCGTTAACAACAAATTCTTCAGCCTGACTGGTAAGGGGCGAAACCAGCGGCTGGCGGAGCAGGGTTGCACAGGAGGACTCGGCCAGACACACTCAGGCCCGTGGAATCCAGGCGCAGGGTCAGACCTAGTGAGCGACCCAGCGAGCGACCAGGTGAGCGACCGCGGGGGAGACAGCCGGGCCCGGGGCTGCGTGTTGACTGAGGTCGAGCATTTGTGCACGGGTGGACAGGCGAGGGAGTGGGCGGTTGGACCGGGCCGGCAGGTCCCCACGGCAAGCGGCAGTGGAGGGTGCCGCCATTTCCCTGCTCTGACCCCACCTCCACATACAGTGTCATAACCCAGCGACTCTGAGTGGCCCGGCCCAGGTGAACCACCTAAGGCACTGCTCCTCCGCACCCAGCTGTGAGAAGCGGCAGAGGGGGTCGCCATTTCCCCGCTCTGGCCACACCCCCACAGACAGCGTCACAACCCAGCGACCTGGGAATCCAAGGCCCCGCTTCTCACATTTAAAGGGCCCGAACAGACCAAGAATGGCGCAGGAGGATCTCAGAGCCCCAGAGCCAATAGATCTAAGCGATGAAGAAATAGCAAAACTCACAGACCCACAGTTTAAAACATTGGTGATCAGGATCCTCACAGAACTGGTTGATTATACCGACAAATTAGACAAATATATGAAGGCGAAACTAATTGAAATGAATGGAATTGCACAGGACACCAATAGCAATGAAAAGGAAACTGGGACTCAAATCAATGGAGTGGACCAGAAGAAAGCAAATAATGGCCAAACAGAAAAGAGTCAAGAAGCAAGAATTCAAAGAAATGAGGAGAGTCTTAGGAACCTCCAGGACATCTTTAAACGCTCCAACATCCGAATTATAGGGGTACCAGAAGGGGGAAAGGCACAGCCACCAGTGGAAAACTTATTTGAACAAATAATAAAGGAGAATTTCCCCAATCTGGCAAAGGAAATAGACTTCCGGGAAATCCAGGAAGCTCAGAGAGTCCCAAAGAAGTTGGACCCAAGAAGGAACACACCAAGGCACATCGTAATTACATTAGCCAAGATTAAAATGAAGGAGAGAATCCTAGAAGCAGCAAGAGCTAAGGGGACAGTCACCTACAAAGGAGTCCCCATCAGACTGTCAGCGGATTTCTCAAAAGAGACCTTACAGGCAAGAAGGGGCTGGAAAGAGGTATTCCAAGTCATGAAATCTAAAGACCTACAATCAAGATTGCTCTATCCAGCAAAACTTTCATTTAAAATGGAAGGACAGATAAAGTGCTTCTCAGATAAGATCAAATTCAAGGAGTTCATCATCACCAAGCCCTTATTATATGAAATGCTAAAGGGACTTATCTAAGAAAAAGAAGTTAAAGAAACATGAACAGTGAAAGGACAACAAACTCAGTTATTAACAACCACACCTAAAACGAAAGCAAACTAAAAGGACAGCTAGATTAGGAGTGGAAACATAGAAATGAAGATCTCAAGGAGGGTTAGCAACAGGGGAGTGGGAGGAGGAGAAGGGGGGAGAAGGTACAGAAAATAAGTAGCATAGACAGTAGATAGAAAATAGATGGGGGGCAAGAATAGCATGGGAAATATAGAATCTAAAGGACTTGAGACACATGGTCATAAACTAAAGGGGGGGTAATGGTGGGGATGAGGGGTAGGGTGGAGGGGAATAAAGGGGGAATAGAACAACTGTAACAGCATAATCAATAAAAATAAATAAATAAATAAATAATTAAAAGCACCTAAATTGAAAAAAATAAATAAACAGAGAATGTATCGAAAAAATAAATAAATAAATAAATAAAATAAAAAGAAGTAACATACAAGGGAGCCCCAATAAGGTTAGCTACTGACTTCTCAATGGAAACACTCCAAGCAAGAAGAGAATGGCAAGAAATATTCCAAGTAATGAGAACCAGAGGCCTACAACCAAGGCTACTTTTACCCAGCAAGGCTCTCAATCAAGATAGAAGGCCAAATAAAGAGCTTCCAAGACAAAAGAAGTCTAAAAGAATATGCTTCCACCAAACCAGCCCCACAAGAAATACTAAAAGGACTGCTTTAAGGAAAGAAAGGAAAAGTGAGAGACAGAGAGGAACACAGGTACAAAAATAGCAATGAATAAGTACCTATCAATAATAACCTTAAACATAAATGGATTAAATGCTTCAATCAAAAGACACAGAATAGCTGAATGAATAAGAAAGCATGACCCACACCTATGCTACCTACAAGAGACCCACCTCAGGACAAAAGACCATCACAGACTAAAAGTGAAAGGCTGGAAACAAATTTACCAAGCAAACGGACAAGAAAAAAAAGCTGGGGTAGCAATTCTCATATCAGACAAAATAGACTTCAAAAAGAGGGCCATAAAGAGAGACCCAGAAGGTCACTTCATTATACTCAAGGGAAAAATCCACCAAGAAGACATTAACATCGTAAATATATAAGCACCCAACATAGGAGCACCCAAATATATAAAGAAAATCTTAGAGGAATTCAAGAAAGATATAGACAGCAACACAATTATAAGTAGGGGATTTTAACACCCCACTATCAAAAATGGACAGATCTTCCAAACAAAATATCAACAAAGATATTGTGGCATTACACAACACCCTTGATGAAATGGACTTAACTGCTATATACAGAGCCCTTCATCCCAAAGAAGCTAAATACACATTCTTTTCAAATGCACATGGAACATTCTCAAAGATAGACCACATGATAGGACACAAAACGAGCCTCAACAAATTCAAGAAAATTGAAATCATACCAAGCATTTTCTCTGACCACAAGGGACTGAAATTAGAAACCGACCCCAAAGGAAAAAACCCAAAGCACCCAAAATCATGGAGACTGAATGGTGTGCTATGAAACAAAGAATGGGTCAAGAATGAAATTAGGGAAGAAATCAAAACATTTCTGGAAACAAATGAAAATGATCTCACAACAACCCAAAACTCATGGGACACAGCGAAGGCAGTCCTGAGAGGGAAGTTTATAGCAATACAGGCCTACCTAAAGAAGAGAGAAACATTTCAAACAAACAACCCTACCCCACGCCTCCAAGAACTTGAGGAACAACAATAAAAACAGCCCAGAGCAAGTAGAAGGAAGGAAATAACCAAGATCAGAGCAGAACTAAATGACATAGAGACTAAAAGCACAATTCTAAGGATCAATGAATCCAGGAATTGGTTCTCTGAAAAGATAAACAAAATAGACAAGCCTTTAAAAGTAGGCTCATCAAGAAAAGAAGAGAGAGGACTCAAACACAATCAGAAATAAAAGAGGAGAGATTACATCTGATACCACAGAAATAGAAGGGATTGTAAGAAATTACTATGAAGAACTGTATGCCAAGAAATTTGAAAACCTAGGGGAAATGGACATATTTCTAGAAAAATATAATCTTCCAAAACTTAATGAAAAAGAAACAGAAAACCTGAACACACCAATAACAGCAAAAGAAATTGAAGCAGTAATCAAAAAACTCCCATCACACAAAATCCCTGGACCAGATGGTTTCACAGGAGAATTCTACAAAGCATTTAAGGAAGAGCTAACCCCTATTCTTCATAGACTATTCCAAAAAATCCAGAAGGATGGAAAACTCCTAAACTCTTTTTATGAAGCCAGCATCATCCTAATTCCAAAACCAGATAGAGACACAACAAAGAAAGAGAACTTCAGGCCAATATCGCTGATGAACATAGACACTAAAATCCTCAACAAAAAATTGCCAAATCGCATCCAATAATATATCAAAAAGATCATACACCATGACCAAGTGGGATTCATCCCAGGGATGCAAGGATGGTTCAACACTCACAAATCAGTAAATGTAATACATCACATAAACAAAAGCAAAGACAAAAACCACATGATCATATCAATAGATGCGGAAAAAGCTTTTGATAAGGTACACACCCATTTATGATAAAAACACTCAGCAAAGTGGGAATAGAGGGAGCATTCCTCAATATAAAAAAGGCCATATATGAGAGACCTACAGCCAATATCATACTCAACGGGCAAAAATTAAAAGCTTTTCCACTAAGATCAGAAACAAGACAAGAATGTCCACTTTCACCACTTCTATTAAATATAGTTTTGGAAGTTTTGGCCACAGCGATTAGGCAAGAAAAGGAAATAAAAGGATCCAAAAAGGAAAGGAGGAAACAAAACTGCCACTGTCTGCAGATGAATGATAGTGTACATGGAAAATCCTACAGAGTCTACCAAAAAACTGCTCGAACTAATTAATGAATTTGGCAAAACAGCAGGATACAAAGTCAATATCCAGAAATCAAAGGCATTTTTGTATACTAACAATGAATCAGCAGAAGCAGAAATCAAGAAAAAAGTCCCATTCGATATAACAAAAAGAAAAATAAAATATCTTGGAATAAACCTAACCAAGAAGGTAAAAGACCTGTACACAGAAAACTACACAGCACTAAAGAAAGAAATCAGGGAGGACACGAACTAATGGAAACATATACCTCGTTCATGGATTGGAAGAATTAACATCATCAAAATGTCCATACTACCCAAAGTAATTTACAGATTCAATGCAATACCTATTAAAGTACCAATGGCGTATTTCACAGACATAGAACAAACACTTCAAAAATTTATATGGAACCATAAACGACCCCAAATAGCAGCTGCACTTTTGAGAAAGAAGAACAAAGTAGGAGGGATTACAATACCTGATATCAAAATGTATTACAAGGTCACTGTAATCAAAACAGCCTGGTACTGGCATAAAAACAGGCACACAGACCAATGGAACAGAACAGAGAGCCCAGAAATCAACCCAACTCTCTACAGTCAATTAATATTCGACAAAGGGGGCAGTAACATAAAATGGAGTAAACATAGCCTCTTCAATAAATGGTGTTGGGAGAACTGGACAGCTACGTGCAAAAAAATGAAACTTGAGCACAAACTTACACCATACACCAAAATAAATTCAAAGTGGATAAAAGACTTAAATATAAGCCGTGACATGATTAAAGTCCTAGAGGAGAACATTGGCAAGAAAACTCAGATATTTGATACAGCAACATTTTTACTGATATGTCCCCTAGAGCAAGGAATATAAAGGAAAGAATAAACAAATGGGATCTCATCAAAATAAAAAGCTTCTGCATGGCTAAAGAAAACAGTATTAAATTAAAAATACAACCGACTGTATGGGAAAACATATTTGCCAAGGATGCCTCAGACAAAGGTTTAATCTCCAAAATATACAGAGAACTTACACGACTCCACTCTAAGAAGACACCCAACCCAATTAAAAAATGGGAAAAGGACTTGAACAGACACTTCTCCAAGGAGGACATACAGAACATCCAGAGACATATGAAGAGATGCTCAATACCGCTAGCTATCAGAGAGATGCAAATTAAAACCACAATGAGATACCACTTTACACCAGTCAGGATGGCTATCATAAACAAAGCAACAAACAACAAATGTTGGAGAGGTTGTAGGGAAAAGGGGTCCTTAGTTCACTGTTGGTGGGACTGCAGACTGGTGCAACCATTATGGAAAACAGTATGCAATTTTCTCAGAAAAATAAAAATCAACCTGCCTTTTGACCCAGCAATTCCACTGCTAGGATTATATCCTAAGAATCCTAAAACATTAATTTCAAAGAATCTATGCACCACAATGTTCATAGCAGCGCAATTTACAATAACCAAGAGTTGGAAGCAACCAAGGTGCCCGTCAGTAAATGAATGGATGAAAAAATTGTGGTACATATACACAATGGAATTCTATGCTGCAGAGAGAAAGAAGGAGCTACTACCCTTTGCAACAACATGGAACTGGAAAGCATTATGCTGAGTGAAATAGGCCAGGCATTGAAAGACAAATACCATATGATCTCACCTTTAACAGGAAACTAAACAACAAAACAAACAAGCAGAAAAAAAACAAAGACACTGAAATAGAGAACAAGGGGATAGTGACCAGGGGGGAGAGGGGAGGGAATTTAAGGGGGGAAAAGGGGAGGGATTTGGAGGAACAAATATGAAGAACACAGGGACGAGAACTAAGGGGGGTGGAAATGGGAGGGAGGTGGGGAGCACGGGGTGGGGGGGGCTGGGATGGAAGAAATAGACAAAAAAACTGTACTTGAAAAATAACTAAATAAAATTATTAAAAATAAAATAAATAAATAAAAACCTATCATCCGCAAACAAACAACAAAAAACCCTCACCTGAGGACATGCCTACTGACTTCAGAGAGAGGGGAGGGGCAGGGAAGGAGAGAAGCATCCATCGCTGCCTCCAGCACAGGCCCTGAGCAGAGACTGAACCCACACCCCAGGGCATGTGCCCTGACCAGGAATCGAGCCCACAACCTTTTGGTGCCGGACGACACTTCAACCAGCTGAGAGCCACACCAGCCAGGGTCCCTTGTTTTTAGATAACATTCATTTCCCGGTTATTAAAATGACGAGTCGTTTCATCAAAAATGAACCATTCCAGTTTTCATCATAGCGTTTCTATGCTGGTAATTAAAGGCATGGGCTATTCATTCTTGGCGTCATCTGCACACAGAGAGTGTGGTGCTGCACGAGCTGTGAGGTCTTTTAGAACAAGCCCCCCTTTGCACCCACTGGCACTGTTCCAGGCGACGGACACACAGCAACGCAAGTCAGACACAGTTTCGGTTCTTGGGCTTTTTCATTCCAGCTTCCTTAACGCCTGCCTTTTATGTAGAGGGAAGAACACATTTTCATGACAGAAGACTAAAACCTTGTAGGAATATGCCTAGAATTTATTAGTTTCATGGAAAGCAGTTTTTTAAAAATCTTCACTTACAAGATTATAGGGCCTCGGTAAATCAGAACTAACACACTGGAATGATGACCCAAGTCAACAGGATTTTTCCGCTGCCATATTTTGCCCTGCGGAATGCACTCTTGTGTATAATGCGCACCCACATTTTGCTACTGATTTCTGCCTCAAAACTTTGGGCAAAAAAAAAAAAAAGCCCATTAAACATGGCAAAGTACAGTAATTTAAAATCAAGTTCCTCTCTGTAGGGAACTGGTCTCATCAGAACTGAACGGCCTGTGGGAAACGTACGAAAAAGATATGACATTTATATACACATACACACACGTTTGTGTGTGCACCTCCATCCTGGAAATGAAACTAACATCACAGGAAAACGCTACTTCACACCCACCAGGAAGGCGATAATCAGAAACACACCCAGTGACGGGGATGGGCAAGACTGTGGACCCCTGGTTTATACCCAAGAGAAACGAAAACAGGTGCTCGGACGGAAACTTGTCCACCGATGATCACAACACTGTTCACAGTGGTCGGAAGTGAAAGCAGCTCGATGTCCCACTGGAGCCCGAATGAGCAGAAAGCAGTGGGAACGAGCACAGTGGGGTCTTACTTGGTGACAAAAGAAATGAAGCTCTGACACAGGCTACAACGTGAACGGAACCTGAACACATTCTAAGTGGAAGCAGCCAGTCACAGCACATCGTGCACTGTGTGACTGCGCTCATGCGACGTGGCCAGGCAACCCTGAGGGGAGAGCACCAGATCCGAGGTTGCCTGGGGATCGGTGGGGGGGGTTGGTGGGCTACTAAAGGGTAAGAGGTTTCTTTTGGGGGTGATCGAATGTTCTAGCATTGCTTGTGGTGATAACTACGCAACTCTATAAACAAAATTAAAACCACCAAATCATGTACTTTAAATGGGTACCTTGTACAGTATGTGAACTGTACCTCAATAAAGCTGTTAAATATACACGTACATATTCTTCTTTCATAATCCGTGTTCAAGGCAGATTTAAGAAACAGTGGTTACAGAGCCTCAGGGCCACCTAACCAGCTCCTGGGCTGCGGCAACCTTCCCTCGGCCCACACAGAGGAGGAGAGATTTTTCAGCATCCTGGTACTAACACTTCCAAATTCACGTCCACAGCTTTGCAGTACAGCCTGCCCAGCTCAGAGAAAGACAGCAGGCTTTGGGGTCAGAGACACCTGCGTTCAAACCTCTACTGTGCCTCGTGCCACAAGCCTGGGACCTTATCTGAGTGTAGCTTTTCTCACTGCGTAAAGTAGTGATAACACCTATTTTAAAGATGATGCAAAATAAGGATCCGGTTATATATTAAGATGTCAAAACAAAGGTAGCTGACTGTCACTACCACTAGAAGTAGTAAACCCTATTATCACCATCACAGTTAAGTCACTGGGAGAAACCCCCTGGTGAAGGAGAGATGAGAGGCGAGAACGCCCACTGGACCGGAGAGCGAGGGCGCGACACCGCGTGTCGGTGCCATCACCACTGCCCCCAGTTCTCCTCTTTTCCTAGAGACACAGAACCACTTCCACCCACAAATCTGCTGTTTTCCGGGCTGGGACCTGACTCATGGCCGTGTGTCTGGCCCGAACGTGACCGGATGCTCTCCGTTTCCACGGCCAGAACGCCGATGAGAGTGGCCAGGGCCCGAGTTTCCCACAGTTCCCTCTTTTAACCTCGCAGAGTATAAACTATCACCACCCTTCACTGATCTTGCATGTCCAGAGCATCTAGAAAAAACAGGGGAAATGGACAAATAAGACTTCACCTTCACCCTTGAAAATGTTTACACTTATAGCAGGATTATTAAACAAAGAATAAGGAAAAAGTGAGTCACGAGGGAAAGTCTTCTCTTCCTACTGTGCACCCCACATGACTTTTATTCAGTTACAGTACTTAGAAGCACGGGGTGCGTGTCGCCCTGCTGGTGCGGCTCGGCTGGGTAGAGCATCGTCCTGCACACTGAAAGGTCACTCGTTCAATCCCCGGTCAGGGCCCATGTCCAGGTTGTGGGTTCGATCCCCAGTCAGGGTGTGTGCGAGAGGCAACAGACCGATGTTTCTCTCCCACATCAGTGTCTCCCTCCCTCTCCTCCTCCCGTCCCTTCTCTCTAAAACCAATAAGCACGTCCTCAGGTAAGAATTAAAAAAAGAAAATACAGGGTATATCTTATAATACCTTCTTAGCTGTTTGTAAAAAAATACTATCTTCTTTTTTAAAAAAGTCATCTAAGCCCTGGCTGGTGTAGCTCAGTGAACTGAGAGCTGGCCTGCGAACCAGACGATCACGGTTCAATTCCTAGTCAGGGCACATGCTTGGGTTGCAGGCCAGTTCCCAGCAGGGGATGCATGAGAGGAAACCGTACACTGATATTTCTCTCCCTCTCTCCTCCCCTTCTTCTCTAAAGATAAATAAATTAAATTAAAAAAAATAAAAATATATTTAAATAAAAGTCATCTACTTTCCTGGTTAAAATACTTTAAATACAAAACGAAAATGAAGTATCATTACAGACTTTCGTCTTCTTAAAACAACTGAGAAAGAACTTTTTAAAAATACATGCTAAAAAGTGCGTGTGCAGGTTTACCTCGATGTTATATTCTGCCGCATCTGTGTTGATCCGTATTGTAACATCATCGTCTCCTATATGGGCTAGAACCCGAGAGTTAGGTTCACCTAAAGAGAAAAAAAGACCTTCCATTATAAAAAAAAACTATATCAAAAAATAAACTACACACAGCTGCCATTACAAAGCAACGGAGCCCTTCCAAGAGCAGCCCACACAGAGGCCGCTGCTGTGTCCCCCCAACTGGCCAGTCTCCCCCACGGGGGCCTCGCTCCAGCCACCTGAAACCCACCTCGTTGCCTCCGTTCTCGTTTGAGAAAGACCTAAATCTGCTTTAGAACAAAACAGACCAATGTGTACATTTCCTTCTGAAATAACTTTGCCCATTTGGGGGTAAGAAACAACTAAGAGGAAGCAGAGGCATAATTTGGAACACGGAGGTCTTGAACTAGACTATCTGACATTTTTTGGACAGAGTAAATAAGTATTTATTATTTTTGTAAGTGAACAAACTAAATTTTCTTTAAAAAACATTTTGTGATGCAGATGAACAAATAAAATTTTGCAATAGCAAGCACGTTTTACATAAGCAATCAAATTATAGCATGCCATGTGACAATTTTAACGCCATTTTTTCTTATTGTAGAAAGATCCAGAACTAAACCACAATTGCTAGCTTGATACAGTTTCTTAAATAAATACATAACAGGATCATAAAGTCAAGTGTTTTATCTCCTAGCTTCCCTGTTTAAAATCTCAGAAGGATGTCTACAATCCTTTTCTGGAGAAAAGAGGTTAAATTCTTATCCCCAGAGAGGATGTTCATTGTCATTATCAAAGTAGCCAGCTGGTCTGACATGCTGGGAATACCCGCATCATCCCGTTTGAGTGTCTGCTCCCAACCCAGACAGCTCACGCAAAACAAAGAGCAGCAGTTCTGACAGCCCTGCTCCCTCCTCCCAGAAACGAATGTACGGCCCAGTGAGACGTGGACCTTGAACCCAGACACAAAGGCAGGCAGACAGGCCGCGCACTCACCGACCACGTGCCCGCTGAAGAAGTCTTGCCACCTGACGCTGTACTCGCTTTCGTCTTTGCCGTCCACCACCACGACTTTGAAATTTCGGGAAAAGCGTTCAGTGCTCGACGTCAAGTACAGTCTGAAATGCCTAAAGAAGGAATGTATCTGAGTGTACTCCAGGACCACGAAGCGGAAGCCTGGTTTTCACTGAATTAAACTTTCTTTTAAAAAAGTTGACATGCAACTTTAACTACTGTTTTACTAGGAACTTAGAGCACTATATCGCCTCTAAAACAAAGAGGCTGACTTCTCTAGCTGTGAGACTTTGGCGGACCAAGAGCAACTAGAACTGGGGAAAAAAGATGGAAGCAGCTTAGGCCTTCATCTTCTCTGGAGACGCTGCAAGAACTCGAAACACACACATCTACATGCTGTAAGTCGGCGTTCTGCTTGTCTCAAAAACTTAGAGATTGGCACCGTTAGCTGCCATTTACTGAGCACTGACTCAATACGAGATGCTCTGCTTACCTCACCTACACTTCACAGAGTAAAAACTGCAGCCTGGAGCTCACTCAACATACTCCAGGTTTTACAGCTGGTAAATGGCAAGAATTCTCCAGTTTTATAACTGAGTATGCAAGTTGCCTTGGTTTGTTCAGAAGCCTGTACTATGCTGTCTCTAGCAATCAATCTGATCTTACTGCTGTGAAAAATTAATAAATGCTACTTTTCTGTATTTAAAAGCACTCATGCTTTTTTCTCCTTCTAAAGAAAACGTATCTTGAAAAAAATTAATCCACAATCCTGTAAGAAAAATAAATACAAGGCAAAAAGCAAAACAGACATTAAAATACTACTACAGCTCTTTAGTTAGCTTAATATTCTTTTGTTTTTTACGAGTTTTAGACCTGACTAAAAACTGGGCATGGGCTCAGTGGATTGAGCACAAGCCTGTGAACCAAAGGGTCACTGGATCCATTCCTGGTCAGGGCACCTGCCTGGGTTGCAGGCCAGGTCCCCATTAAGGGGTGTGTGAGAGGCAACCACACATTGATGTTTCTCCCCTTCACTTTCTCCTTCCCTCCCCCCACTCTAAAAATAAATAAAATCTTCAAAAAAAAAAAACTGGGCACAGTGGGCAAGAAGTTTTCACTGATCATTTACAGAGCCCTCTCAGCGTGGCCATGAACCCCAGAGACAACGAAGGGCACCTTTTCCATCTCAGCCACGGGAACGGGTTTTGCAGTGGTGCTGAAATATGAAATGTTACTTCCCATGGGTCTGCACGAGTCTGAACGGCCTGCAAGCATCTAGACTGAGACTGTCTCCATGGCAACGAATATTTTTAACGTTTCTAAGCATAACAAGGTAATTTTAGTTTGCTTGTGTGTGTGTGTTTTAATGGTCACGGGGAAGGAGACAACAGAACCTTATTTCAGAAAACTCTGGAACGCCTTCTCCTGAAATAGACCCTCCCACAGCATTCACAGGCGGGACTTTTCCCCCATCGGCTATGCAGAGAACTCTGAAAGGCATCCCCAGTAAAAATGTCTTTTTACTTACTTTTAGCGCTCTCCAGGAGTCTCAATATTACTTTTACTTAATGTTCTGTCCAGAAAAACCACTGGAATTGTACTCTTCATTTTCAACACTTAATAATCTGCTCTACTGTAAAGATAACGGCCAACTGACGGTAAAATTCCTGGTTTTTTTAATATCTAATCCACAGGTGGCAAACACAAGGCCCGTGGGCCACCCTCTGCCTTGTTTTATGCGGCCCGGCACCTTGTTTCTACCGGGGCAGCACTGAGCTCTCGCTTCACTGTTAAGGAGCAGTCACATTTACACCTAAATTACATTCAGCCCTTTGAAGGCAGCCAACCACAAAGCTGATGTGGCCCCCGGTGAACATGAGTTTGACAGCCCTGGTCTAATCTTTACCTTTCAGTTATAAAATCTCCAGTAGAACTTTAGTCAGAATTTATATTTTACTCTATCTTCCCAAAATTATGTGAAGTCATGTACTTACACAGACTTCTTTTAGCTTTTTCGTTATCTTTCTGACTTTTTAAATTTTTATTTTATTGATTATGCCATTACAGTTGTTCTATTCCCCCCATTCATTCCCCTCCACATCCCCCACCCCTACCATTCCCCCCCCTTTAGTTTACGACCACGTGTCTCAAGTTCTTTGGATTCTGTATTTCCCATACTATTCTTGCCCTCCTATCTATTTTCTACCTACCGTCTATGCTACTTATTTTCTGTACCTTCTCCCCCCTTCTCCTCCTACTCCCCTGTTGCTAACCCTCCATGAGATCTTCATTTCTATGGTTCTGCTCCTGATCTAGCTGTCCTTTTAGCTTGCTTTTGTTTTAGATGTGGTTGTTAATAACTGTGAGTTTGCTGTCCTTTCACTGTTCATATTTTTTATCTTCTTTTTCTTAGATAAGTCCCTTTAACATTTCATATAATAAGGACTTAGTGATGATGAACTCCTTGAATTTGATCTTATCTGAGAAGCACTTTATCTGTCCTTCCATTCTAAATGAAAGTTTTGCTGGATAGAGCAATCCTGGTTGTAGGTCTTTGGATTTCATGACTTGGAATACCTCTTTCCAGCCCCTTCTTGCCTGTAAGGTCTCTTTTGAGAAATCTGCTGACAGTCTGATGGGAACTCCTTTGTAGGTGACTGTCCCCTTAGCTCTTGCTGCTTCTAGGATTCTCTCTTTCATTTTAATCTTGGCTAATGTAATTATGATGCGCCTTGGTGTGTTTCTTCTTGGGTCCAACTTCTTTGGGACTCTCTGAGCTTCCTGGATTTCCCGGAAGTCTATTTCCTTTGCCAGATTGGGGAAATTCTCCTTTATTATTTGTTCAAATAAGTTTTCCACTGGTGGCTGTGCCTTTCCCCCTTCTGGTACCCCTATAATTCGGATGTTGGAGCGTTTAAAGATGTCCTGGAGGTTCCTAAGCCTCTCCTCATTTTTTTGAATTCTTGTTTCTTCATTCTTTTCTATTTGGTCATTTTTTTTCTTCCTTCTGGTCCACTCCCTTGATTTGAGTCCCAGTTTCTTTTCCATCACTTTTTGTTCCCTGTGCATTTTGCTTCATTTCAATTAGTTTAGCCTTCATATGTTCCTCTAATTTGTGATTAAAATCAACCAGTTCTGTGAGCATCCTGATCACCAGTGTTTTGAACTGTGCATCTGAAAGTTTTGCTATTTCTTCATCACTTAGATTTATGGGCTCTGGGGCTTTGAGGTCTTCTTGAGCCACTTTTGGTCTGTTCGTGCCCATTAAGTATGAGGAGCGGAGCTTTAGGGGCGGGGCGGGGCCTCCAGGGCAGGGTCGCTGGGTTGTGACACTGTATGTGGTGGCAGTGTCAGAGTGGGGAAATGGCGTCCCCCTCTCCTGCTTCCCGCCGCTGGGTGAGGAGCAAAGCCTTAGGTGTGCACCAGGACAGGGTCGCTCAGGTCACTGAGTTGTGACGCTGTATGTGGGGGCGGGGTCAGAGCCGGGAAATGGCGGCCCCCTCTGATACCTCTCGCTGCTGGGGCCTGTTGTCTCACCGCCCACTCCCACTCCCTCGCTGGTCTATGTGCGCACGAATGCGGGACCACAGTCAACCCACAGCCCTGCCCCCTCACTGGGTCCGCCCTTTGCAACCCCACGCCTGGGATCCATGCGCCTGAGTCTGTCTGACGAGTTTTCCTGTGCAATCCCACTCCGCCATCTGCTGGTTTCGCCCCTCTTACCGGTCAGGCTGAAGAATTTGTTGTTATCGGACTTCCGAAAAGTTCAATTTTCCGTGTTCTGGCTGTGTTTTCTGTTGCTAATATTTAGTTGTCTCTAAACTTGGTTGTGTGAGAAAGCACGGTGTCTCCACCTATGCCTCCATCTTGGCGGAAGTCTCGGATCTCTTTCTGACTTTTAAGGATTTACAGTAACTACAAACTGGTGTTAATCCTATGAATTAACATTTTATTTTTTTGTATATATCACAAAATGATCATCACAGTAAGTCTAGTTAATATTCACCACCATAGTTTCAAATTGTTTTTCTTGTGATAAGAACTTTTAAGATATGTTCCCTTAGCAACTTTCCAATACACAAGACAGTATCATTAACTATAATCACCATGCTGTAGATTACATCCCCAGAACTTACTTATTTTATATACCTGGAAGTTTGTAACTCATATTTGTTTTAAATGATCCACAAACACATTGCTGACATCTCTGGAATACCTATTTACTTTTTTAAAAATAACCATCAGTACAAATTTTAGAATAAGCAATAAACAATGTTAAGAATCATGACAGACTAATTATAACAATTACAAATCTTTAAAAATGCAAGTTCCCAAGACACCCTTATATCCCTGAAACTATATAATATTACATGTCAACTATAATTGAAAAAATAACTGACAGAGAGAAAAATACCTTATTCTTCTGCTTCTGCCAAACCAAGTCCCACTTGCCCCAACACTTTTCCATGAATAATGCAAACTACCTTTTCAGCGCGGAGAAGGTCAGCAGTGTTTCCAGGTGCGTCGGGGCCTGCAGGTCCCTCTTCCGTACTGAGTGCTGGCGGATGCTGGCCTGAGAGAGGATGTCGTAGTCCGAGAGCAAAGAGTCAAGCTCCTCTGCAATGAGGGGAAAAGCGATGAACACGTCACCCTGGTAACCAAGTGCAGCATCTCTACAACGAGAGTCAGACAGCCACCTCTTCCTGATGTGACACACTAGGAGGTGCCCAGCACAAACCTATGGAGCATTCTTACCAAAAGACACAAAGCAAAGCTGAATCAAGATCTAACCTCTAGTTCTGAAGGCATAAATGTCGAATGTTGCCAAATTAAATAACCTTAGCAATCAGCCACACTGAGAATGGTAGAATTTGGGCAGAACAAATGACCCAATTTCTTCAGGAAATACACGGCATGGGACAGAAGGGAGGGGCGGAGCTCTAACAGACGAGAATGTGTCAAACAAGCCAAGGTGCGAACGCTCTCAGGTCCTCGGTCAAACAGCCCACCTGAGAAAGGACACTGGCGACCACTGGGGAGATCGGAACACGAGGCCGTGTTCACATCAGACAGTGGGCACTTTGAGATCTCAGAATCCATGTTATGCAATGACCTAACTTCTAAATTAAAGGCATTTCTGGCTTGTGTGTTTAGAATTTCTATCATCAAGGTGACCAATTGGACCTACCCACTGCCAACCTGGGCTACATCAATTTCTTATCAGTTGATGGATAGCAAAAGAGAGCAACAAATGCATTAATGACCTGAGCAAACCAAAACTGGGAAAGCAAACCTTTTACAGAAAAATCACATATTCCAAATCAAAGAGCAAAAAGTGCTCCTATCCCTATTACTGCTGCCCTCAACAGACACACAGATTTGCAATCCAGTGGACACCAGGAAGTAGAAGTGATAAGACCAAACTAATCCCCGGGGGAAACCAACATTAATTACTTCACCAGACTGACTTGGAACCCAAGAAGAGCCAAGACCGCCGCTCCAAGAATAGTGCAACACCAAGATGTTTTTACTTGATGCAGAGCGAGAGCAAACACCGTGAAGTGTGTGCTGCCCTGTAAGTCACTTGTCACCAGCAGCCTCCTCCAGCAGCCTACTCTGCTGCCTCTTCCAAAACCAGGAGAATTTTTGGAATACAATTTTGGTGACTTAAGTCTCTGTAGAAACTGTCTAAAAATAGCTGAGCTGATGCTTTCCTCTTCTCTCAATAAATATCACTGCAGAAGCAATGGAATTCAAAATCATTCCACTGGACTTCGGACGCCCTCAAAATAGAGCAGCTTAAAATACAAGAGAATTGCTACTGAGGCTCAACAGGCTCACAAAACCATGGGTAAAACACAGAACCGACCCAATACCCATCTTCTTCCCCTGGACTTCCTCGTGTCTGTCCCTCATTCCCTGCTGTGTGCCAGACCCTGACCTAAGTACTGAGATACAGCCTTAAACAGAACCGAGTCCTCGCCTAATGCAGCACTCACTTCGCTGTGGGAGAAAAGACAGCGCGAAAGCAAATGCAAGCCAGTGCTGTGGGTGCTGAGGCAGGACGGCGGACGGGGGAGAGGGAAGGGCCAGTTACGACGAGTGGCCAAAAGAGGAAAACTGCGGCCCTGTGCAGCCCCGAAGGCAGCAGGGGGTAGGCACGCTGCCGCAAGAGCAAAGTCAGTTCTCCCAAAGTCCACTCAAGGATCTAACTCAAGACAAAATTACACAAAGTAGCAGCAAATTCCCCACTTGCTGGGGCCCACCACTTTCCGTTAATCAAATTTCCTCTTCAATTTTATCCAGAGACCCTGATCTGCGTGTCCCTGTGGGCTGGGCATCACTCTGCAAACCAAAAGATCGCCAGTTTGGTTCCCAGTGAGGGCACATGCCTGGGTTGCAGGCCAGGTCCCTGGTTGGGGGGCGTGCAAGAGGCAACCTATCAATGTTTCTCTCACACACCCATGTTCCCCTCTCTCTAAAAATAAATCAATAAAATCCTTAAAAAATTAAACAAATTTAATCCAGAGGAACACTGTTTCAGAAGCCATCAATCAATCCCTTTTATACCTATGGATGAATGGTTGTTGGTGATGTGCCCTTGTTAATGTCTATAATGCTTAGCAATACCGATAAAAACCTTCAAGAAGCCGCCCTGGCTGGTGTGGCTCAGTGGATTGAGTACTGGCCTGCAAACAAAGGGTCGCCAGTTCAACTCCCACTCAGGGCACATGCCTAGGTTGCATGCCAGGTCCCCAGTAGGGGGCAAAAAAGAGACAACTGCACACTCATGTTTCTCTCCTTTCTCCCACCCTTCCTCTCTCTAAAAAATAAGTAAACATTAAAAAAAAAAAACCTTCACCCTGGCTGGTGTAGCTCAGCGGATTGAGCACGGGCCTGCGAACCAAAAGATCGAAGTTCGATTCCCCATTAGGGCACATGCCTGGGTTGCAGGCCAATTCCCAGCAGGGGATGCACCAGAAGCAACCATACATTGATATTTCTCTCCTTCTCTTCCATTCTAAAGATAAATAAATAAAAATAAAAATAAAAAAACCTTCAAGAAGCTTACCATTTATTCAACAATTTTTGAGTGTTTGTTGCCTGTAAGACATCATACTGGGTATCTTATATTATCTGCACAAATATCCCTGGGGTGTTATTCCCATTTTACAGATGATAAAACAGACTCAGGGAGCACACAACTGGGATTTGAACTTGGGTCTGCCTGGCTGAAAACCACAAGCTTTACCGATACCATACTTTTTCAACTCCCTAAAGAGGCTAGCTCTTCTTGGACCATCTACTACTTGCTGGCCTCCTACTTTTTGACAAGACATCCAAACCTGACCTCGGCTCCCTGTGACGTCTGAAGCCCTGCGCTTATTCCTTTCTTCTGACACTTTCAAATTATACTCATTTGATCTCACAAACAGATTGTCAAATAGCCAAAAGGGAGCTCTGTTTTATTCATCACAGTACCCTAACCTCACAAAACCCAGAACCTTGTGGGAAGAGCACCCCTGGGCTCACAGATTGCACCAATCCTCAATGCTGAGATGCTGGTACAATCCTTCCCTCTTCAGCTTCCCGATACAGACAGGTTGGTACACGAATTCAGTTTCATGCAAGATCGTAATCACTCCTACTGACTGAGAAACTCAACCTCAATACTGCGGTGTCACTGTCAACGTTACAGGCCAGTCCTCTTCGGCGTGTGCTCCCCGCACCAGCGGCAGCAGCCGTCTCACCTGGGAACTTGTTCGAAAGGCCCGTTTTCAGGGTCTCCGCTCCCATTCTGTCCGAAATTCCTGGGGCGGGATCCAGCAGTCTGTGTCCACCCTGCCTGCCAGGTGATGCGGATGTACACTCAGGTCTGAGACCCACTAAACTAGGCTAATAGAAGGAAATAACTCAAAGAAAAAACCTTTCAACACAAAACAGAGCTCACTGCCCAGCCTTGCATTATTTTTATAAACAAATATCAGAAAAACAAGGTAGTAACTGGAAAACAGGTAAGTCACGATGCTTCTAAATGACAAAAAATGCAAACATTTAAATGGTTTTAAAAACAAGTTTTTGAGAACATGGGGAAATATTTATGCTATAATATTAAACAAAAGTAGACTTTTTTTTGAAAATCTACTCATATTGCATGATCTTACCTACATATAGAATAGGCCTAGAAAAAAATAGTAAGAGCAAGACAGTGACATTAGTGATTACCTTTAGGTCTACTTTTTATATTACAAATACCTTTTAAGTATAACTTACTAAAGCACTTTAAAACACTTAATTACTATGTACCTATTTGAATGTGTCCTCTTATGACAACTTGAAGCCCACACTGCGTGCTCTGGAGCCACTGCCAACAGCAGGGCAGGGCTGTGCGCCTGACAGACAGACTGGGACAGACCAACTGCCTGCTCGCGCCTGTCCTGGAACCAGCAAGTGGACGCTGAGATGCTCCACATCCACTGCACTTCACTTGCCACATTTCGACCTCTGGTAGTATCAGTTTTCTATAGTTTTTCCTACTGAATTTCTATTTCCCCCGCTTTCCAAGAGTTTTTAATCCTTTATCCATCTCCAAATAAATGCAATATAAGCCACTAACTACCACTCTTAGCTCAGTGTCTGGTCATAATCTCTGTGAGAAACCCCCGCAAGGGCTGTCCCGCCCTCCCAGGAACGAGAATGTAGGAGCCTCGGCTCCTACCAATGACCCCCAGCAACAGCCCGTACCCTCTGAGCTGTTCTCACTCCGGTGGCTGCGAACACAAATCAGAGCAGCAGACCACCCGGAAGGTCAGACAGGGATGCTAAGTGATCTCAGGGCCCCTCCCCATCCCTCCCTGCTCTTCTCTGCCACATGCTATGATTTCCGCGCCTCGGCCTCCCATCTAGCTGTCCTTAGAGACCCTCCCCTTCCTCACAGCTTTGGTATCTTCTCCACCCCATCTCTTTCTTGACATTCTACACTTCATTTCCCCCCTTCCACTAGACTCCACCTACTCATTTATTCAATATTTATTGAAAACCTCCTGCCTCCCAGGCATGAGGGATATAATGGCGAAAGAGAAACACATTTCCAATATTGTGACATTGGTAGCAAGACCACCACACAAAAAATTATCACGAAGGGCCCTGGCTGGTGTGGCTCACTGGATTGAGTGCTGGCCTGTGAGCCAGAGGGCTGCGGGTTTGCTTCCCAGTCAGGGCACATGCCTGGGTTGCAGGCCAGGTCCCCAGTGGGGGGACACGTGACAGGCAGCCATACACTGATGTTTCTTTCCCTTTCTTCCCCTCTCTAGGAATAGATAAATAAGATGTCTTTTAAAAAACTTAAATGATCGTGAAGTATGTCGAGCACCATGGGAGTGGAGGCCGCGGTAAGTCAGGGAAGGGCACAGCAGGGGCACATGCCCTGCCTGCTGAGCCAAGTGATGCTCTCCCAGGGAAACAGCACTGAGGTTCAGAACAAAAGGATGAGGAAGAAGCCAAGAGGAGGAGAAAGAAAGGAGAAGGTTCGAAGGAGAGGATGTAACATTTGCTGAGGGTCACAAGAAACAGAATTCTCAGAGTAATGAAAGCAACTCAGGCTGGAGTGCAGAACCGCCAGGGCGCGAAGAGGTATAAGCCTGCAGAGAAGGGCAGAGGTCCGGTGAAGGGCCACGGGACTAAATTAAGGATGCTGATCGCTGGAAAAGGCCCACAGCTGTGAGTTAGAAATCTCACGGTGCCTGCAAGGTGGAGTGGGCTAGGGGGAAACAGACGGAGTCAGGGAAATCAGCTGGTAAACAGCCGAGCAACTCAGGTGCAGATCGTGAAAAGGCCACCAGACTTCTGGCTTGGGTACCTGGGAACATAGTGGTACCACATCCACTGAGATTTTAAAAAGAAAAAAGAGCCCTGGCTAGTGTGGCTCAGTGGATTGAGTGCCAACCTGTGAACTGAAAGGTTGCTGGTTCAGCTCCCAGTCAGGGTACATGCCTGAGTTGCTGACCAGGTCAGCAGTTGGGGGTGTACAAGAGGCAATCAATGTTATTGACTGCACATTGATGTTTCTCTCCTCTCTCTCCCTTCCCCTCTAAAAATTTTAAAAATCTTTTTTAAAAAAGAAGAAAAAAAACAACCATGAGAAGGAGCAGGTTCAGATGAGGATTGGACAAGCAGTTGATATAAGAGGACAGCTGGACGCTTAAAAGATTCTGGTGTCCTGGTATTCCATGCTCTATCTTGTCCCTTACATATACAGTTTACAATTACACTGAGCATTTACATAGGACTTTTCCACATTAGGTCACCATAGGTTGGCAATTATGTCACTGATAAGTCACACAATGATCCTAGGTGGAGAGAGCGCAAATCCATTACTGCGTGACTTTCAACACTGACATCAGTGGTAAAAAGCAGCAGGTACTTGGTTCCTTCCATTTGCTCTCCCGGGACAGAAAGCTGGGCGTCCAGGCCTGCAACAGACTGGCTTTCTGGATACAACGTGGAGCAGCCTATGGACTGGAGAAGCCTCCACCCCACCCTCCTCCTAGGCCTATACTGTTTCATTTATGGAATTAGCTGTAACGGCCACTGACTGGTACAATGACCTAAAGTACACCCATATGTCTTTCATCAAGCCCAGAACCAACATTTTTACGATAAAAATGACTTTTAAACAGTGATGTGCTGAATGAGAAGAGTCTGGGAACATTTGTGGATTTTTTTACTTAATTTCTCTTTTCTTTTTGCAATAAATGGCACCTCCAGGAGCACAGCCTGCTAGTGTAACGCAGAACGCCTGTAGCACCCTGCTCCTGCTCCACTCTGCTGCACAGAGTGCGAAGCGTCCCTAAAAATGCCACTGTCAGCGTCGCACTGCTCCTTCTGGTGTCAGAAGTGGAAGAGATGAAGCCGGGACTGCTGTTGAGTGTTTATTCTGCTTGTGCCGAAGACCGCTCTTCAGGGCTCCCCAAGACATGCGGGACAGGGGATGGCCTGGCCAGTTCCTGCACAGTGAGCCCTAGGCACGGGTGCCGCCCTCCTGGGGACTCGGTGATGAGAAGAGCTGTGGCCCCTGCTGGGCCATGGAGCCCAGGTCCTGGCCACTGAAGTCTTCACTTTACGGCTTGATGCCAGTTGGGAAGGATAAGCTGTCCCAAATAACTGCCCCTCAAGGGCTTTTCACCAGAGCCGGGATGTAACCTGGGCCAAGACCCTCTTGCAAGACCAGTCACGTGGAAACTGAGCTGAAGTGAGAGTCCATGCAGCCCCAGGCAACCTCTGGAGAAAGCTGAACTGGCCCACAAGACCCTAGAGGCAAGAATGATGCACACACAGGGCGGGCAATGAGATTTCTCCCACCATTTCCAGCACTTTCCCTGCCTAGTCCCAGGCTACACCTTCTTTCCTGTTCTTGGTCTCCTGATCAAACAAGTAGGCAGGTCATTCTGGACATGCTACGTTTGACACGCCTGTGAATGCTGAGGGGGAAGCATCATGTGGGCACATGGACACGTGATCGTGTCACTTCAGAGCACATGTCCACGTCAGAGACCGCAGTGACCAGAATACAGTCAAAAAGTGAAACCAAGGCAGCAGAGAAACTTGCCAGAGCCTAAAGTCATGTTAGAAGGGAAAAAAAGAGGAAGGTATGAGAAGGAAGACACCATGTCCCTGGTTGCTTTTAGGACTAAGAACTAAGTTAGGGGATACATGACGAAGCACCCCAGTTCACTCCCCTAGCTCCGTGAAGCCTGTCCTGTCCCTCCTGCCCTAACTTTGTCATACTTTCCTCCGATTACACTTCCCACTAAAAACACTCACCATCTCTCATAAATACAACATGGTGAGGAATCCAAAATTCAACCGCATGTGGCTTTGAAGGACACCTCCACTTAATGTTCTGGAAAACCCGTAACAGCCAAAAGGATTTCTCATTTCCCCACCAGGACTGTCTGCTTAACTCTTCTCTTCCCTCTGTTCTACAGTTCACCTTCGACTAGTAAAAACCAGAGACGCATTTAACCTCCCTCAGAATGGTTAGAGTGGTCATGTGTTTGGGCTTAAAAAGAATGCAGCCTGTAAGCAAAATTAACATCAAAGAGGAAGCCAGATGTGCAGACAGTGAGCAGAATGGCGCGGCCCATAATGAGAACGGGGCCCTGCGGTGCAGAGAATCCCCACACCAAAACCCCCAGGCACCTTTCTAACGCCGAGGTTCAGATGCAGCTCTCATCCCTCATCTGTGACCTACATTTTTTCTTCCCACCCACCACATCCTCTTTTATTAAAAGTAACACAAAGAGAAACCACTTTTGAAATCAGAGACTTATACACCCCAGCTGCAACTTCGAGCTATCATCATGACTAAGCTCACATGACTCATAACTTTCCTAAATTATGAAATTCATAACAGTTCAAGTGGAATAATTTTGAGCAACTGATGGAGCACTCCAAAAGCCAGGGTTCGGATCCCTAATCAATATTTAGAACTGCAGCTACAGTAACATTTACAGGATAAGTAAGCTAATAAACGACGCTCTTTAACTATGAAACTATTCATTGGTCTTGACCAATTCAATCTAAATAATGGTAGGGTTAAGTTAAGCAACAAATTATATCCTGGGCCATCAAAAACACAGTCAAGTCTCTTCAAAAGAAAAAAATACCCACAAGACATACATTTGTCACTGTGTGAACCCGACAACTCACTACAGCTGAGACTCATTTTTCCTGCTGCTTCACTTAAAGACACAGACACCCTAAGGTGAATTTCGACAATCTCTTAAGTGCCCCCATAGGAAGGGTCCTTATTTTCCCTCTGCACCTACCTAACCTTCAAGTCTGGGCTCCAGCAGCACCTCCTTCAGGGAGCCTGGCCTCACCTTCCCAGGCCGGGTTCCACTTCCCTGGCGATAACAGTCCCCACCTGGCAGGGCTCTGTTCTCTCCAAGGGGCTCGAGAATGTCTGTTCACATCCCCCTCTCCCACTCTGCCAAAACGGTACCAAAGACAGATGCTTCTCATCTTGTTATTAATATTTCCAAAGCCACCCATAATACTTAGCTACAGTACGTGTACTCCAAACAGCTGGTGAATAAATGGGTAAGTCCATGCATTTTTTTCTGGCACCAGTGTTCTGCGCTTGGCAAATAACACGTCCCCCCAACAAAAAAACCCTTATGATCACGTGCTGATAACTGATCTAGAAAGCAAGATTCTCCTCTATACTATGTGCATCCCTAAGATTCATGCTTATTTGTCCACCTGCAGTGATAATAAAGGTGAAACAGCTGTGTTAGAGTGAAAACTTTAATATCTCAAAATACACTGTTTATTCTTTTTATTAACATCAACCCCAGTGAAGAGGGTCCTTATCCCATTCCTCCTCCTAGCCTGACCACCCCTACCTCAAAAGTTTCCTCCAATCTGTACTAACTGATCCCGTCTCAGCCGTCCTATCCCATCGGCCCCCTTTCCTTCCATTTAACTAGAGCCACAGCACAGCTGTGGACACTCAAGCCCTGGGATACCCTCAGTCATTTACATTTTCTGTCTTTGAACAAGAAAAAAGAACTGCCAAGTAAAGTACTGCAAAGTTTTTAATCAGCCATGAAGAAAGTCGACATAGGGTCAAAATCTGTGCCGCACTAAAATTTAAATCTTGACAGGATTTGGGGACCAAGACAATCGTGAAAATTCATTGAGACTGCAACCTTGAACACAGGGAAAATGTTTCGCCCTGCATTAAGAGTCAATCAGTCTCACCTGTCAACTTCTGAAAGCTAAAGGACCCCGACAGACAGTAAAAGTTGACACAAACTTCTGCCAAGCTTCGACCCTCTTAATGGACCTCTATCTTTAAAATCCAATTTCTTCAGAAAATCTAAATAAGAACCCTCTACTTTGTAGCCTCAAAACTGATCAAACTGGTCGTCCTTGGTCATTTCTTTGTTTAAAATGGCCAGGAAAACATTCCCAGTAGCAGCATCACTAGCTGACGGGCAGGTCGAAGCGCTCCCCACCGCGAGCACTTCCAGTGAGTTACAAGTGAAATTACTGAGGGTGCGCTTACGAGGTCCACAAAACGCCAATTCCAGAAAGTTTTCCAGTCCCCAACCTCCACCCAGCTTACTGCATGAACACCTCTCGCAATAGAAATTCTAGTTCGCCCCCGCGGGCGTCAGGAACAGCTGTGGCGCCGCGGGCCCTTCCCGGGCTCCTCCGACACCTGAGTCGGGCAGGGGGACTCGGGCACAGCGTCCCCACCCCTTTACCTCCATCCCCGAACGCAGGCCAGGGGAGCAGACCCCTCCCAGGCTCTCCGTCGCGACCGGAAGCCGCCCCCAGGACCCCTTTCTCATTCAGAGTCAAGCCCTTCTCCATTCTTTTCCTAAACTCCAAGCCACACCCCCCTCGTCCTAGAAAACTTTGGGACGTGCCTCGGTCGCCCGACACCCCGCCCCCAGACACCGGCTCCGGCTCCCGCTCTTCCCCGAAAGCAGCGCGCTCCAGGCGCCCGGCGCCGGCGTAAGCCAACTCCCCGGGTCTTTACCGAGTCGCTGAGGGGAGCCGAAGCTCGGCTCGTCCGGAGGTCGCGGCGCCAGCACGAAAGGAACTAAGCTGCTGAGGAAGAGGAGACACTGCCTCATGTTCCCGAGCCACCGTTTCCACCTCTCTAGGCAGCCGTCGTCTGACGGGGGTTCGGGACACTGCTCGCATTGGGAGAGAAAGGGATCCGCCCTCCCGGCCCCTCAAACCACTTGTTCCTCCCGCGCCGCCTATAGGAAGACTACAGCCGGGATCCAGGCCCCGGAAGCGTCGGTTGCGCTGGGAGAGGCCGGCCTAGTCTACTTCCGGCCTCCGCCTCCCGCACTGCCCACAGGCGGAAGCCGGCGCCGCGTGGCATGCCGGGAAGCTCTTGCTCGCTCCGCCCTCGCCAGCGTCCGGCCCTCGTGCGGTCTCTCTGCTTCCCGCTTCCGTCCAGCCACCCGGGCGCGACCCGCGATGTCCTGACTTGACCCAGGCGGTCCTCGCCTCTGTCCCCGAGTGACCGCTGCGAGGGAGGCGGGAGCTTGGGCTCAGGCCCTCGGAGGCACGTTCGGCCTTTTCCTTTGTACTGGTCCCACCTCTGGTTAGGTTCCCCGTTTTGCGTTTTACCAAGCAAGCTGTGGAAACCGCTGTGGGGGTCAGGGATGGACGAGGAGGGAGCCCTAGTCCTGTGTGCTCCAGGGAATGACCCAAAAACGAAATGCCGAGGACGAAGGACGGGCTCCGAGAGGAGGCGGCGCTGCGCCTGATCTTGGGGAGCGCACATCCCGACGCAGGTGGGTCCCGCTTGGCTTCCCAGCTCAGCGTGACCATCGGCGATGTTTTAGGGCCCGGTCCACTATAATGAAAAGGCTTTGTGAGGGCAATAAACAGGGGCTTCATTCCTTAATACACATTTCCTCGTGGGTTCCGCTGTAGGTTGCAACTCTGCAAGTATTTCCAGAAACTAGGATCTTCGACCTAACTCATCTGTGAGTTCAGAAGTTAGAATCTTCCCAGCTAACTTACTAAAATTCGATAGTCTGCATGCACGAACCCTTTAGCTTAGATCCCAAATTTCCCAAGGCAGTTTGTGTTTCATTTTGCAATCCTTTGCATAATTTTAGCTCTGCAGTTAGTGTTTGTGGTACTGAATAACGTTGGATGCATATTACTATTTTTGTTCAACTAAAGTTTACGCAAGTAGGACATGGCACGTTTTCCACCTAAAAGATAGCCTCTCCTCCCTCGTGAAATGGTAAGTTGTTACGAATATAATACTGGTCCTGCGTGGTCAAGTTTCACGGCTAGTTCCTAATAAAATGCTTCAACTGTGGTTTCAATTTAGGTCCATTGTGGTATGTGCCTCAGTAAATCACAGCATCTTTTCCAACAATTATCCATAATTACTGGCTTGGTGCATTTTTTACTTAACGGGACCCAATCTGTTCATCTGAGGTATAAAATGTCTTCATTAAACACACTCATTCTTATCCAGGTTCCATGACCCAGTTTCAAACCCGCTTGGTAATTCATATCCCTTGAAAGCCTATAAGCCTCTTGGCTAGGTGAGGAAATCCCAAATGCCATGCTTGCGGGGTTCAAGTACTTCGTGGTGGTCAGACCAAGTCTGTGCAATGCCTCAGAAACACTTAGTGTCTGAGGACAAAGTGAAAATTAAAGAACCTTTACATAATCTTCAAACAATACAGAATGAGACTCTCACTCTCAAGGCGGAGCGCCCCCTTTTCTCTAAAGGCATTAACGCTCTTGTAGCTCAGCACATTCTAAGATAGGAATGTGTCAGTCTTACAATGCTAAGTGCAAGAGACCCGACAATGCCGTCATTAAAAAGTGATGTTATTCCCAACAGTAAACACGAACAACTGAGAGTCACAGTCCTAGGACACGGACTGCAGAGAAACCTTCAACAACCTGGAAGAAGTAGTTTTACTCATTGGAAATCAATTTTCTTTGACCCAATCCACTAGCCATACATAAAAACTGATTTCACAAAATATGTTTACTAACATGCATGTATTTTCTATTCCATTTCACCTAAAAAAAAAGTTGGCTGTGATCCATTATCCACTAACTGGTCATGACCTAAGTTTAAAAAAGCACTGATCTTCTGTTACTGCTTTAATCTCCAAAAAAGGGCAACACAGCACAGTTGCTAAGAGTAGACCAACTTTAAACCCACATACAAATCCCAGCACCTCTCAGCCATTAGTGTTTGCTGGGATCCATGTCCCAGGAACCATCCTACCCCAGTATGCTGGCCCGGGATCACATGTAGCTACGGCCAGTCACGGGAGAGTTTAAGTAGAGCCCTGGCTGATGGCCTTTCCATGGGGATAAAGACTTGAGTGTACAATTAGCACTGACCACGCAGGTCCTTCGGTGTGAAGCATTCAAGTCGAAGAACATATTGGAACTGTGAGATTGATAAATAATGCTTGGTAATGCTTACACTTTCCAAACATTTTTAGAGGGCTCACCTCTTTAAAAAATTACTACAGAAGTATAATGGAAAGCCTTCATTTTCTAAACCTGAGTGGCAAAGGAAATACTGAGGATTTTGTTACTTGCATCTGGTTCTTTTGCTTAGTTTCACGCCAAAATGTCAGCTAGTTGCAGGGACCTTAGAAAAGTCACTGAACACTTTGGACTTGTGTCCATATGTGACTTAGGTCTGACATGGCCTTATACTCCTTCAGCTGCTTTTGTGGATAAACCTAATAGACGAAGGGGGGAATCAAGAGAAAAACAAACAAAAAACTAAATCCAAACCTCCAAGTACTGGAGAAAAACAGATAGATGACCCTATTTATTTGCCATAGTAAGCAAGCTGAGACACCAACGGAACAGTGGCATGGACATGAACTTGGTACAGCATCTGAAGTCAGTTACGGACAGATGACTTTGGACAAATAATTTCCTTTTTTCCCCAAATGTTATTAGTCAAGGGGGAATTTACTTGGCGGAGCAGTTTAAAGTAGTAAGTATGAATGTGTAGAGCACATGACCAGAATCCTGAATGAATTCTATCAATACTGGTTCCCCATAACTGAAAAGAAAAAGTTAAGTGATTTATGCGTGTGCTCAAGGTGTTCTCATTTAAAACTGAAGATGGGGAAGTCTCCAGCTTTGCCCCCTGGGTAGTTGTTACTACGCATTCGCTTTAAGGCACAGGTGGCAAACACAAGGCCCTTGGGCCAAATCTGGTCCTCCACCTTGTTTTATCAGGCCCGGCACCTTGTTTCTACCTGGCGGCAGCACTGAGCTCCTTGCCCCTAGTTAAGGACTAGTTACATTTATACAGCCCTCAAATTACATTTGGCCCTTTGAAAGCAACTTCGAGGCTGATGTGGCCCCCGCCCCCGGTGGAAATGAGTTTGACACCCCTGCTTAAGGCACTGGCTCTGAAGGTGGAGCCACTTGTTAAGTAAAATTTTGCTAAAAAGTAGAAGGCAAGTCTGCCTGAAAATGAATCACATCTTCAAGTTACCTGTGCACCTGATAAATGGATCACACGTTATACACACACCCAGTAACTCTCCTCTCACAAGGCTGATCAAATACAACTTATACAAGGGAAGATGGCAGATAATGGCGGAGTAAAACATACAACTGCTTTCGCTGGTTTAAAGTGAAGGCTCCTAAACCATAAAAAATAAGGTTAAGTATTAGTTTTAATATTATCAGATGATGCTTAAGAGCCAATAAAATCAGGCTCATGAAAGGGCAAAAATGGCCACACATCCACACTTACAATAGTTCTCAAATATGTTTGAAAGTCTGGCTCAACTCAGAATCTCAGGTCATTAAAAAATAGATGATTAGACAGAATTCTCCTCTTAAATTACTTTACTCTGTATGAGAATTGTTACACCTTTAAATGGCCTTCCTAGTGCTAAGATTTTAAGTCTTTACTGATATGTAAGTTATAGTCGTGACTGTTTTACCAAACCCCATCCCCCCACCAAATGTCTTTTTCTTCTATTCCAGTCGAGGACCACCAAATCATAGCTGAACATACTGTGTTGGTAGAGATATCACTAATGCTTCTATTTTTTTGTTAGAATGTATTTCCCACCCCATTTTTTTAGATTCCATTAATTTTTTTATAGGACAGAACCATCAATGTGTGGTTGCCTCTCATGTGCCCCCCCCATGGGAATCCAACTGGTGACCCTTTGGTTCGCAGGCCAGCATTCAATCCACTGAGCCACACCAGCCAGGCTCCACCCCCAATTATTTTAAGTTTTTAAAACCTAAAGGACATTTTAAAGAAAAAACTACCAAATGTTTTAACTACACAATAGGTATAACTTTAACAAATTCTGACCTATCTCAGAAGGTTTAAAACCCTCTCTTCGCCCACTTTAACTATTTTATTTACTATGAGAGGGAAACATCAATGTGTGGTTGCCTCTCATGCGGCCCCTACTGGGGACCTGGCCCACATCCCAGGCATGTGCCCTGACTGGGAATCAAACCAGCGAGCCTTTGGTTCGCAGCCTGCGCGCTCAATCCACTGAGCCACACCAGCCAGGTCTGCATGTGTATTTTTAACTTCAATACAATGTAAAAACAAAAACTGTTTATAACAATTAACACTGAGGAAACCAGCCCATAAACGTAAGATTCTGAATTACCAGGTAATGTTAATTGACAATGATGTAGCACCTGTGTGGCAGTTGGACCTCGGCAACACTCAGTGCAAGGCGCACTTGTGGGTTTCCCTTCTTGCTGTTCCCATCTTAGTGGTTTCATGAGTGGCCTCAAACAAAGGCAGTGACGAAATGTTTGGTTATTTCTCAAACATATAAAGTGCATGTGGAAGAATAAAGTCACATCTGGTTCACGGATTTTTTCCGTGGAGATGATCCAAATTCAGTGTTGAGTAGCTTGTACTCATGGGTTTGCAGAATCTTGTGTGGAATCTGAAATATTGTCGGGGAAACAACTGATTCAAATGTTTGTGTGAAGTTCTAATTTTAGAAATATTTCTCCCTCATTAGAAGTAAAAAAGGAACCTTACTGATTTAGATTTGGGGGCCAAAGTCCCATTCCATTCTCTTTTCATTTCCCCTCAGGAAACAAATGAAGTGCAAATGAAACCTTGTTTCAGTCACATTTTAGGAGATAAAACATTAATCTTAGCTTGTTTTTCAGACTCTTTTGACTTTAGTTTGGTTCAGGCTGGTGCTCAATCCACTGAGCCATACCAGCCAGGGCTCAGATTCTGTTCACTTTAAATCCTCCAGGCAATACTTAAGACAGGCTGGTGTAAGAGCCATTGTGA